GCTTTCCAATTCTAAGTGATAGCTTTGCTGCGTCAAGCAATCTTGGCTATAGGTCCCCACTTTTCATGACTTTGAATATTTATTTTCAGTCCCTTGCCTGTAAAGTTTCTTTTGAGAAATTAGTGCACTGTCTTAAAGGGATTCTCCTGTAGGTAACTAACTGCTTTTCTCTTGCTGCTTTTAAGATTTTTCTCTTTATCTTTAACCTTTGGCAGTTTAATTATGCTGTATCGTGGTGTGAGCCTCTTTGTGTTGATCTTGTTTGGGACTCTCTGTGCTTCCCAGACTTGCTGTCTCTTTCCTTCACCAAATTCTAGGAGTTTTCTTTCATTATTTTTTCAAATAGATTTCCAATTTCTTGCTCTTCCTCTTCTCCTTGTGTCACCCCTATGATGCAAATGTTGGAATACTTGAAGTTGTCCCAGAGGCTCCTTACACTGTCTTTGTTTTTTTGGATTCTTTTGTTGTTGTTGTTGTTGTTGTTTGGATTGTGTTTTGCTTTCTTATGTTCAATGTCATTGATTTTATTCTCAGCTTCATCTACTGTACTGTTGATTCCCTGTAAATTGTTCTTTATTTCCATTAGTATTTCTGCCTGGATCCTTTTTATGCTATTGAGGTACTAAGTTCCATGAGCATCCTTATAACCAGTGTTTTGAATCCTGCACCTGAAAGATTGCTCATCTCCATTTTGTTTAGTTCTTTTGCATTCATTTGGGCCATGTTTCTTTGTCTCCTCGTTTTGGCAGCCTCCCTGTGTTTGTTTCTATGAATTAGGTAGAGGGGCTATGACTTGTGATTCAGTGGTAGTGTGGCCTAATGTAGTAGGTGTTCTGTAGGATCCAGTGGCACAGCCTCTTCTATCACTCAAGCTGGGTACTTGAGGTGTGCCCTCTGTGTGGGCCGAGTATACTTTCTTATAGTTGAGCCTTGGTGGTTGTTGGCAGGTCAGTGGGAGGGATTTACCCAGGCCAGTCAGCTGCAAGGACTTGCTGTGATCACTCACCACCAACCTCCACCCTCTGTGGAGTATCTGCTGTGTGGAGGCAGGATGATGGTGCTTCAGCATGGTCTGTAGCTGTCCACTTGTGCACAGCCTCTGGGGTTTTCCAGGTGGTGCATGCCAGGGATAGCTCCCACCTATGTTATGCCTGGGGCCACCCAGCATAAGCTATTAAGCATGCTGCAGATGGCTGATACTTGTGCTGGGCTTGGAGATTCCTGGGTGAAGCCAAATGGTGAATCTAGACTGGCTGCTGCTACTGCTGGGCCTGTGGCTACTTAGCCAGAGGTACAGGGGCTGGGTGCTTGCTGAGGCTGGCTCTTGCTTGTTTGAGAGGATTTAAAAAGACATGAAGCCTGAACTGAGACCAGCCATTCATATGGAAAAGCCACTGTTAACAGCTTAGGTTGGCCATAAGTTGGGTGGGATGGAGCCTCAGGGATTTAGAGCAAGTCCTGTGAGCCAGGTTGATGGAGTATCAGATATGGCTCCCGCCTGTGGGCTCTGGGGCTCTGTGGCTCTGTTGGGGGAAGGCTCAGAAAAGGGAACAGTGGCCTCTGCCTACCTTTCTGTCTGAGAGAGAGCTGTCCTCCAGCTCTTGCCCTGATGCCAGACACTTCTCTTCCTCCCCCTATGCCACTGATGCCTTTCTCAGAGGTTGTGAGTCTGAGTAAGTCTGTGTGTGGGCTCTTTAAGAGGAACTGCTTGGGAATCCATAGTTTGTTTGTTTGTTTGTTTGTTTGTTTCCATCAACTCAAACTCGGCTGGTTTTATAGCCAGAAGTTACAGGGGCTTATCTCCTGGCACTGGAATCAGGCTGGGGTGCCTGGTATGGGGCTGGGGCCCCTTCTTCCCATGATACCACAGTTGAATTTTTTATCCATCATACGTGGATGTGGGACCATCCTACTCCACATCTAACAATCTCCTGTTTGGATGGATGTGGTTTCTTTAGTTCCGTAGTTGTCACTTCATTTAACTTGATTTCTGACGGTTCTTAATGATGGTTATTCTGTAGTATAGTTGTAATTTTGATGTGGTTGTGTGAGGAGGCGAGATGTGTTTACCTACACCCCCATCTTCTAATTTACTTTAATTGACAAATATTTATACAGTGCTTATTGTGTGCATATAACACTTTCTATGCACCAGGAACTGTTGTAAATTTAAAAAAAAATTGATTGATTTTTAGAGAGAGAGGAAGGGGAAGAGAAAGAGAGAAACATCGATTTGTTTTTCCACTTATTTATGCATTCATAAAGTGATTCTTCTGTGTGCCCTGACTGGGGATCAATCTCACAACCTTGGCATATTAGGCTGATGCTGTAACCAACTGAGCTATCCAGCCAGGGCTTTCTAAATTATTTAGATTTTTTATTTTTTTAAGTTCTCATACCAGCTTATGGCTTGTGATGGTTCATGTATTGTTGGTGCTGATTTTTCTTAAAATGTTTGATAGAATTTCCTTAAAAGCTTGATGGAGAAGCTACTGGGGCCTGGATTTTCTTTTGGAACTGTTCTTAATTTTAGGTTCAGTTTTTGTAATGTATATGGGCAGTTATATTTTCTATTTCTTTGTATGAATTTTAATAAATTGAATTTCTAAGAGATTTGTCCTTTTTTGTTTTTGTTGAATTTATAGATATAAGTTGGTAATGTCTCCTTTTAATATGTGTAGGATCTGTAGTGATATCCCTCTTTATTATTTCTGATACTGATGATTTGTGGGTTTGCAGGTTTAATACCCAGTCCTTCTGGTGTTATCTAACTAGAGCACTGTTTTTCTTTCCTTCTTATGGAATTTATTGGGGTGACACTGGTTAATAAAATTATACAGGTTTCAAGGTGCACAATTCTTTGGATACAACACATCATTTGTACACTGTAGTGTGTGTTCCCCCCAATTCAAGTCTCTGTCTGTAACCATTTATGCCCCCATCCCCTCTGCTACCTCCCCTGCCCTGCCTCCCCTTCCTTTCCTGGTAGTCACTGCACTGTTGTCAATGTCCATGGGTTTGTGGAGGTTTTTTGGTCAGATTTATCAACAATATTTTTGAACTTTTCAGAGAATCAGCATTTGGTTCCATTGATTTTTCTCTGTTTTTACTTTTCTGTTTCATAATATTTTGCCTTGTTTTTATTACTTCTCCTTGCTTTAGGTTAATTTTCCTCTTTTTAATGGTTCTTTCTGGTGGAAGCTTATGTGATTAGATTTACAGGTGATGCTTTAAAGTCTTTATCAGTTAATTCCAACATCTGTATGACCTCAGCATTGATGTGTGTTCATTGTTTTCCCCCTGTGGGTTGACTTTCCTTGTTTGGTGTATTTCACCCACTCTTTCTCTTCTTTGCCGCTCTTCATGTTGGGGCTAGAGAACTTCTCTTGATGCTCTTTCTTTCAGTGCCAGTGTGTATTTCGGGTGTTGGGCTGTCTTGCATCCAAGGTCAGGCAACATCAGAGGGAAAAAAATGGTAAACTCAACTGCCACTTTATTGGTACTTCAGATTCTGGTCTTTGCCATGTAGCTGCTCCATACACTCTGTTCAGGTTTCATAGCTTCACTTCATGGGTGTGACACTGAACCTGGAACCCTGTTCCTTTTTTGCCTCTGTTTTTAAGAACTAACCAAGCTTTAAGTATAGCTTATTCAGAAATTCTGACTGCTGTGCAGTATTCTTTCACATGCATTTGTCGCATTTTACTTATCCTTGTAATGGACACTTAGCAAGAATGTCTCCACCTCCTTACAACCACACAATTATTATGCATGTGTCTTCCAGGAATGGGATTGCTGGATCTAAGGTACATGCATATATTTACTTGATAACATTAAGGCATAGATTTATCAAATACTAATAGACTAGTACTGTTAGAATACATTAATAGAGTCTAGACTAATTCAGTTTTTAAAAGGAAGGAAATCCTGTCACATGCTACGACATTGGACTGTTAAGACTAGACTAATACAAATATTCATGTGTGTGTGTGTGGGTGTACCATCTGTCAGTGGACATTTGGGTTGCTTCCACCTCTCAGCTGTAGTGAATAATGCTGCTATGAACATAGATGTGCAAATATTTCTTTGTGACCCTGCTTTCAGTTCTTCTGGATATATAACCAGCAGTGGGATTGCTGGATCACATGATAGCTTTGTTTTTAATTTTTGAGGAACCTCCATAACTTTTTCATAGTGATTACCATTTTACAAACCCATCAGTACACAAGGCCTCTAGTTTTTCACAGCCTATCAGCACTAGTTATTTTCTGTTTTCTTTTTTAATAGTAAGCATCCTAATGGGTGTGAGGTGATATCTCATAGTTTTAATTTGCCTTTCTCTGATAACTTGTAATATTGAGTGTGTTTTCATATGCTTGTTGGCCGCTTGGGTATCATTGGAGAACTGTGTTTTTGGGTCCATAACCATTCTTAAATTTTTTTTTGGTTGAGTTGTAGAAGTTCTTTATATATTCTGAATGTCTTAGTTCTTTTATGGCTCTTTTTGTGTGTGTGATGGGAAGAACACAGTGATATGTTTTATCTTTTTACCTATGGAACTAATACAGTTTCTGGTATATACTAAAACTTAATAAATACTAGCTGAATGAAAGTGACTTGCTTTTTTTCATAAAGACTGTTCTCTTATTTTTAAAAGTAGATTTCTAAGAGATGCCTTGAGGATTAATCTAGGCATTTTTGCCTATTTTAATTCAGTACAATTGGGTAGCTAGTGTCCTTCAGAATCTTAGGCTTGGAAGGCACTTCAGAGATTATACTGTAAGAACTTAAATTATGTACATTATACAGTACTTTTGATTGTGGAATGGACATATAAATACACAATTTTCTTAGACATTTCAGTTAGTTTCCATTTTTTAGTCCGGTTAGTTAAAATCTTACTAGTGTAAATCTGGGGTTGCTTTGGTAGATCTAGGTCCTGACTTCTTTGGTCTTCTGTAACTATAGTCTTTGTGCTGGTTTTCTTACATTTTCTCCAGAGTCGTCTTCCTCTGATGTACTTCCTGCAGGACTCACATGTACACTGTGTCTGTGGGCCTGTTGCTTCCTGGCTTCCAGTTCCGTGGGTAGTTGGAAGGCACAGACAAGAGGAAAGAGGGCTGTGTATGTATTACCCTATTCTTTCCCTGCCAGGTTGCTGCAAATTGCCTGGATGCCTCTACCAGTAATCATGATTCCTCTCCAGAGATCCTCTCTAGGTTCCAGTTAGTCATTTTGCGCCATTCAAGCCTAGTTTTGAGGCAATACACTATCCTTTCCTGGTTTCTTTAAATCTGCTTATACCTTTGTAAATAGTCTCTTCATGAAGTTCTCAAATTACCCAGGTTGTGAATGCCATCTGTTTCCAGTGGAACCCTGATTTTAGGCTATTTTAAGTATCCCTGGCCTCTACCTAATAGATGCCAGTAGAATCCCCTCCAGTCACGACAGCCCAGAATGTTCCCAGTCGTTGCCGGATGTACCCTAGGGGGTAAAATCACTTGCATTTGAGAACCACTGTAATTATGGTCCTTACGAAATAGTATTGTAGTTGCTAGATTTTCTTAGCTGTTTTTTTCCAGTAGAATATATATGTTCCTTTGAGGAGAAAAACTTCTTTATTTTTTCATCTCCAGCAGCTAGTCATTGTCTGACATGCAGGTAATCAGTAAATATTTGTTGAATGGATTGTACATAATTCAGTAAATGGTACCCAGATATTTTGTGACATACAAGTCCCATTGTATACTGGGACTTGATTAATTATTTAATAAAAAAATGCATATGATGTTTAGTGTTAGTGGTATGCACAAGCAAACAAACACTATTCGCAGTGGTTTTCTTTATATTTGATATCTTGTTTGGTTTGTCTACTCTTCATTTACTTTGTTAAACCTAGCTTTTGTTTCGATATTACATGTTTTGAAGTTCAAATCCAGAATTAATTGAGAAATAAGAATTGTGCTATCTAGATACTGAATGCACAGTGGTATACCCTAAAGCCAGGGGTGTCTAACCTTTTGAGGTCTGGGCCACACTGGAAGAAAAGTTGTCTTGGACCACACATTAAATACACAAACACTGAAGAAAACTGATGAGCAAGAAAAAGGTTTTAAGTAAATTTATGATTTTGTGTCAGGCTGTGGGTTGAACACCCCTTTGTAAGTCTTGTGGGTGCAGCGGGGAGTGGTTTTGTTGATTGTAACTCTACTGTTCAGTGAAAGTCTTGGTAAAAATAGCCTTTTTGCCCTGTCTGGTGTGACTCAGTGGATTGAGTTGCCAGCCTGTGGACCAAAGGGTCACCAGTTCAATTCCCAGTCAGGGCACATGCCTGGGGTGTGGGTCGAGTTCCCAGTTGGGGGCACTCAAGAGGCAACCACACATTGATGCTTCTCTTCCACTTCTCCCCCCCCCCAAAAAAAAACTAAATAAATAAAATATTTAAAGAAAAATAGCCTTTTTTTTTTTTTTGTCCAATTTTGTAGGGCAGCTTTTGTTTCCCCCTTTGGGTTTTTTATACCTTTGTTTATTTCTTTGCATGTGAGTAGTGTTAATGCTTTTTCTGTGATCTTAGGCACTAGTTTTTTTCCAAAAGGCTGAGACTTAGAGGGAGGATTTGAATAATTAAAATGAGAAATATTTAAAATTTTAGTTTAATTTATTGGGGTGAAATTGGTTAACAGCATTATATAAGTTTCAAGCATACATTTCTGAAAGATATCTATATGTTGCATTGTGTACTTACCACCCAAAGTCTAGTCACCTTTCTATCACCTAATTTATCCTCTTCAACTTTTCCCTACTTGCTTTTCTCCTCTGGTAACCACCATACTGCTGTCTGTGAGTTTGTTTTTGTATGTTCATTTGTTGCATTCTATTTTATATCCCACATATGAGTGAAAACATGTTTTTCTTTTCCACCTGACTTATTTTGCTTAGCATGATACTTTCAAGGCCCATCTGTGTTGTTGCAGATGGCAGTGTTTTATCCTGGCAGTGTTTTATAATGGCATTGTTTATGGATGAGTAGTATTCCATTGTATTGGCTTGGCCAAAAGGTCCATATGTTCTTTTTCTATAAAATAAGACACATTTTCCTTTTCACCAATAACTTTATTGATTTGCATATTTTGAATATGTTGGCTAACTCCTGTGTGGTATAACATTGACTGTGCTCAATGTATCGATTTGATCATTATCACCTTCAACTGGTCTGTGGAACATTGCCCAGTAAGAAATCTCCAGCACAAAACTTCGCAAACCATTTTTGACATGTTCCTTGTCACAGCACCTTCTCTACACACTGCACAGATCTGTTTTTGTGTTTCAATTGCATTTTTTAAAAGATTTTATTTTTAGAGAGAGGGGAAGGGAGGAAGAAAGAGGAAGAAAAACATCAATGTGTGGTTGCCTCTTGCATGCCCCCTACAGGGGACCTGGCCAGCAACCCAGGTATGTGCCTTGACTGGGAATCAAACCAGCAACCCTTGGTTTGGAGGCTGGCGCTCAATCCACTGACTCGCACAAGCCAGGGTCAGTTGCATTTTTATGTTTCTTGAAATAATAAAGCATAATATGCCAAAAATGTTACATATTTTCTTCCATCTTCAATATTAAAATGGCTACACAGAAGTTCACCAATTTTGATTTTTTTAAAAATGCACATTGATATGACAGCTGTCACACTACATTCTAACAAAATTGTTTCAAGTGAAGGCGAAGACAACTAAACTCTATTGGAACCGTATTATGGAGGAGGTTGGTCAACCCAATACATATGTACCAGATTTTCTTTATCCAGTCACTCATCAAAGGACACTTAGGTTTCTGTAGGTTTCTGTGTCTTGGCTACTGTGAATAATGCTGCAGTGAACATAGGGGCATATGTATATATACTTATGAATAAATGTTTTCAAGTGTTTTGGGTAGATAACAAGAGGGATTGCTGTATCTTATGGTAGCTTTATTCTTATTTTTTTTTTTTTTGAGGGACCTCTGTACTGTTTTTCATAGTGGCTGTACCAGTTTACATTCTCACCAGCAGTATGAGGGTTCCTTTTACCCACGTCCTCTTCAGCACTTGGTATTTCTTGTCTTACTGATAATAGCCATTCTGACAGGTGTGAGGTGGCATTGAAATACCTTGTGGTTTTGAACTTCATTTCCTTTAGAGCTAGTGAAATTGAACACCTTTTCTTAACATCTGTCAACCACTGGTATATCTTCATGGGAACAATGTCTGATCAGTTCCTCTGCCCATTTTTTAATAGGATTGTTTGTTTTCTTGTTGAATTGCATGAGTTCTTTATATATTTTGGAATTAGCCTTTTTTCGGAGGTGTTGTTTATAAATCTTCTATTTGGTTGGTTGCCTTTTTGTTTTGTTGATGGTTTCTTTTGCTTTGCAGAAGCTTTTAAATTTGATGTAGTCCCATTCATTTATTTTGGCTTTTACTGCCTTTGTCTTTGGGGTTAAGTTCACTAAAGCTTCTCTGAGACCAAGGTATCTAAATTGAGTGCCTATGTTTTCTTCTAGGGATTTTATTGTTTCAGGTCTTATATTTAAGTCTTTAATCCATTTTGAGTATGGTGTCAAATAACAGTCTACTTTCATTCTTTTGCAGTTGGTTTTCCAGTTTGTCAACATCATTTATTGAAGAAGCTTTCCTTTTTCTAGTGTTTTGGTTCCATGTTGAAAATTTGTTGCCCATATATGTGTGGGTTTATTTGGGCTCTCAGTTCTTTTCTGTTGCTCTGTGAGTCTGCTTTTGCTTTTCTGCTAGTACCATACTGTTTTGATTATTGCAGCTTTGTAGTATAATTTAAAGTCAGGGAGTGCGATACCTCTGGCTTTGTTCTTTTGTGCTGTTTGGGCTTTTTCATGGTTCCATACAAATTTGAAGTCTTTTTTTTTTTTAATGCTTTTGGGATTTTGATGGGAGCACCATTAAATGTGTATATTGCATTAGGTAATATGGCCATTTTAACTATGTTGATTCTTCTAATCTATGGGCAAGGAATATCTTTCCATTTATTTGTGTCTTCATCATTTTCCTTCAGTAATGTCTTGTTCTCAGTGTATAGATTCTTCACTTCCTTAATTAAGTTTATTCCTAATAATTTTATCCTTTTTGTTTCAATTGCAAATGGAATTGTTTGCATTTCTTTTTCTGATATTTCATTGTTAGTATATAGGGACAGAAGGGATTGTTGTACATTGGTTTTTGTATCCTGTAGCTTTGCTCTATTTCTGATAGTCTTTTGGTGTGATCTTTACGGTTTTCTGCATATATAATCATGTCATCTGCAAAAAGTGACCATTTTACTTATCCATTCCCAATTTGGATGCCTTTTATTTCTTTCTCTTGCCTGAGTGCTCTGCTTAGTACTGTGTTGAATAACAGTGGTGACAGTTGGTATTATTTTCTTCTTCCTGATCTTAGAAGAAAAGCTTTGTTTTAAGGTGAGATTTTTGGGAGAAGCAGACCTTCCTGCTTCTTTGTCTTTTTATTATCCCACTCCTACACCAATACATGGATACTCATTTCATCTGTCAGTGAGTTCTTTCAGCTCTGCCTTCCAAATAGATCTCAAATCTGAGCACTTCTGCCAACTACCCCAGTCTAAGCTGCTTCCATCTGTTGTCTGGAATATAGTAATAGCCTCCCTTGTCTTCCATTATTATCCTCCCCCAATCAGTTCTCCACCCAACAGCCAAAAAGATCTTTTATATTTTCTACTTTTTAAATTTTTTCCTTATTTGAGGACATTTTTCTCATTGCTTTTAGGGAGAGAGAATGGGGAAGGAGAGAGGGAGAGAAACATCGATGTGAGAGAGAAACATCGATTGGTTGCCTCTCCCATGTACCCTGACTGGGGACTGGACCTATAGCCCAGGCATGTGCCCTGACCTGGAATTAAACCTGCAATCTTTTGGTTTACTGGATGACACTCCACCCACCTGAGCCACACTGGCCAGGGCCAAAAAGATCTTTTAAAAATGTGAATCAGATCATGTCACTTGTCTGTGTTGGGAAAAGCACTGTGGTTTAGTGTCAAATAATCCATCCTCTAACAGGTGTTTGTTTCTGAACTAATTTTAATTTGAAAATAGTCAAAATAGTTATTGTGATTCTTATTTTTTCCAGGAGGAACAGCACAGCATGCTGGGCTCTGGATTTAAAGCTGAGCGTTTACGAGTCAATTTGAGATTAGTCATAAACCGTCTTAAACTATTGGAGAAAAAAAAAAGTGAGTAATAAATAGATGATTGCCTTTTATTTTTTTCCCCCAAAATACATCACTGGATCCTAGCACTCCAATATTGGCTCTTTCAGGCTGGTGGCTATGAAGTCCTAGGGCTCGTATTTTTAAGCTTTGGATATATCTGTTTAGATTGAATCACTTTGTTGCAGGGAAAGGGACATACTCTGTTAATATGAAATAGGTAGCATGACTCCTGAAATTTCTGGCTACACAAATAACATTTTCACCTAGACTAAACAACAAATTCTAGACTAGATTTGCTAAGGGAGAGTGAGCTAGGGAGGACATAATAGAAACACCCCCTTGTCTCCGTTGTGGTGGAGGTTGCCTGCAGGCCGTGGCCCAGTGTACTATTACTGTGTGACTAGAGTGGGATTTGTGCCTTAGCGGAACTGGCCCAGAAAGCAAGGAAAGAGATTGCTGACTATCTGGCTGCTGGGAAAGATGAGCGAGCTCGGATCCGAGTGGAGCACATTATCCGGGAAGACTACCTCGTGGAGGCCATGGAGATCCTGGAGCTGTACTGTGACCTGCTGCTGGCCCGGTTTGGCCTCATTCAGTCTATGAAGTAAGATATTGTGTGTGTGTGTGTGTGTGTGTGTGTGTGTGTCTTTTTAAATTGATGTATAATTGATATAGAAAAACTACACATAATTAATGCATAGAGTTTGATGAGTTTGGGCGCATGCATACATGTGTATACAAATACCACAGTCAAAGCAGTAAACATCACCTCCAAAAGTCTCCTGGTGTCCCCTCCTCCCCCTTTTCTTTTTTGGTAAGAACACAACATGAGATGTATATCTTCTTAATAAAATTTTAAGTGCACAATATGGTATTGTTAATTATAGGTACAGTGTTCAGCAGATCTTTAGAACTTACCTTGTATATATAACTTTAATGAAGTGAGATATTTTGATCAAACACCTGAAAATAAAATCACCTCTGGAATTTGAGAAAGGAGTAACATTGGACTTCCTACATGTAGGAGGCTAGCACCAAGGGACTATTTTACATACCCAAGGACCTTTTTCCTACTATGTGCTTGAAGGCCTGAATCCAATGTAGACAACTGTTGAAAAGAAAATATAGAATCTAAAGGCAGAAAAATGTACTTGAACAATTAAAATTTTTAAAAATTAGAAAAAAAGAAAATATAGAATCTGAACTCAAGAGGCCTAAGTCTGAGTGAGTCTTGGCTGGACCATTTTCTGACTGTGACCTTGAGTGCATCATTTAGTTTGAGTTTTTGCAGAAGTAAGATGAAAATGGCTAGAAGTTTAGAGTTATTGAAAATTTAATGAGATTTGTGAAATAGCTTTAGAAGCAATCTGGTATATCATAAAACTGGTAGGGTTTGTTTGTTGTAAAGAATGTTACATTGTATTAATTTTTTCCTTAATTAGGGAGCTAGATTCTGGTCTGGCTGAATCTGTGTCTACGCTTATCTGGGCTGCTCCTCGACTCCAGTCAGAAGTAGCTGAGTTGAAAATAGTGAGTATGACCAGTTTCAGTGATGTCTGTAGTTTTTCATATCATTAGAAAGGTTGGTCAATGTAAGTCATTTCTGCTTATGTAACCAGGTATTTTGTACTCTTCTCATGCTGCCTTTGACACAGGTTTCCTCCTTTTTAGGCCTCTTATATCATAGAATAAAAAAGTGTTTTGCAATCTAGAATAATTTTTTTAAGGAGCAAAGGGCCTTTCAAAGTGAGAGGCAGTAAGCACTTATTTCAGATCAATAAGAACATCTAAGGGGACTCAACTTTAGGCAAAGGCCCAAATAGTGTTTCCATTAGGAGACAAAGGCAATGGATATTTATGGGAAGGGAAAGAGGACTGATTACATCAGTCAAAGGAAGGCGGCATTTCTATTGGGACAGATAATGGTAATGTTAATTCTAACTAATGCTTTTAATTTTCATTTTAGTGGTTTCTTGTTACCTTGGCAAACAGTTCTTTGGTACACACTGTTGCCCTAGGCCCAGCCCAGAGGTTATTTTGCCCTGTTTTAACATCCCAGAGATTTGAGGCATAAGACATACAAAGCAGTTCCCTGGGCATTGGGAGCTCAGGTTCCATTTTAAAGTGGCACCATTTATTTCTTGTTTTGACAAATGTTATTTAAGTATATACAAATAGAAAAGTTCTTATACAACTGTAAACCAGTAAAGCTAAAATAACAATTTTATTTTGGATGGTTTTGCTTCATTCATTACACAAATATTTATTGAGCAGATGTGAGAGCTAGGTAGGCACTGAGGATATAGTGGTGAGCAAGGCAGGATACCAGCCCTATACTTGTAGCTTCAAGTCTAGCCAAAGAAATAGACATTAACTAAAAAATTGCCTGCCACACATAGATATGGTATCGACTCAGTTGAAACAATTCAGTTATTTTTTCTCTATATCTTTGTTTATTTGTTTTATCTTTTTAGAGATTATCTCAGCCTTGTCTCCCAACTCAATTTTTGAGATTTCCTTCTCTTCTGTTTTTATTTTTTAAGAGCTCTTTTTAATTTTCTGAATACTTTTTTATAATCTGTTGTTTTTGTTTCATGGCTGCAATGTCTTCCTTAATTTTTGGTTCTGTAATGTTTTCTTCTATTTCTTAGATTTAGACTTTTATTTTTTATGTTTATTTTTTAATCCTCACATCAGGATATATTTATTGATTTTAGAGAGAGGAAGGGGGGAGGGAGGGAAAGAGAGAGGAGGGAAACATTGATGTGAGAGAGAAATGTCAGTCAGTTGTCTCCCATACATGCCTTAACTGGGGTTCGAACCTGCAACCTTTTGATGTACAGGACAATGCTCCAACCAACTGAGCCACCTGACCAGGGCAGATTTAGACTATTTTGTAGTAGAGGCTTTTCTTAAAGTTTTGGTGATTCTTGGCTGTTGGTTTATGTTTATGAGTAAGATACTAAAAAGCAGATTGGAACCTTTTGTGTGCCTGGGTGGGGCTTGTTGTCAGATGTCTTCATTGTTGAACGATCTGACTGAGCCCTTTCTTGAGGGAACGCCAGACTGTCAAGAACTAGTTTTCTTTCCTTGGGTTGGTCATTTTCCTCAGAGAGGAATCCTACACCTGGAAGGTATAAGCTGGGTCAGCATTTCTGAGAGCCCAGGAGAGAAGGAAGCCAAAGGTCTCATTCTTTTCTTGAAGAAGACCTACACTTAATTCTTCTGTTGTCAGTAAGTATCTCTGCTGTGCTTGGAGTCCAGAGTCCCTTCAGTTTAACCTCCCCAGGGAGTAAATCTGTATTCTGATTGGGCAGGGAGAATAGGCATAGTGTTTTGTGGGTAGAGGAAGGGGAGAGTAGGGCAACTGCTTCTTACATAGTTTTAACCTCAGTGTCATTTTTAGCTTCTCCTATGCTTCTTCTTTATATCAAAATTAATTCCAAATGGAAAAGATTTATATGTTTTTTAAATAATAAAACCATAAAAATTTGAACAAAACCATACAGATTTTTAAAAAATATACCACAAAACTCAAAAGCCATAAACAGTGATAAGTTAATATAAACAAATATTTTAAAATCCTACAAAATATACTACATAACAAATCATTATCAAAAGACAAAGGACAAACTGTTTAAGTTACCAGGTATCCCTGAAAGTCTACATTTTGGACAGTGAGGGTCCCCTCACTGAGCTCCCAGGTGTTGGGACCACTCTAGTCCAATGCCACTGTCATCTCCTGCCTGGACTGTTAATAACAACTTCTTGAATGCTCTTCCTATACCTGCTTTGGTTTTCTTTATTCTGTTCACCATTCCATCAGAACTGAGGTTGTGTTCAAAACACTGATGGGATCCTGTCACTATGCTTTGTTTTAAAGCCCTATAGTTATCTTTCCATTGTGCTTATGGTAGAAACAAATTTCTAGTATGGCCTGCATAGCCTTGCATTATCTGGCCCCAGTTGCCTTTCTTCATTTCCTACCACATTCAGGCTCTGCACTAGAGGCTCACTGTCCTTATTTTGGAATGAGGATTGGCCCTGTTTTTCCACCTGAGGCCTTTGTACATGTTTTCTTCTCTTCCTGGGATGCCCCACCTTCCCCTGTTTGGTTACTACTAATCATCCTTAGTGAAGCACTGCTTTCTTCTGGAAGCCTTACCTGACTTTTTAAATTTATTGGGGTGACATTGTTAATAACTTAAGAGTTTGAAGTATATGAGTCTATAATACATCTGTATATTATATTGTATGTGTACCACCCCATTTCTTTTTTTTAAGATACTATTTACTTTTAGAGAGAGGAGAAGGGAGGGAGGGAGGAAGAGAGGGAGAGAAACATTGATGTGAGAGAGAAACATTCATTGGTTTCCCCTCATACATACCCTGACCCGGGACCAAACCCACAACCCAGGCATGTGCCCTGACTGGGAATTGAGTTGGTGACTTTTCACTTTGAAGGATGATGCTCCAACCAACTGAGCCATACTGGTCAGGGCTATTTTTTTTTTCTTAATCATTGGATTGGATTCTACTGTCATAAGCTGTTTATAGTATGGTATACTTTCCGGTAGCAGTTAGTACAGATGCATTGTACCTCTTTACCTGTGTGATTGAGTGATGGTTGTTTTTACCAGACTGTAAGACTCTCTTAAGAGTGGAAACATTGTCTGGTTTTGTTCATCATGTTTATAGTGTATATCATAATGCTTAATAGTTTTGCACATAGTTGCAGCTCAGTGGATGAATTCATAAACAAATAACTAAATGAATTAGTATGTACCCCTTTAGATTTTACAGACCCCAGTTTTTTTGGATGCCCTGTAATAGAAGCCTGTTTACTGTTGATAGGAGGGAACTTGAAGCAGTCTTTAGAAATGGTTTCCACTTTTATTTACTGTTCTTTTTTTTCCTATAGGTTGCTGATCAGCTCTGTGCCAAATATAGCAAGGAATATGGCAAGTTATGTAGGACCAACCAGATTGGAACTGTGAATGACAGGGTAACAAACACACTTGTTAAACATGAAGCAGTGGGGAGCGTGGGGGCAGGCTGATTTATTGCTTGCAGTGCTCTAGTGGGTACCGCTGTATGGTAGGGTGAGTCTATGGCTGCACGTGTCATATGAGGGTGGGGAGAAGGCTCTCTGATAGGCAATGCAGTCAACTCCTTACCCTGACCCTATACCTCTGATTTGTGAGGCTAATGTCCTGTGTCTTGTCTTATTCGCCCCTATTTTTTGTGCCCCTTGTAATTTGTGGAGGTAGAAGTGAGGTTGGGAGAAGGGTGGATGAATTCAGATGTAGAAGGCAGCAGTATCAGCCTTTCACCAACACCTCAGTCATATGTAACCAGGGATTGTCAGAATGACATGGGTCTTGTAATGTACTTTACAGCTGGAAAAAAATCATTAACTGGTCTGAAACTTTTTTCTTTTGCCTCAGTTTACCTATAAAATGAGAGGAACAAAATTTACAAGTGAGATTCGCTAGGCTTAGGCTGGTTGGTAATAGATGCATCTTAATCCTGGGTCTTTTAATTATAGCTGATGCACAAACTGAGTGTGGAAGCTCCACCTAAAATCCTGGTGGAAAGATACCTGATTGAAATCGCCAAGAACTACAATGTGCCCTATGAACCTGACTCCGTGGTCATGGTAAGTTTAGAGTCTTTCAGAGTACACAGAAAAGTGAGTCTCTAGATATCACTTTCTTTATAAGCATATTATTTCACTACAGTTTGTATGTGGAAGTTTAAGCCTTTGCCTTTTTGGATAAAAATAATTGTGCCTACATATCTCACAGAATACTTAAGAATCAGATAAAACAAATGCCTGAAAGTGCTTTGAAGAGGTACAAACCTCAAAATAGTATTATTGCTGTTCTTGTTTTTAATATATTTTTTTAATTTGTTGATTTTGAGAGAGGAAGGTAGTGAGGGGAGAAGGGGGGGGAGAGACAGACACTGATTTTTTGTTCCACTTATTTATGCATTCATTGGTTGATTCTTATATGTGCCCTGACCAGGGATCAGACCTGTGACCTTGTCATATTGGGATGATGCTCTAACCAACTGAGCTGCCTGGCCAAGGCATTGCTGCTTTTTGATGAAGATCCAGGAATTATGAATCATCCTGTGGGTATTGAGAAATGCCCCAAGACCCAGAACAAATCCTGAAATGTTCATTGGGTACCTGTGACATGCCACACAATACACAGAAAGCTGACAGTACAGAGATACATAAAAATAAGGTCCATGTTCTGAAGAGGCTTACAGTGTAAGGATGGTAAATATGCAAATATAATTATTCAGCAGTTAAGGTCAATAAGTATAGTAGATGCTTTGGTATGCTTAGACAACCCCCACCCCAAATATACACACTTCAGAACTGAAACATTTATTCCCATCTCTTGATTATTAGTGATTGGTGTCTCATACAGAGTTGAGTGCTTCTCCAGCAATGGCCCCCAGAAGAAAGAGCTTCCCTACCCAGAGTCTTTCCTGAGGGTGGCTTGTATTCAAAAACTGGTCAGTGCAGGGATTCAGAGACACTTCCCCTTCGACCCAGCTGGGGACATCTGCTGTAGGCTCATCCTACCTAGCTAGCTCCCGAGCTCTCTGGCTGAAGCCTCCGACTGCATGACAGCCCAGCTTCTTCCTTCACTTTCTCACAGGTCATTATCCCAAGAGACCTTCCCAGTAAACTAATCATGCTATTGGTTAGTTCATGCTAACTCCCCATCATGCTAATCTCCATCTCTGAGTTTGTTCTCTGGGAACCTAGCCCGTGATGTGGGCTAATGATGTGGGTTTCTCTTTTTTTCTCAGGCAGAGGCTCCCCCTGGAGTAGAGTCAGATCTTATTGATGTTGGATTCACAGATGATGTGAAGAAAGGGGGCCCTGGAAGAGGAGGAGGAGGGGGCGGGTTCACAGCCCCAGTTGGTGGACCTGATGGAACAGTGCCAATGCCCATGCCCATGCCCATGCCCTCTCCCAGTACTCCTTTCTCATACCCTCTTCCAAAGGGACCAGTAAGTATACATGCAAATACATGTGGTGTAAGCACTAGAAAATGTAACAGAATGTGACAAGTTGGCTCTGAAAACATTCAGGAATTTTAGGTTGCCAAGAGGATTTAACAAGAAGAGCATTTGGTATTAGCTTAATAATCATATATTGTGGAAAAAGTCTTGGGAATAAGAGAAAATCTTTTGGTTCAGCTGTACGTAATCCAGGGGGAAAATATGGAGGGATAGTGCTAGAAAAACTCATATTCATGTTCTTTTTCACTGAACATATTTGGGACCTGTTGCAGCTGTATTAGTAGCTTTTTCCAAAAATGAAATCCAGTCATTTACTACCAAGTAGAAAAACCTATTTTGTAGACAAGATGTTGAAGGTAGTTGCTAATAAAATCTAATAATCTTCCCTAAACAGTTGATTTAGAATTTGATTACAGATCTTTAAGAATCTGGAATCCTTCTGCTGATGTGGTATTTTAGGCGTTTTTTTTTTCTTTTGTGGCTCTTGAGTAGTATGTATATTGATATATGTGTATAGTTTGTCCTCATTTAATGTCATTGATATTTCTGTGACTTTAAATGAAATGATGTATTATGAAACTAGGTTTTACCATAGGCTAAATATTAGAAACAAGAGTTACATTCTTATGGCATTCAACGTTATAATGAAATGAGATTATTTGAAGACCTCCTATGTGTGTATATATATTTTTCTCCCTTCTTTTACACAAACTGAAAATTGTTAATCAGAACATTGCTAATTAGGGGCAGTGTCTCTGATGTTGCTTTTCTTCTCTTGCAGTCGGATTTCAATGGATTGCCAATGGGGGCTTTTCAGGCCTTTCCCAATATTCATCCACCTCAGATACCAGCAGTTCCCCCATCGTATGAATCTGTAAGTGCCTGAGCCTCTTTTATAAGCAGCAGAAGATTGAATCCCATGAAGAGAGCAAAATAATGGCCACAGGGAAGGCAAAGTTTTGATCAACTCTTAGTACCAGCATTGCTCTTGCTTTGGATTCTTGTGTTGCTTTAACATTACCCTGGAAGTGGGGTGTGGTGGTAGCAGCAGCATCATTGGTGGCAATGCTTTGTCTGCAATTCAGCCAGAAATTAGGAGGGAGCCACAGATCTCTTAGAATGCTCTAGCAGGGCACTTAAAAAAAAAGAGTGGTTGACTATAGAGAAGTACTTGAGGCTGGTACAGTCTTGGTGCTGGAATATTGTAATAATTGAACTACCATTTTTATAAATTCTCAGTGCTGTGTAAAAGAATAGTGACCAGACCTTTGTCTTATATAGAGGTGTCCAGTTAGTAAGTTTCAGCTTGTAGTATTAATTTTATTTTTTAGTCTTACAGTTAAAACTTGTTATAATTGGCTATTATGGTAATGCTGCCTTGAACTGTAGGTGGTTATAGCAGCTTTGGTTTAGAATTAGGTGACTTTTTTATTGCCAGCCTCATTTGCTCAGCTAGTGCATGCATTTTGAGAGCTGTTTCCAGTTGATACATTACTGAGAAAACAAATTGGTATATAGCATTTGTTGTGGAAATGATTCATCTAGGGAGAGTCTCCTGTTCCCGAGCTTGCTTTGTATTCTTTCCTTTGATTTTTACATTGGGCCTGAGTTTTTGTTTTGGTCTTGCGTACATTGAAGCATTGCCTAAAACTGTTTTTAGGAATGAGGGAGATGATTTTCATCAGTATTTGAAGACTTAGTAGTTCCTGGAGATGAAGTCAGTGGCTTAGTGCTCTCTCTCTCTCTGTGAAAGGTGAAGCTATCAGTTTAAAAAAAGTGCTACGGTGTTGTTAGGTCCTTCTTTTTTCCCTGCTTGGTGGTTGTGTTCAGTGTGGTGTCTGTCTGTGTGGGAAGATCAGGAAGGAGTGGAGGGGCAGTTTCTTTGGAGCAGGTTCTGTTGCTTTTGCTGAGCAGCTTAGCTTTTGGGAAGTTCAGGAGCTTATGTATAATTGTATCAGTTTTCTCCAATGATGCCATTGCTTTCTTCTCTGGTAACAATTTTTATGTTTCAGGTTGATGACAGTAATGCTGATAAGAATGTCTCTTCTGCACAGATTGTTGGTGAGTGTAAGTTAGAAACCCTCCAGGCTCAGTGCCAAGCCCATTGCTGATTCCTCATTACTGATTCTTACTACATGGTTTTCCTGTACATGGCATTCAACCCACACGCCCTGTCCTTTTTCCAGATGTAGTGTAGCAGAAACAGAACTCAGGATTTCCCTCTTCCAAAAAGAAAAAAATCTTCCCTGGCCCCAAAGAATCTCTCCAAAAAAATGAAAATGTGTGAAAACGGACACCAGAAACAATGCCTAATTTTCAGTTACTCTTAAGTTCTTTATGTTCTTGCTGCTTTAGCTTCCATTGTGCCTGGAAATTTTAAAAAGGAGGTATAAATAGGCACAAATTGTAAATGAATAGCTCAATGACTTCTTACAAAGCAGGCATGCTCATGTAGCTGTCCATTCAAAAAATAAACCGCCACCAGCACCCTATAAACCTGAGGGTGTATATTTTTTAAGATTAGACCATTGTATTTTTGTATAATTTATATATATAATTGAATATATAATTTATATACAAAAGTACAGAAGTATACATTTTGATATTACATGTGTCTATACACACACAATATGTAACCACTACCTCGGTAAAGATATAGAATATTTCTATTACCCAAGAAAAGTTCCCTTACATTCCTTTCCAGTCAGCTCCACCCCAGAGGCAAGCACTGTTCTGGAACATTACCGTAGGTAGAGAGGTGGGTGGGTGATTTTAAATGCACATCCTATTATTGTACATCAAATAAGATTGATGTTAACATTTCTCGTAAAAATTTTCCCCCCAAGCCTTAAAGAGTAGCTTTGTCCCAACAGAATTGTGGTACCACTCCAGACTTGGTTGTTACAGGAGCAGGCCTTTGTGAAATGGGACAGTTTGTTTAAATGAACACTCTGTGTACTTCCCTATAGAATTAAATATTAACCATTTAAAAGGAAAACTAGTGTTTTCTACTGTATTTTTTTATTGTTTCTGCCAAAGTGGACTGTGGGTTCTGAGGATCTGAGCCATTTCTCTGGCATTTCTAACACTGCTCCTTGCCCTGATTTAACTAGGTCCTGGACCTAAGCCAGAAGCCTCTGCAAAGCCCCCTTCCAGACCTGTGGATACCTATGACAACTTTGTACTACCCGAGTTGCCATCTGTGCCAGATACACTGCCATCTGCTGGTGCCAACACCTCAGCATCTGAGGACATTGACTTTGATGATCTTTCCCGGAGATTTGAAGAGTTGAAAAAGAAAACATAGGCCTCTTAAACCAGGCAACGTCACAAAGTTATGGGAGTTGAGACTGAGCACTTTCTCATTGTAACAAAGAATCTCCATGAAATTGTTTCATCTCTTAAACCATCACTGAGCACACTCTTCCTCTGGGCTCTCTTCCTGTTCTACCAAATTGTGCTGCTTGCCAGTTCTTTATTACTCCTAACAGACAACTGACTGGAGACACTATGAGGCCAGACCAGCTGACTCCTGTAAGCGGTGCTTGTCTGTTTCCGGTCACTATGATCCCAGGTTCTCTCCTTGCTTGTCCCACAAAGCATTGTGGGGAGAGCTGACCAAGATGGCTGCTGGGCTGTGGGAGAGAGTACTTCACGAAGTGTCTCAGCCCTAAGATGAGGCTCTAGAGTTAGAAACAAACCCATCTGTACAGAGGCACTTGTGGTGAGTGAGAATCAAAGCTGAGAGGAATGGGAGAGAAAAGGACTCAGGAAGCTGCTACAGTGGTTTTTGGAACCTGGGTCTTGTCATTGTCATACACACTACTCCTTGCTGCAGGGCAGTGTTCCACCTGGATCCAGTTGCAAAGCTGAAGGCCTGTCTCAGTTCTTCTGGATTCACAGGGAGCCCTTGTGGCCTTTTTCTTTGAGTGCTTTTTTCTTTGAGTGCTGTGTTTCCCTTTTTCCAGAGGGCAGCACTGTGTAAATTACTGTTTTCCCATTGCACGTTCTGTTGGATCGCATTACTAAGGCAGGACAGGCCACGAATTGGGCAGAAGTCACCATTCAAGGCTAAGGTGGGCTTCCAGTTGCCTTAATAGAAGTATTCAAGTCTTTTGAATAGTGAGCTGGAAGGCCTACAGGAGAAGAGGGGTTCCTGTTTTCATTTGAAAACTTTATGATTTAAGAACCTTTAAAAACTGATCTCAAATTTTGGTGCCCATGTGGCTATAGTTGTTTCCTGCTATCCTCGATGAACAAGACTATTAAACAATACTATTACGTTGTAACTAACATGCTCCTTTGCTCCCTAGCAAATGAAGGTCATTTCCCACAGGGATGGCTTTGGGATTGGAAGATAGGACTTTGGCTTCTATGTAGTGTATCTGTGTATACCTGTTTCAAGTAGCTTTTCTTTAATGTTTTTGATTGGTTTGTATCATAGCTCAGTAGCTGATAATAAAGTTTAAAATTCTGTGCGCTGCTTTCTCCACTGATTTGACCACATGATGAGCTGTGGATTTTAGTGGAGATTTTTTTTTTAATTGTTGAAGTACATTTGTCTTCATTTTCCCCCACCACTCCAGCGGAGAATATTTTAAGCAGGTGATCCATGCTTAGACACAAGTCAGACCTTACCTGGGGCTTCCTGGGGAATGGGGATGCCTGTGGCAGTAAGGGGCCCATTGTAGTCTCTGTATGTGAGCCTAGATAGCATCTGTGAGTTTGCCTTGTTACTCTTCTGGGCCTTTGCAGAGGCTTCTGGCTTGGGTCCAGGACCTAATTAAATTAGAGCAAGGTGTACAGTATTGGAAGTGCTTGCCATCATCCAGTCCCAGGCTTGTACATTTTTAATAAGCTGTTGTGAGTTTACCTCTGATTCATTCATATTCCCCACAACCATCCTGGAACATGGATTGTGAGGGTTCTGTTTCTCGCTCTTTGGCAGCAGAAGCAGTTTAATGTGTCACTTTTGCAGCGTTAACCCTTACCCACCAGTGCCAACATCCATATTGTAAAAACTGTCAGTGAAGGGGACTTTGATCCCCCACTGACCAATTTTCTAAGCTACACTGTGCAGGGGACTGTGATCCCTCACTGACCAATTTTCTAAGCTACACTGTGTAAAGATACTTATTAGCTAGGTGGTAAAAGGGTTAAGATAGTTCACCTTTTAACATTTTAGTGTGAGTGCCTATTGCTGTTTACTCACATGTGTTTTCATGTACTGGATTCCTAACAAACTGGAGAGTTTCTGTAGCAGCATATCTATCGGTGCAGCTTCTTTCCAACTCTATTGGAAGAGAGAAGGAGAAAATAAAATGGATTTGTTGCTAATGTTGAAGGAAAAAAGTGTCAAAGAAAAGTAAAGGTACTGTTTCTTTTAATGATCTGCTGTTAAGCAGAAACACTGCAATGCTTAATAGCTGAGGATCAGCTATTTATAGGCCAGCGGCTGGAACATAATGTGGTCTTGGTAAAATTGGATTTCCTGGGGAAATAGATGGCAGAGCTGTGGAGACTAATAAGGGAATATGCTGATCTTCCAGATCTGTAATTTTAAGAGCAGCTATAGTCAGGCTTTTCCAGTGGTATAAAAATGTTACTTTTCATATACAGGTATTCCCCACTTTACGCCACTTCACTTTTAGGAAAGACCTATGTTAGTACCTGTTTTTGCCAATCAAAAGAAGTCTACAGAGGACTTTCACTTTTATGAAAAAGGCAGAAAAGTGAATTAGTGTTCATTGTTTGCAGTGAACTGTTAGAGGCAGTGCACACTGAAATCACACTGTACATTATTTCTACTTTACATAGTTGTATATTGCATCATTCCTGCTTTTACTGTATGTTAGTGGTTCAGGTTTGATGTATTATTTGGTAGGTTATTTTAGGGGCCTGGGAAAGCATAAAAACTTATCCCATATAAATTAATGGTGATTGCATCTTTACTTATGCCATTTTGGCTTTTGAAAGTTTTCATAGGAATGCGCTCTACTTTTGGGTAGTGGGAGAAACCTGTATAGAAATTAGCAAACCACAGAGTTACCTACCTTCAGAAACATTCTTTCTTTACTAAAGGACATCAGAATGGCAGAAACAAAAAGGTTAATGATCACAAGTACCATCAAGATGATGCTGGTGAGGATCAGAAAGGAGCCCAGCACTGGGCATAAAGTGATAATCTGGAAAGGCAATAAAACACTGAGTTTAAAACTAACAGTTTCATTTTTCCTTTAAAAATGTAAGTTATATGCTAGCTAATGTTTGGGATATATTCACATAAACAATGTCGGGTAGAAACGAGGGAGAAAAGCAAAACTTAAAAAGGAGAATAATACTTTAGAGTGGACAGAGCAAGAATGCCTGACTCAAAGGGTGCGTGCCTTCAGGGCTTTCACAAGAAGAAAACAGAAACTGAAAAAAAAAGCCCGTTTGAGTTTTGGCAATTCCAGAAAATACAGGGATGAGCAAAACTGGGTTTACAGTTGTGAATATGTGAAACAAATTTATTGTGTTATTTATTAATTATTGTATTATTTTCCCTGTAAACAGGTGTAAACATACTTTTTCCAACCCCTGTATATCTAAACATGGACGCTTCAAGGAGTAGCAAAAGCATATTAAAAGAGTAGATACCAGAAATGACAATGAAAACGATCTCTGCCATTCCAAGAAACTTACATTCTAAACACGGAATCATTCCAATAAAATAGCCATAGAAAACCAGCTTTTAATTTAGTATTTTTTTTCATTGCTATCTTTAAATGGGCAAGTACTGAGTTTTGTTATTCTTTTCAGCATAAATCTTTCTGAAATTTAGAACTTAACTAGAATGGTTTCTGTAACAGTCTTATTTTAATTTAGGTGTGTGTTTTAACAAATGATGTTGATTCTCCAATACTGATGTTATTTTCCCTTGGAATTGGCTCTTTCATTATTGGCACTGTTTAAAAAAAAAACCAAACAACCCAGCAACCTAGAGAGTGAATACTTACACTAAATATTACTGTGATGGGAATCTCCTACATGCCAAAACATTTCCTAGTCGGTGTATCACCCACTTAAAGTGCTTAATTATATCAAGCTTAGATAGTCTCTTGGAGATTGTGATAAGACTTTTTCTCCCAGTAAATATAACTCTAGTCAACCTTTACATTGTACAATTATGATTAGAACAGAAAATTCTTTTAAAAATCGCCCAAAAATAGGTGTTAGTAAAAGTGTGTTATTCTGATCGTTACTTTAGTATATAAAGTGTTCCAGGGCCAAGGACTTCATTCCATAGTGATTGAGACTAAAACTACAACAATTGTTCACCCAGGAAAGTGGCAACTTTCCACATTAGAAACTGTTAACTTCTTCATTTTCATTAGTATCCTTTGAAATCTAGATTATCAGAATGATCAGCCTTGATGAAAATCTTGACAGTTTCACTAATTTGGTTTGCAGTTTTCCTTCCCTGATGGACTATATGCTTGTGCTTTGGACCCAGGTCCTCATCTGGGTTTCCTACTTTATTTTGTGTTGAATAGAAAGGTATTTGTGTTGGTAGTTCCTGGAGGAAAATAATAGGCTATCTGCAGTGAGTATTTTTTAACTATAAACAGAACTATCACAGCTCTTCTGGAACTGTACCTCCCTGATATTTTTAAAGTCACTTCCATTGTATACTTAAGATCCAATCTCCTTGGCTGTAAGATGTAGTAAGTATACAAGAAGTGAGAGAGGTGGGACTATGTGTTTAGAAAATGACAGATTTCTAAAGTAATAGCCACTCAAAATCTGTATATACAGTAAACCAGAATGGCAAAGGATCTAAATGTCTCCCTTTCTCGAAGTGCAGTGGTACAGTAGGGGCTGCTTTTATGAACAGTACTCTCTGTTATTACAGCGTGGGGCAGAGGCAAATTTACACTTATTACTAAATAATAATAATACAAGAATAAACTCTGGTCCTGGCTGGGTGTATCAGTTGGTTAGAGTGTCATCCCAAGATGCTAAGGTTGTAGGTTTGATCCCCAGTTGGGGTACAGACAAGAATCATCCAATGAGTGCGTAAATAAGTGGAACAACAAATTGATGACTCTCCCTCTCAAAAAATCCATTAAAAAAATAAACTTTCATGTACTCAAGACTGTAAACCTACCTTACCCCACCCTGTATATTAAAGCAAATAGAGTAGGGAAAACAGGATATAGGGTTTTCACCTCCTTGTAATGAGAGACTCCTATCAGGAGGCCAACAAAAGTCACTGCTGAACTGAAGAATGTTCGGTATTCAGAGATGCGCCATCCAAACACCAGGTTAAACTGAAAAGAAAGAACTGTCAGAGGGCATGGAGAGCAGTGAGGCTATTGCAGTTATTTCTGTCTTGAGGTGCTGGGTAAGGATGAGGTCAACGCAGAACCAGTGGAATGGAAATTAAATTCCTTAGTGGCCATTTCAAATATGTCTAAAAAAATACATAAAATTCTTTTGTAATTACAGTGTTTTCATGTAACTTTGACCTTCACATTCCTGTGAGCTAAGTTTTACTGCCATTTTAGAGATGAAACAAATGTAACAAAGTCTGGCCAAAAAGTCTGTTTTTTTTTTCCCGTAAGATACATTTTTCATTTTGACCAATTACTTTATTGATTTGGATGTTTTGAGTGTGTCGGCTCTCTCCTGTGTGGTATAATGTTGATTGTTCTCAATGTCTTGATTTGATCACTGTAAACTTCAACGGGTCTACCCGATCATGGAGCATCCAGTGAGAAAGCTCCAGCACAAAACTTCGCAAACCACTTTTGACACATTCAGTCACAGCACCTTCTCCATACACCGCACAATTTTATTTTTTTTGGATTTCAGTTGCATTTTTATCTTTCTTGAAATAGGAAAGCATAATATGCCAAAATGTTGCATATTTTCTTAATTCACCTATTTTGATAAGTTAAAAAAATACATGCTGCTATGACAGCTGTCACAATACAATAACAACATTGTTTCAGATGAAGTTAAAGACAACTAAGTGTCACTAGAGCCATCTCACGGAAAAAGACAAATGAACTTTTTGGCCAACCCAGTATGAGTTTAAGTCACACTGCTAATTAAGTATGGAACTCCCAACTAAAACCAGCTTTCTTCACATTTTTTCCCAAAACTCATTGCCAACTTGAACTGCTGATTTTCCATATAGTGGCCTTGTCTATAGTAAGCAACGTGATTACAAGACCACAGCACTTAGGAAAAGACAGACAGTGAAATGGGGGCTTACCGCAATGGCATAGCCTGTCAGCAGGATCAGGATGACCAGCATGAAGCCCACCATCTCATCCCAGGCTTTGTTGAGTGTTCTACCGATGACCTGCAACCTGGGGTTATGATGCAGCAGGTTCCACAGCCTAACAGTTGTCAACAGAAGCAGGAAGCCCATGAGGTGAATGACAGCTGAGTTCACTTTTACTGCCTCGTAGAAGTTGATGAACCTGTACCAAGGAAGGCTGAGCTGTTCAACACGAAGTGTGTGTCGTCATCAATTCCTGTGATGTCAGTTTCTCCAGTGTTCCTGCTGCCACAATGCAGCAGTTCTGTGAGTCCTATTTTGTGAAATGCTTGTAAGAACTGCTTTCTACGGTGGCCTCCTGTTATTAGTGGATATGACAGCACTGGAAAAAGACTTTTGGCCCTGGCTGGTGTGGCTCAGTGGATTGAGTGCTGGCCTGTGAACTGAAAGGCACTGGTTCAATTCCCGTCAGGGCACATGCCTGGGTTGTGGACCCGATCAGGTCCCCAGTTGGGGGTGTGCAAGAGGCGACCGACCAATGTTTCTCTCCCTTCTTCCCTTCCCCTCTAAGAATAAATAAAATCTGGAAAAAAAAAAACCCCACAAAAAAAAACAAAAAACATTTGGAAGTTGTACTGAAGAAAACTCAAAATGTGACCTCTAGAAGATTTCTTTACTCCAGTTTCATCCTGAAAATTAAGGCTAGTCTCCTCTACTGCTCTGTTGTTTTTTGGTTTTTTTTTTTTTTTTTAAGATTTTATTTATTTTTAGAGAGGGAAGGGAGGAAGAGAGAGAAACATCAGTGTGCGGTTGCTCGGGGCTGTGGCCTACAACCCAGGCATGTGCCCTGACTGGGAATCGAACCTGCGACACTACTGCTCTGGTTTGAGTTAAATTTCTCTGGAAAGTACATGAGTTGATGTGATGAGATGTGTCTTATGCTAATCTGTTTTCTGTAACATGAATCCTATATTCTCTGGCAGTAGATAATTGATCCTCTAACAGGTTTAACAGTACTGAGAGTAGAAACAGTAAACTGGAGGTAAGGGGTGTTACTTACCAATTAGAAGTTGGTTTTTTATTTGTTTAGGTTTTCTTATTTGAGAGGTGCATTCAAAATTTCATGTTGCAGCAAGTAGGTTATTGGGATAGACCTCCATTGGTGTGAGCATGTTGGCAGTTAATCACAATTCTTTTTGTGTCTGAGACCAAGGCAATGCCACACAGCAGGCAGGACCTCAGCTGCCAGCATCAGGCAAACTGCACAGACCCACTGTCCCTGCATTAACAACCCTCATAGGCCTTCCTGGGACATTGGCGCAGTCTTACACACAGGCTGTTGACCACTGAAATGTTAGAGAAGCACCACATGGCAATACTTGATCTGGGACATAGATGCTCTTCCCCATGAGAAAGACCAGAGAATGAGGCCCAAGGGGCACCAGAATGTCTCAGTGTGGATGAATGTTCGTACCCAGACAGCAGCCCGCCTTGGATTTAAAGTGTGTACTATGTGTTGTGGTTTTATTTAAAGAAGGATCATTTGTTATGCCTCAGGTTTTATTCCTTGGCCAGGGTGCAAAATAATGACCAATCCAGGCCCTTCCTATGTGAAAGGCTGAAGAGCTTTTCAACCTGATCAGCAGTATAAGCTTCTAGTTAATTGTTTCCTCTGCCGTGAGCATTATACAAAAACATAGATTTGGTAGATCAGTGGCAGAGGAGGGGGAGTTTGAGAGACCACTTGTGTGTAAACAGGAAACGACCTTGAGGAGGAGCCTGGTGCTGCTCAGGCTCCCTCTTACCTGTCACGGTTATGGTGGTATTGTGCCATGTTTTTCTTATGTAGGGAAATAAGCTTCATGCCAAGCACCAAGATGGCAAAGGTAATAAGGATTATGCTCATGTCCAGAATGTTTTTCTTCCTCGTGAAGAACCTCCATCTCTGCTGTTTCAGCCGGCAGCCCTACACAGATACCACAGTCACCACTGCTTGCCTGCAAGACCAGCTACGCCTGTCCCCAGTGGGGTGCTATGAACGCTGGCGAAGCACTCGGCTGGGGCTTGTCAGATCTAATCTGGACACGGTGGGTTGTGGTCTTGGTTCTGCTCTGGAGTCATTCAGAGCTGCTACTTACTAAAAAGTTGCCTTTCTCTAATACAGCTTTCATTGGGTAGTCATATTTCTTGTTGCTTAAACTTTAAAAACTTCCTAAATTACTTATCAAGTCTAAACTTTTTTTTTAAAAGTGAAATTAAAACTTAGGTTTAGGACATATTTTGAGTACAGTGATCTGTATTTTTGAATACTTGCTCTGTTCATCACAGTTTCAATCTCTTGCTGTTGCCCTATGTAGGGGTAATACAACTAATTGTACAGAAAATAATATTCTTTCTACAGACTTACTTCTTTGTTGAAAATTGAATGAGCTACTTTGTAGAAAACCAGTTAGTCTTTAACTGAACTCAAACTTCTGGAAAGGACCAAAGTCATAGCTATAATTCAAGCAATAACAGTACGTTGTGCCGCTCACTGTGCAGGCTTGAGACTCTAGGACCTAACATTCTGATGTTCCCAACTCGCCTGTATGACGCCATAGTAACCGACTAGGAGATAACAGATGACTTGGGAGACGACAGACCAGGCAAACTCCTTCTTTGATGTCTGAAGGGAAGTTAAAATGTCCAGTCTTATGGAGGCGAAGAAAGCACCTGAGGAAAAACATTTGGAGTCAAGAGTCTTTACAGCTTTTGCCTTTTCCCTTCAAACCCTGTCTTTGAAATAACCCCAACTGTGCCTGTACCATTAATTTCAAATGTTTTTGGGTTTTGAAGCTCAGGATTTCCTCTAGGGTTGTGATGCACATTAAATGAGATCATGTGTGCAAAGGTATCGGAGAAGTGTGTTGATTGCGGTGAAAGTCAGTAGAGGAAAGTCAGTAGAGGGAGATTATACTGTTGATCCCACCTGGCGGGCAGCGGCAGTGACCTCAGCTGTCACGGCGCGGGGGGGGGGCACCCTTACCAAGCTGGAGCAGCGGCAGAGGCACTGCTGCAGCATCATGTTTTAGAGAACTGACGACTGCAGTGTGAACGGACAACGGAGTTAAATGTGAGTGTGGCACTTTTGTTTAAAGCTATTTAAAATACATTTTCAGACATTAGTGTGATTAAAATGCTTTGAACCATTTCACATTTATTTTCTGTGTAAAGCATTAACACTATCCCATGAATACTGACAGTATGCCATGAATACTCGGATGTCTGTATGAGGATAGACTTACAAAGCTTGGGCCTCCACCTAAAAAGACAGAATGTTGACATTTTATAAATGCATGAAAGATCTTGTGAATATAACTTTTTGTAAAGCCCCAAAATATTCGAACTAAGATGTACCCCTTGTAGTAGAAAGTACATTTTAAGAACAAAGAAATTCCTACTTCACATAGCCAGTGCTCAAGACTGGGAATTTCCCTTTGTTTATTTTACCCCTATCTTAATTAATTTTTTTTTTTGTAGTTACTAACAATGAAAACGCTCAGGAAGAGTCCTCATGCTTCATTTAGAAGTATAAGAGAAGTGGTCTACTCTGTGGGTCTGGGAAGAAAGGATTCCTGATTAGAAGTGAAAACCTGGTGGCAAATGGAAAGACACTTGGGGGCAAATTCTGGGGGCAAGAAGAAAGAGAAAGGAAATCGGGTCAGGGCGGGGCAGCCTTCCTGTTAAAGGGGGGTGGGGATTGAATGTACCAGGTTCCCTCCAGTCCTTTACAAAATGCCACTACAATGGCAATGAAGGGGTCAAAATGACAAAGGAGAGGAGGGCAAATGGATGGGACAACCTTGGGAGCTGGAAGATAGATGCATGACGCTGTCTCAGCAGGTTCAAGAAAGTGGAAACCTAAGCAGGAAACCCAGAGGCAAGCCAATTCTTACCACAAAACCCTGGAAAGGCTGAGAAATGAGAGGCCTCAGGTACTTCTGAAGGTAGGGGGTCAAGGGGAACTGAGGACAGGTTGCCAGTCTGAACATAAGCAACTAGATCCCCGATTTCCTCTCGCTGTCAGGACCAGATACTTGCCACCCATCCTGCCTTCCACAACCTTAGTGACATTGAACTAGAGAGAATCTGAACTCCTAGGCACCAGGCACACCTGCAAATCTACTGGAAAAGGGAATTAAGGAAAAGTTTACACACTGCATGGTGAGACCCTTCCCAGTCCCCTTCCTTCAGCTGGCTCTGAGAGGTGTAAGGCTGATTAGCCTAAAGCAGGAGTTTGGAGGGTCCCTCTCTCTGGAAACTGACTGCCCAAGAGACAAGTCATACATACCAGCTGACAAGCTCCATGCATACACAGCTGATTAGCATTTATTTGTTTGTTCTTTTTACTGGCTCTTAAATGTGAAAGAACAGCCAGATGTTTAAACCTCTAACATTGAAAACTGGAGATCAAAATACAGGGTCCAGCAGAAGTAAGGCATGCTTGGGTGTGGTTGGTAGGGTAATAATATGGGTGTAATAAGTAATAGTTTTAATCTGAACGTTTCATCTAAAATGCCATATGGTATGCTTGAGTGTGATACTGTTATGTTAAAGAATTACATGCTTATGATTTTGTAATAAAGAAGGTGTGTTATTTGTGCCAGACCCTATATATTAAATAAACAAAAAGTTCAGAGGAATTAAGAGAAAGTTAAGGAAATGGTAAAAATAAAACGAATCTGTAGCATCCTCAGAGCGCTGAGAGGATACTGATTCCATAAAACAACAACAGGAGAATATGAAAAAGAAATATGAGCGCAAACAATTTTCGGAAATTAAAATAAAATGAACATTTCAAATGCTTTAGAAATTGAAGTGATCTCTAAGAAATTAGAAGATAAAGATGGAAAGGCAAAAATAAGAAAATCAGAGGATTAGTCCAGGTGTTCTTTCCTCAAAATTCTAGGAATATAAGAAAGAGAGAAAATAGAGGAGAAATTTACAAAGAAATGCAAAGAAGATGTCTCAAAAACCTAAGGCCATGGTTCCAGATTAAAGAATTTACCATGGGTCAGTCAGGTCCTTTCATAACCCTGGGGACCAAGAGACAATTCTAACAACCTGCAAGTGGAACATCGTCATACTGATTAACAGCAGTGCAAGAAGTTCAAGACAACGGACTATGCTTTTAAAAGTTCTGTGAAAAACAATTGTATCCGGTCAAATACGCAATCAAATGTGATGGCAAAAATTTTTTGGGACATGCAAGGTTTCAAGTAATTCTCTTGCACCCTTCTAGGAAGTTATTGTAGGATGAGCTCCAGCAAAATGAGAAAATAAACCAAAAGAGGAAGACGGATCTAGGAGAAAGGGGATCCAGCAGATGAGAAGTAAAATTAATCCCTAGTGTGACAGTCAGGATAAGAGCTCTAGAACAGGCCTAGAGAATAACCAGTCCAGGCTGTGCCAAAAGGTTGGAGGGCACTAGAGAGGGTAACTCATAAGAAAATGACAAAATGGTAAGTTATATGATACTTTTGAATAGAACGAGATTTTTGTTTCTAGGATGAGTTTGATTCATCTCCAGTGATAGAATACATGCAAAACCAAGCAAACAAAAAGAAGTAATTATAAACTAGGAAACAGTTATGGAAACATAGGAAACTGAATTATAATATATGGCTCATCTTTGGAAAATATCACAATAATGGCCCTGTCTGGTGTGGCTCAGTGGACTGAGTGCTGGCCTGTGAACCAAAGGGTCACCAGTTCGATTCCCATTCAGGGCACATGCTTGGGTTGCGGGCCAGGTCCCCAGTAAGGGGGTATGTGAGAGGCAACCACACACAGATGTTTCTCTCCCATTCCCTTTCCCTCTAAAAAGAAATAAAAATCTTTTTTTAAAAATCACAATAATGGAAATAATCAAACTATATTGCTATATTGTGAAAATGAGGGAAGAGAAAATGTATGTGTGCATTTTAGGCATATGTATGGGTATAGGAAAGTTAAAACCTCATCGTTATTAAAAATACATACTACTAAAACAGAAGATTCTTGAAATAGCTAATAAGTATGCTGATCTTAAATTCCAAAAGAACCAGTTAGAAAAGCTTTCAAGTATAGCAGCTTCTGGGACATAAGAATGAGGTGGGAACTGAGGACTGCCAGTTTTTCCCTTGAACTATTTGACTTTTAAAATTATATTGTGTGCAATAACATTAATTAAAATAATGTTTCCTAATGGTATAAGAAATTGGGACTTCTGAGATACCCAGGTCAGAGGGAGGAGGGAAGAGATCTTCGTACCCACATTGTTGGATTCCAGAATCAAGGTCACTGCACAGAACAGGTTCACATTAGCATTGAAGACCACAAATTCCACAAAGAGGCTTTTGGTGCGACGGTCTAGCCAGTGGCTCTGTTCAAGGCGCTGTAGAACTCTGGAAAGACAGAGGGACAGGGCTGCTACTCCATTCAACCCTGCAAAGGAGGACCCCCCTCTCCCCGCCCATTCCAAGTAGGAAGCTCCATTTCCCAGGCTAGTTTACCTGGGCAATATTTTATAATTACTAATGTCCAAACTTTCACTAGTGATAACATGAATACCAATTTAGAGGGCTACAAAAATAGTTTTCACAGTGGTAGTCACACCAAGGTTAAGTGTTCAAGAACATATATTTGGCATTTCAAGTCTGAGGTAGCATTTTATATACATGTCAACTACTTCTGTTTGAAGTGTTAAAGGCTATGCTTTACTAATAGTTACTCAGTTTTGAGAGTTGTAAGGGGTGAAATATCATTTGGTTGGCATTGTTTCTTAGTAGATTCTTGCTATAAATTTAAATGAGAATTATTTTAATTTAGACTTTTTCATACATAATCAGAGACTCAGGATTCATATACAAAATCACACTATAAGTATAAAATTTATTTTTGGCATATGAATTATTTTGGATTAATCACGGTTCTCAGTGAAGGACAGTGTTTTTTTCTCATGACTGGAGAGTACAGTTTCCCCAAGCTGGAGTTACCTGAGTTCTCCTGAGCTAGGAGTGAAATTGATACATTTTTCAGATGAGACAAGAAATGAGATTTGGCAAACTGGCAAACTAAAATATACCTGTAATTTGAAGCTGAACAAATTTTTTAACTAACACATTTCCTTAAAAATCTAAAATAAGCCCTGGCTGGTGTAGCTCAGTGGATTGAGCGTGGGCTGCAGACCAAAGGTTTGCTGGTTTGATTCCCAGTCGGGGCACATGCCTGGGTTTCGGGCCAGGTCCCCAATGAGGGCCATGTAAGAGGCAACCACATATTGATGTTTCTCTCCCTCTTTCTCCCTCCCTTCCCCTTTCTCTCAAAAATAAATAAAATCTTTGAGAAAAATAGGCTAAAATGAAAGTGTCCACAAGTCATTATAGTAGTTGTCAAAACTACTTAAGTGGTTCCTTAATTCCTTGCCTTAAGAATGGACAGAAGCAAACATCTTGGTCCCCTTGTTCAGGCCTCAGGCTCGCTCACCTGACGGCAGCACTGGAATTTCTTCCAAGTCTGACAACGTATCCTCCGCCTGAGTAAGTGGCAAATTCCCCTTGGATGGGGTAGCCGCCCAGTGTCTCCTGATTCTGATAATGCCAACTGTTGTCTGAGTCCGTGGTGTTCGTTTCAGGGGGCCTCCAGCTCACCCCATAGTTCTCTGTATCCTCCAGATCTGAGTGAGATGGCTTCACTTGTTCTTGGGGAGACACTTTGGATGGAAAGTCTGTGGCACCAGGAATGCGAGTCTGGCGGAGCAGGACATTTCCCACGAGAAAGGAGTTCCCATCGGTAACAAATCCTAATCAAAGTACAAGAAGCTATTGTAAAAATTGCCTCATTAAATTAGTAGCAAAAAATGCAGTTTCACCACTATCTTATTTTTATTTATTTTAAAAGATTTTATTTATATATTTTTAGAGACAGGGGAAGGGAAGGAGAGGGGGAGAGACATCAATGTGTGGTTGCCTCTCATGTGCCCCCTACTGGGGACCTGGCCTTCAACCCAGGCATGCTCCCTGACTGGGAATCAAACCAGCAACCCTTTGGTTCATAGGCCAGCATTCAAACCACTGAGCCACACCAGCCAGAGCAGGAAAGAAATTTTTTTTTTTTTAGCATTTCTCCAGCACTACTCAGAGCCTTTGCATACCAAATTCTCTTGACGGTGAGGTTCTTTGAAGATACCGACTATATTATATCCATCTTTTTATCGTTAGCACTTAGAACAGTTTCCAGCATACTAGCTGTTCAATACATATTTGTGCAACTGAACCGAATAACCATACAAGGAGAGTTCTAGACACATCACAGATTTGGGAAGATTGCTCATGAGGAAATATGTCAAATATCATCTGCTGTGGAGATCTTTCTAGTTACACTGCTTTGTGTGCTTGCTAACAACCTTAGCTACATGTGGTTCCCCCCTTCACCAGGAGGCAACCAGTCCCAGGGATCACTCCCACTACTTCTCATGCTGTAAGTGGATAAATTCTCATTTCTATTTACCAGTCCCATGTGAGACTCAGCAGTTGGAATCAGCATCCATGGGCCTGATCATCCTTGACTGAAGAGACATAAACCTGAACCTGCTTAGCTGAGATCTGGGGAGTGGAATCCTTGGGGTGCCTACTGGGGTGCAGCCATGTTGAAAGATCCAGCTGACCTTTTGCTGGTGTTCTAACGTCAAGGTAGAAGTGTTTGGAAAACTAATCGCTCCCTACATTTGCATGTCTGGGCCCAGGACTGTCCTTACCTCTGTAACCCCCATACAGGTTAGGAAGGAGCGTGTGAGTGGCCCAGGGGTAGAACTGCTTCAGAAGTTTGATCTCTGAGAAATGGTGAGAAAAGCTCTTCCAGAGAGCTTGATGGAGGTAAAATCTACTGGCGTTCTGTGTGGAGTTGACTGCAGTCATCAGCAGGACAAGGAAGAGGATTTGTACTATTGAAGAGCAGAAAAAAGCATAAGCCAAAACATTTGGCTGTATATCTATATATATCTTCCCAGAATTGTTCTGGCACTAATTAGAAATTTTACTTAAGATGCATAAACTCCCACACAGAATTTTTGTATTTTAGTTCTTAGAACTAAAGCCCTGCACTAAACCTCTCCTCCCTCCCTCCCTCCTTCTCCCCGCCCCCTCTCTATCCGTGCTCACAAGAAGGGAAGGCACCGTAAAAACAAATTGTGTTCTTGGGGTCAGGGGACCCAACGATGCCAGCGCTAGCTGTGTCGAACGGTCACCGTGCACTTATAGGATAGCCGTTTTTCGAAGCATATTCCTTTTTGCTCCACTCGGAAGCATGTGGATCATGTTTTTTTTATTATATTCTGCAGGTAGAGAAAGCGACTTACTCAAGCACGCAGTTAGATCTCAAGACTCCAGGAGTCTCCCATTGACCGCACCACCTTGTTTACTGCAATTCTGATTTTTCAAGATGAATGTGTTACGCCTTTCCCCTTCCATGTTTTCCATTTCATGCTCACCACCCCTCGTCCTCGCTGGGCACTGTGCGGCAGTAACAACGCGCCACCATTGCCTCCCCTTACCCAGGATATCTCCTGTCAGCTTGAAGAGTTCTTTGTCCTTCAAGGTTCTTCCCGGGCGCTTAACTGGGCTGTTCAGAGCCGGGGCTACATAGATGGGGTTCCTCTTGTCTCTTGAGCCAGGTAACGATGAAGAACATTTTGCTGTAAAAAATTCAAATACAGGCAAAAAAATGATATGTTTCATTAAGCAGTTATTCATCAACATTTGTTGAGTATCTACTATGAGTACCTCCTGTTAAGTGTTGAAGAAACAAAGAAAAAAAAGCTAAGCAGAGATACTCAAACTATCATGAAGGACTTTCTTAAAAAAATTCTGATCCATCAGGAACTGATACTTTTATAAAATACAATAAAAATGAATTAGTAGAAAAATGAAAGAACGGAGGCCTATAAAACAACGGGCCTATAAAATTAGAGTCAGGCCTAAAGTTAAGTCTCTTCAATTGCTATAAAAGTTTCTAAATTGCCTGCTGTCCATTTCTGTACTTATCTTGGACTAGAAACTAACAGTTCCAGTCAGTCAGTGAACACACGTTGGAAACATGACCTGCAGGTGTTTCTCAAACTTGAATGTGTACAGGAATCACCTGGTAATTTTAGTATGCGTAGACTCGAGGGTGAAGCCTGAGATTCTGTATGTCTGACAATTGCAGGACATGCTGATATTACTAATCATAACATTTGCCACCACAGAATTAATCCCATTTTACATTCTATTTGAAGCAATACTAGTGCCAACCCTAGTTACCACCACTGGCTGAGGCAGCCAGAGCGACTAAAGGCAGGATTTCACTTCCTGTTGCACACACTAGTGGGATCACTTCCACTCCTCATTGCACTAATCTGTATTCGAAACCTTATAAGCTCGTTAAATTCCTACTAGTGCAATACTGAATTCAACCTCTGCCTACCTTTTGATCTAATATTCTTCTATGACTAGCCTCCATAGTAGCACTTACAGTGAGAATGCCTCTCTATGGCCCGCATTTATGACCCCCGAAAGCACACAGCCAAGTCCCCGTTGCCGGCCCTAAGCTCCTGCAGCTGCATTACTTACACGAAGGAGCTGTGGTATGCTATGAGTCACAACAATGCTAACCCTCCTAACAAACGTTATAGCATGCTCCTTCCCATACCACCCCTCTGAGACAACCATAACCAGTTCTATGTCAGACAGGTTGCAAATCACTTGTCGCATACTCCATCAGCCACAGAGCTCTAGTAATTGTAGCTGTCCTTAGTCTAACACCATGAAGCTGTATCGGAGCCACTGCCCGGCTAATCGCACACAGCTTTGTATCCTCACTCAGTACTACTCTACCTGGCGAACTGAAATTATGAATGAATCCTTAGCCAGACTCTAACTTTCTTCCACTGAGAGCAGCATGATGACTCCTAGCAAGTCTTACTAATCTGTCTTTACCCACAGCAACACTTTATTTGGGGAGTTCTTTGTAGTGATGTCCACATTCTCATGGTCTACTGTATCTGTCTCACACAGGAGCCAACAATGGTATTACTGCCCTACACTCCCTCTAAGTACTAATTATGACAATGAGGGAACATCACACTGACAACGTTAAACCACCCTCCGCACGAGAGAATGCCCTCATACCTACACCTGCTGTCCCTGCTGTCCCTCCTACTCCTATCCACCGACCCTGAAATCATCTGGGGGTCTTTGTACTGTAAATATAGCTTAATGAAGACATTATTAGATTTTAAATTTAATCACAGAAGCTAAAAACTCTTATTTTCTTAAAAAGTATGCAAGAACTGCTAATTCATGCCCCTATATATATGTCAGCATGACCTTTTCAAACTTTTGAAGGATAGGAATTATCCACTGCTCTTAGGCACTAAAAATTAGTGAAACTCCAAATACACGTAATAGTTTCTATTTGCTTCAATACTAATTTCGCTACTTGTACTAATCCTACCAATCATAGTGACCACCTCTAATATCTACCAAAGCAAGATGTATCCTCACTATGTAAAAACTACAATTTTAGTAGCTCAATCCCAATGAAAATTATCTACTTGGGCTAAGAAATAATCATCTCAAATTAATACTGAGCAACTATTCAAACTCTAAAAATAACACTCATCTTCAAGCTAGACTACTTCTCAATACTCTCTATGCCAGTAGCATTATTCATCACATGACCAATTGTAAAATTCTCAACATGACATATACACTCAGATCCTATTATTAACCATTTTTAAAAATACATCTTTATAGTTCTCATTATAATACCAATCTTAGTCACCAGTAACAATCTTTTAGGCAGAGGAAACAGCAATTCAAGAGTGTGGAGAAATGAAATGAGGACTATAAATGAGGACATTTATGCAGTTTGTAGTTAGCTTATTAATGTCTTTAATTTCTGGAGGAATGAGGTATCCTCCACCGTGAGAAGTTCTTGTGCACCTCTGTGACGGCATTGTTTGTTTCCTTCGGAGAGGTAAGTCCTCTCCTGGGTTCTGGTGTTTATCATTTCTACGCATTTCTTCACTACAAAAACTCCTCCAAAGAAGGCATGCACTGTTTTGCATGATTACAGTGCTGTGTTAGCTCTCCTGCGAGTTGCCTTCCTGCCCACTGCTGTGCTGGTGAGGCTCACCCGCAGGCATGAGCAGCTCCAGTCGGCTACAGGGTAGGAGCCAGCCCTTCGGCGCAGTGACCGACTGAGGCATCAGAGAGGAATTCAGGATCCCTCCGACATTTTTAGAGAATGGTGATGCTCTTAACGGAGATGAGAAAATAGAGTAAAGAAGTGGGTTTGTGGGGCAGGCAAACACTTGTTTGGGGCATCTTTCACTTGAAACGTGTGCTGAGGCAGGCGGTGAGCAGTGGGAAATAGCACCTGGGGCTCAGGTGTGAGGAGGAGGTGGAGGAGGCCTGGAATTTGGTGAGTGGGTGACCTCTTCTAGGGAGGCATTCCTGCTGAGGAGTGGTTGGCCTTGGCCACCCAAGGCCAACCGCTGGAGGAGCAACTAGCTGATTAGACAAGATTCTCCAAAGGATCAATTTGTCTGAGTGAGGTGGCCAGAATCCCACTGTTCTGATACAGTCTGCACTTTGCCAAATTAGATATTAGAAGTTAGAGCCACCTGAGAGTGCCAAGATCCTCTTCGTCTGCTGTTCCTTCTCCTTGTTAAGGCAGGGCATCCTGCTCAGAATCAGCGACAAGAACACTGAGAGGAAGATCACCTGGACAGGAAAATCACAGGAGAAACTAATGAGCATGTATCACAGGATCCGAGAAAGTCGATGTCATTGTGTAAAGGTGAAGGTATTAATAAATTTCAATTATTTGGCCATATCTTTGGAAAACTGAGAATTAAATAATTTTGTAATTATTTGTGCATAATCATGGGGACCTGGCAGTGTCCAAAGTGTTCGAATAAAGCTAGTATATGTATTTTTGCCCATAGTCCTTAATCTGCTTGGCTAGGAAAGCTTCAACTATTCAATGCTTTGTAATGGTCTGTGTAAGTTGTTCAGAAACACCTGTCTTTGGACAACCAGTGATGAGCTCTACAGGAAAAGCCACACTTTTTAGAAGTTCCAAGGACGAAATCTCAGTTTTGCTAAAGAAGTCATGGAATCTTAGAATTGAGTACGAACTTAAGTATTCCCCACTCCTTAAACTTCCAAGGAGGAAAGTGCTTCAGTCCTCAGGAGAGTAAAGGAGAAGGGCCATAATGCTGCACCCCTCTCCCCACCTTACGTCACTGCGAGGAATCTGTGCAGGTGATTCCCTCCCAGCCTCCCCAGGCTGGCCTGCCTGCAGGTGAGTCCGTTCTGCTCTGCCTGGGCTTCCCAGGGCTGCGCAAAGTGGGCCAGGCCTCGGGGGGAGAGAAGATCTCACACTCTCCTCTACATCTGTGAGATCTTCTCTCCTTCTACTTTTGGAGTTTCATAGATTTGAGGCAGCAATTCTGGGCGTGTCTACTCTGCAGACTTAAAGCCACCCTTCGGTGGGCTAGACTAGGGTGGGAAGTGGTAGAAAGTACACTGAGCCGTGGGTCCAACCCAACTCTCCACTGAAGAGCTAGCAGCAGCTTGTACGTCGTGCACTTACTCACAGTTAACACACCCTGGTAACTGCAGTTGGGACGTTATTGCTGGGAAACTGTTATGTCACTAAACCCTGGTAACTGAAATTCAGGCACATTGAAACATTGCAGGACTGGCTGCATTCAAACACCACCTAAAAATCAGGACATTCTTATGCCAGTACCACACTTCAGAAAATGGCTGATTACTTTCAAGTATAATGACCTGTCCATATTAAAAATATCTCATTTATTCAAAAGACCTAGAATAGTCCTCCACATTAATATTTTTTATGACACTGGGTTTTCAAAGGAACTACATCTGTTATTCAAGATGATGCGACTCAAAGTGTGGCCCATGGACAAACAGCATCAGCATCACCTGGGAGCTGCCAGGTACAGAGTCAAAGCTCACCCCATCCCAGACCTGCTAGCCTCCATTTCAGCATGTCTTTTTAAATTAATTATGCCTGGAACTAGCTAAAGCCTTTCTATAGATAAATTCAATGTTTCTTTGCAACAATGGAAATTATTTCAATTGTTTAGTTATTACCACTCCTACCAACTAACTGCATGCCAGTTACCCTGGATTTACTGCCTAGGTCTCTGTTGCTTTATGATTTTAATATTTTTTACCTATGGTTTGCTTGCTATTATTTTGGTTTATTTGACCTTCCTGGTCATCAATGGTGACACCTCTTTCAATTCAACCTCTGAACTTTAGAATTTCTAAATCACTCTTTTCATTGCCTAAAAGCCTTTGTGTCTGATACGTATGGTACACTCTCACTTAACATCGTCCTTACGTGCTCAGAAACTGTGACTTTAAGTGAGACTACCTAACACACCCAAGTTTTATTTTACCACACGCTAACTGACAGACACAGGAGCTAAGTTCCTTCCTATGGCACAAAACATTTCTGGTCACAAAAACATCACCAGGCTTTTAAGTAAAGACCCCCCCAATACTTCTAAAATTAAACACTAAAATAAATGAGCTCTATATACACTCAAGAATGATTAATAAAGACAAGTAAGATTGTCTTATTTTACAACCCACTTATTCCAGTTCAGGGTCAGGTGCTGAAGCGTCTCCCAGCAGCTCGGGTCCCGCTCCCACACCACACTCAGACTGGGATGACCTGCGCACCTTGGGATGTAAGGGAAACCGGAGTCCCCGGAAAATCCCCACACAGACATGGGGACATGGGGCAAACTCCCACAGACAATAGCCCCAGACATGAAGCAGTTTTCCCCCTCACCCACGTCATGACAAAACAACATTGAACAAAACAACATCATTCGATCATCTGCTGTAATTGGATCTCTCTAAGAGTTCCTGTTAGTTTTTAGTCTGTCTCCCCCAGTAGCTTAAAAATTAAGATCCACCTACTCCTTGTCTCGGTCCCTCTTCTGTGACCAGTGGGTCTCACACGCAGCTGTACATTGGAGTCACCTGGGAAGCTATACCAGGTCGGGCCCTGAAGCCCAGGTCTAGAAATTACGACTTAATTGGTTTGGAGTGAGGCCTTGGCATCAAGAGTTTTTAAAGCTTGGGGGAGCTCAGGCCCATTTTTAGAGTTCTTAAAGCAGAGGCAGTCCTGCCCCCAAAATCTGAAATATTGGAAACTCTACAGGACAGACAACTAGGTTTCTTTAACAAATACAACGTGAGAAAAATAGCAAGAACAGAGAGAGAAAGAGAGAAAAGGACGGGGGGCCTGTAGATTATTAACAATACTTGAGAGACGGAGCAACCAATTGTAACACATGGACCTTATTTAGATCTTGATTTGAACAAAACAACTGTAAAATAAACATTTATGAGACAAGTAGAAAAATAAACATCGGATTTTTAAAAATCTTGGTAAAATACATATAACAAATAACTTGCCATCTAAACTTTTAAAAAATGTATAGTAGTGTTAAGTACATTGGTATTGTTGTGTGGATATTAAGAAACTTGCTAATTTATTTAAATGTGATAATGGTTTTACATTTGTTTTAACAAAGTCATTATCTTTTAGAAATATACAAATATTTATGAATAAAATGTGAAGTCTGGTGTTTTTTCTCAAAATAGTTAAAACAAGATTGGCCATAAATTGGTAATTGTTGAAACTAGGTAATATAACTTTAGGATTTACTCTACTATTCTCTACACACTTTTGTGAGGATCTGACATTTTCTTTAATTAAAGGTTTTTAAAAAGTAAGTTGCATGTTGCTTTTTCTCCAAAGTCATTTGTTCTCAGTTGTTTTTTTTTTTTTTCACTTGTCCCCCTTTAACTGCCAGATCTTTTCCTGCTGTGCTCCCACTAGTCTATCCGTTCTGTTAGGTTTTCTGGGACCACTTCACACATATTCCATACAAATTTCACCCTCCCTATTTCTTTTGAGGGGAGCTTTCTTTTTTGGTCAAATTGTCAGAACCATTAGGCACCTTGGGTCAATACCCATGGACCTCAGTTCCCCAGGCTCCCCGCAATTTCACGCACGCCTTGCATGCTGGTGGGCCCGCTGCTCCCGTACCTTGGCTGGCTGGATGACAAAGATGTTCTGAAGCACTGACAAAATCATTGAAATAACCCAGCTGGTGGCTTGCTCTTTATTCAGTTGCAGGCTATAAAGTGCTGTAAAAAAGGCTGCGGCCAAGCTGGTGACCCCCAGAAGGAGCCAGCAGATGTAAGTCAACCATCTAGGGAGGCCACTAGAGGTGGACTTCCTCCCTTCTTCTGGGCTCAGGATGGGGAAACTGGTTGCCTCCCTAAAGAACACAAGTCGAATAACCTCATAAGCAGCACCTGAGAGAGAGGTGTGGCAGACAGGGGATGAAGGAGAGGCTAGGTGTGGTGCATTACCTGGGCGGCCCTTGCTCTGTGGGAAGAGTATGTGTTTCTAAGTGTTCCTGGAGCGTTTGCAGGTGGCTGGCTGCATCTGGGAAGTCACAAGGCTGGTCAACCTGGGTGGGACCCAACACGCTGAAGTGAGATTGCAGCCTCTGCAGGACTCTGAGCAGGTAGCAGCAGAAATGATGGTGGTTCTCAGGAACCTCTGCAAATGTATTCCAGGTTGACATTTATTAATAAGTGGGAGATTTCTATAGCTAGTGATCCCTGGTAGAGATAAGAATTCATTAACTGATAATAAGTTTAAATTTCTCAGTCGGTGGAGACTGCACCCAACATGCACAATATTCTTGTCTTCTCTGAGCACACTGGTAAATTTCTAACAACTTGTATAATTCCATGCTTTGATCTAGAGATTTCTGAAATCTGATTGAACATTTTCACCAGAATTGCAGTCACAAGTGACTGTACTGGGTAAGTGCCCAGGAGACCCAAACTATATCTGAGAATCCATAAATTGCATAATCTCACCATTTCATAGAAGAAAAAGAATGACAAATTTCAACATTCTCCAACAAAGCAGATGACATATGGGGATCTCACACAGAAAACATTCTTGTGCCTTTTTCTTTTCCTTTAAAAAAGATTTTATTTATTTACTTTTTAGAGAGAGGGGGAAGGAGACAGAAAGAGAGGGAGAGAAACACTCATGTGTGAGAAACAGCCATTGGTTGCCTCTCACACCTCCCATCTAGGGACCTGGCCTGCAACCCAGGCATGTGCCCTGACCCGGAATCAAACCTGTGACCTTTGAGTTCGCAGGCTGGTACTCAACCCACTGAGCCACTCCAGCCAGGGCTATGGGGTTTTCATTAATCCTTTGCTTGTTTCACCAGATATGTTGTCTCAAAAGCCATCAAAGGTATCAAAGTATCAGCTCTCTATTAAAAGCTCAAGGAAATTAAAATAAACAGAAGGTTGTATTGTGCCTTTTGGTTATTCCAAAAGACGAGTAAGAAAGAGATGTGCAAGGGAGTGGGAGGCAGAGGAAAGATTAGTTACCAAAACCTACTGAACTTACCATTTGCCCAGTAGGGTCCTGCCTGCTGGTGACAGCCCTGACCCTCTAAGTGAGAATAAATGAGCTTGGATAAAAGTGCGACCAGCTGGTTCACAGTGTAAGAACTCCATGAAGATTGTTCACACTCTGAGAGTAGCTGTTTGTTTCTCCTGAGCAAAAATCCCACAGTTTCCTTTAATTCCTACATGTAAAGCCAAGATGAGAAGTCAGTCTGTTGAAAGTTAACCCAGGAATGGTAGCAATAGTAGATGGCAATGGGCTATATCTTTACTCAGGGGAGCAAATTCTTAGTGGGAAGAACCTCAACTTTTCATTTTGTCTCTACTTTTTAAAAAAGAAGTCACCTCCTAGTAGTTTCAAAACTAGTGTTATGAGAGAATACAAAATGAAAGAAGGGAAGGTTTGATCAAACATCAAAAGCTAAAACAGCTCCAGAGAAGTGCATTCTGCACTCACATTAATCCTCAAAACACATCACCGTCAGGAGAAAACTCAGAGGCATGACGGATTACAGATCAGGGGACAGGAAATAGGGAACAGCTAGCAAGGTTAACAAGACCTGGCAGCCTTCAGGCAGATCCGCTTCACTGGTCTTTTCTACAACACACGGCAAGGAGGCAGGGAGTTTGCCTGTGAAATTTCACGCCAGGCTTACCTCAGCCACCTCTGAGACAGAGAGGGGCTCCAAAGAAGCATCTGAGAGGCAGGAGGCCTTGGTGGGCGGAAGAACAGGCAGAGGTTCCTGTGGTTGAATCAGTGGGAAGAGCCGCCCAACTACAAGGTTGATTGGGAAAAGGATGACAGCAGTTTGGATGCTGATACGCAGTTCGGACCAGGTCACAGCAAACGGGCCCCCTGAAAGAAAAGCATTACATCACCCTTCTCAGCAACAGAACTCATCTGTAAGGCACTCTTCCTCCAGGTTCAAGTATTTATTTAGCAATTTAACTATGATTATCTAAGGACAGAGAGTTATTGTGGCAGAAAAGGTCCTGATGTGTTCCTAAGGCTGCTTCATTATTAATGCATGAGGACAATGAGCAAGTTTGCTAGAGTATTCTAACGTTAGGGAAGGAAAGGGGAAAAAAAAAACCGAAGGCACACCACGATTCTGTTTCTGACCTGAAAGTAAGGTGAGTGGGATACAGTGAAAGGATTACACGCCACAGACAACACAGCAGGGCTCATCCACACCTTGCTCATCTCTCTGGGCCGCGGGGCTGTTCCCCTTCCAGAACATCACGTTGATGACCATGTTACAGAGCAGGAGGGTCATGCAGCAAGTGAGCCGCTGGACTCTTGTGAACTGGTTCCAGGGATGGCGAGTTGCAATGGAGAGCCACAGATACTCCTGGGTGAACTTTTCTACAATCATGGAGGAAAACAGGTGTCTAAACGGATAAATCAGAAGAGGAAAGACATGAGATTTCATTCTGAAAGTGCCCGGGAGTGGGATGTGTTTGCCTGGCAGCAAGTGGCGTAGCCACAACTCTGCCCCTACCCAGCACCTCTGTGAAGATGCTTTCAAATCACATGATAAATAAATAGGATCTTTCAAAAAAAATGGCTAGTCAGAGATGAGTATGGAGATAGAGATAAGATTTAACAATAACACCACTGAAACTGAATATACAAAATTCCTCATCACATAAACAAATCTAATGTAGAAAAAGGCATCCAACACAGTCAGTAATTCAGCCCAGGAGAAATTAATTTTATGGGATAGTCTGACAGACTTTAAAATAAGTATTTCTTTCCAGGTTGCCCAAAGATACAAGTAAAAAAATAATATTCACTTAAGGAGAATACAAAATTATGAAAAAAACAGAACTAAAAAAATTAGAAATCTTGAAACCATAAATATGGTCATCAAAACAAAAAACTTAGGATATGTTAATATTGTTGAAGGGAAAACTGGTGAACTGATACGCAGCCATAAAGAACTCAGCCAAAAGACACCAGAGAGATAAGAAAAAGTAAGTGCTCAGGAGTAGTTTAAAGACACAGCGGACAGGTTGAGGCTCTGGGTACAGTAGGAATGTCACTGAGCAATATTTTCAGAAGTGACATCTGAGAATTTCCCAGAATTGAAGACACTGTTTTGTATATTATAAGTACATTGTATGTTGTGTGTACTTTACCACAATAAAAACATTTTTTAAAAAGTAACTTCTGAATATAAAACAAGGTAAAAAAATAAATCTACAGGAAAAAGAATCATGGTAAAATTGGGAACACCAAGGGGGAAGGTAAAATATTAACAAGAGAAAGGGCAGCACACTTAAAGAAGTGACAGCTGGACTGAGGGGGACTGGACACAACAAGGGCCGTGCTGGAAGGCAGGCAGTCCCCACGAACACTCCACACCAAGGCTCCCCTCAAACATGTGCACCTACCTACACTGTCTCCTAGGGAATCTTGGTACAAGCCGACAGCACTGGAAAGACAGAGACAGTGACTCCCTTTGGAGCAAGTTACTTACATTTCCAGATTGTAAAGCCAGAGTCACCACCCCCACCCCAGGTTGTCCCTATGGAAGCTAAGACGCTGGCTTTACTAGACAAAGGCTTCAAATCAGCTATTTTAAATATGTCCAGAGAACTGAAGAAAACTATGTCTAAATACCTAAGAAAAAGTAAATGAGAATGATATCTTGTCAAATAGAAATGTCAAAAAAGATACATAAATTATTTTTTAAAAGATCCAAGTAGCAAGTCTGCAGTTGAAAAATACACTAGGTGAAATGAAAAATTCACTAGAAAAGTTCAACAACATAAACAGGAGAAGAAAGGTGCAGTTTTAGATAGGTCCATTTAAATTATACAGTCTGGCCCTGACCGGTGTGGTTCAGTTGGTTGGGCATTGTCCGGCAAAGCAAAAGGTCACCAGTTCAATGCCTGGTCAGGGCATGCGTGGGAGACAGCTGATCAATGTTTCTCTCTTACATTGATGTTTTTCTCCCTCTCTTTCCCCCTCCCTTCCCCTCTCTCTAAACATAAACAAATAAAACCTTTTAAAAATATTTAAAACTAAAAATAAATTACACAGTCTGAAGGAAAGAATGAAGACAGAGCCTCAGAGACCTATAAAACACCATCACTTCCCAACAATACCTAAAGGCAAAGAGCTGTTTCTTTGAGGCTGGTATGAAGACCCGGTCACGCTCACAGTCTCCAAGGTCCACGGCCAGCCAGCAATTGCACAGGAAATGCCACTTCCTGTTACTGGCCACATCACTGACAATCACCTGGTTTACATACCTACAGTAAAATGAACACAATCATGTTGCAATAAGAGGTAATCTTATGGAAACAACCTAAATGTCCACTGATGGATAAATGGGTTAAAAAATATGGTGTATATACACACACAGAGTAATTATTTGGTCATAAAAAAATAATGAAATTTTCCCTTTGTGACAACATGGATGGACCTTGAGGGCATTATGATAAGCTTAATGAGTCAGAAAGAGAAAGACAAATACTTTATGATTTCATGTATATGTGGAATCTTAAAAAACACCCAAAAAACCAAGCTGGTAGATACAGAGAACAGACTGGCGACTGCCTGAGGCAGGGGTGGCTGGGAGCAGGGGTGGGTTGGGGAAACGGGTGAAGAGAGCCAACAGGTAGAAACTTCCAGTTATAAAACAAATAACTTATGAGGAAATAGAGTACAGCATGGCAACTACAGTTAATAATACTGTACTGTGTATTTGAAAGTTGTTAAGAGAGTAGATCTTCAAATTTCTCAGCCCAAGAAAAAAATTCTGTAACTACGTATGGTATCAGATGTTAACTAGACTTACTGTGGTGATCATTTTGCAAAATATACAGAAATATTGAATCATTATGTTGTACACCTGAGACTAATATGCTGTATGTCAATTATACCTAAATAAAAAAATGGATTAAATAATTTTAAAAGACATAAATTTGCACTGTCAGTAAATGTCCAAATGAATGGATTCTGCTTCATTGCAAGGCAAGAAGTAAAGAAAGCAATGAGAGCTGGGTCCATTTCCCCTTCCCCACCTCGGAGGGGTCCACGTACCAAACACCAGAACACAGACCTCTATGACCTATGAACAGCCTAGTGCGGGCCCGTGTTCTTCCAGCTTCCTGGTTCCACGTGTGACAGTGCTCTGCCGCCTCTAAGAGCACCCCGCCTGCCTCTCTCGGAGGCCCACCCCGGCCCCAGGTGACTACTGATCTGCTCTGGCCTCTGTAGAGGAGTTTGCCTTTTTAAAGACTTTCATACATGTGGACTCACACACTATGTCTTCTTCTGTGGCGGGCGTCTACGCAGCACATTTTTGGGAATTTACCCACGTTGTGTGTGTGTCGGCAGGTTGTCCCTTTTGTCAGTGAGTACTATTCCACTGAAGGAACGTGCTAACATTTGTTTATTTATTTGCCTGATGGACGTTTGTGTTGTTTCCAGTTTTTGTCTACTAACAATAAAACTGCTATGCACATATATGTGTATAAGGCTTGAATGGACACCGTTTTTCATTTATCTGGGTGAATTCCTAGGAGCGAAATGTCTGGGCCATATGGTAAATGTCTGTTTAACTTTACAAGAAACTAGCGAACTGTCCTCCAACGTGGCCACACCATCTTACCCCCCTGCCCCCCGTGCTGTGTGAGCACTGTCACTGCCCGCCATCTGCACCCAAACTCGGGTTTGCCAGACTTTTTAGACATGCCAGTGGCTGTTGAGTGCTATCTCGCTGGTTTTAATTTGCATTTCCTGATGACTAATGAAGCTGAACATCTTTTCGAGTGTTTATTACATATTATTCACCTTTATAAATGAAACTGGAATGATATTGTATAAACTGTTTTGTAGATACCTGATCAGAATGGAGGCAGCAAGCAAACTGTGAGGCTCTCCTGGCCTAGCGGTTGGTGCATGTGGCCCAGCAGGGAGCCTCATTTTAGGCAGCTGTGTACTCTTTTCAGCGTGGGCCGTACTCGGCATCTGACTCCTCTGAGTACCTGAGCCTTGGATCTTTGACTTCATTCTCTTCTTTTTTCCTAACTCCAGAAAGCCAATAATCTTCATCCTTAACTCATCCTATCATTCACTTTCTCCACCCACCTCTCCTAACTCCCAGAGTGCTGCCAGGGAAGACGCAGAGTCACCTGGACCCAGCAGAAGGCAGAACCACACCCTCAACACTGAACATTCCTCTCTGAGTCCTGAGGCACAGTCCACATCCTCTCTCCTTAGGCTCTTCATATTGACCCCTGGTACAGTATTCAGGGTATAGTTGTTTATTAAATTTACCCTTTAAATATGTTTATTCATATTTAAAGATGCTTTTAATTTGTGGTACTTTGGGGCAATATTTCTTTATTATTATTTGTTGTTTACAGCATGACAACATTTAATGAAAATGAAAGAAAAATAAAACATCTACCATTTTACCACCCACAAAAAAAATCATATTGTTAACTTTCCATATTGATTTCCAGGGTTTCTTCTTCACAGATAGCTTTGAAATTTAAATCTGATTTGTTACTATTTGGCTCAAAGCGTTATTGTTATTTACTGTGATGGCATGGTAGGCTTGCCCCAGAATGCTAATTCCACAGGAAAGAACAAGCCAGCGTGACCCTGGCACTTACCAAGAAGGGCTAACGCCCGAATTGTCGTGCCAGAGCCGCAGGCTGTGCAGCTCCCCGAGAGGGGACGGAGTGCTCAGGAGGAAGACATCCAGTGCCCCTCGCTCAAAGACCGCCTTCTGGGAGTCACAAAGGTGATGGGGCTCACTCCGTCCCTCCGACCCATAAAGGGTGATGACCACCTAAGATGTAACATGGAAAGATAAAACACGGGAAGTTCTAACATGATTATGTGGTTCTGTGGGTGTACCCCTAAGGAGGAAGAGGAAGACGGAGAAACTGTACTGAGATGGGGTCTTTGGGATCTTGGACAAGTATAGAGGGATCATCAGATTGAGAGTTTAGAACAAGGCAACATCCCTCTGAGATGCCCTGTAAGTGCTGTGGGACACTGGATATCACACATCAGAGTGCATCTCACGTGGCAGAAGACACAGAACAATGAACGAAGGACTTTTATTTCTTTACCTTAGCTGTTGTAGAGGCCCTTCTTCGATACCCAGTGGAGACCTGGACAAGATAGTGAAACTGAGAGCTGGGGTCATTATCAGCCAGGACAGTGACCTTCACCTGCAGGAAGAGCAGAACCAAGAACATTGGCCAACCTTTCCTTATTTAGTGGGGCTGCTTCCTCCAGCTGAGAAGCAGGAGGGTGCGTTGCTGCTGCAGACGTGCCCGCTGCACGGAAAGCAGAGGGGAGGTGTGGGTCGATGGCAAACAGAGCGGCAGACCTTGGTTAAGTGATAAAAGGGGGGGTGAGGGCTGGCAGCCCAGGGTTTATGCTTCTAAAATGAAACAGTCATAGGATCAGTCAGGTGTTGGGCCTCTAACTCTTCCCACCCCCCTCTCAGCCAGGTAGATAACACATAAAACATCCAGTTAAACTTGAATTTCAGACAAACACAATAATTTGGGAGCATAGTTATCCCTAAAATGCATTCACTATTTATTTGAAATTAAAATTTAATTGTATGTCCCGCCTTATTTATTCTTTTACTTTTTTCCATGACCACTTATCCACCCATACCCTCTTCCACCTTCACCTACCCCCCCAAGTGTCCTGTTTTTTTAGTTACTAAAACTGGAAATCCTATACCCACAGGAACAAAGAAATTGAACATGTTGTGTATCCTACAATTTCTAAGTGTAAGAAAATACAAGAACTAGAAAGAAATAGAACAGAAATTAAGAACAGGCAGTCATCAAAATATTTTTTTTTGTTTTAAAAAAAGATTTCTTACAGGCTTTTAATATAATGCAATTACATTAAATTAATATTTGACTGACACATAACTTTTATGTCCAATATATACAGTGAAATAAACTTGCATTTGATTATAGTTAAATTCTCTAGGTGTTTTCTTTTGGCCTATTCCTAGATAGGAGAAAAGAAAAGAAGGAGATAGAGAGTTTAGTTCCTAGGTCTTGAGAGAGTAGATATAAAGAGAAGTTTAAGAAAAGCACCTGACTTTCTATACTACCTAGAACGTTGCGACCTGCTTCTTTTAAACAAGGTGGTTTTTTCCCCATCTTGTTCCACATACTCAAGACACCGGCAAAACTTTTGGAATCAGACTCATCACCTTCTGCACATCTGCTTGATCCTGTCTCCAAGTCCACACGAACAGGAGCACATAGAATCCCAAAAGGCTGGCCAGCAGTGACACCCCAACAGGGTTGTTGGTCACACGCAGGAGCAGCTTGATCGTGTCCTCAACATTCACTGTCCGGGGCACAATGAAGAAGTCGCTGCCAAAGTAGGTCAGGTGGTTACAGAGACACTGTGTCCTCAAAACTGTGCTCCGTGGCCCAACCTGGAATTAGAATCAAGACAACGACGCTAACGGAACAGAGCCCATTAAGGGAGGGACAGACATAAAACACAAACACAGGCAATTTAGAGAGGGCGAAGAATGCCTGGGTCACTCGTTCACTGCTGGCGGCAGGGTAAACTGGTATAACCAGTGCGCAGGGCAGTTTGGCAACATCTAGTAAAGGGGAAGAAGCACAAACCCTTTGAATCCTGGAAGTCCAGCCCTGAATGTGCACCCTAGGAGATAACTTCACACGCGTGCACAAGGGGACCTGAAAATGGATGTTTCTGTCAGCACTGCTTGTACCTACAAAAAACTGGAAACAACCTATATGTCCAGTAACAGCAGAATGTCCAAACAAATAAACACGTCAGTAGGGGCAAACTGGTGGAATACTATACAGCTGTTAAAATGGACATAAACATGGATCAATGTTGAATGAAAAAGAACCAAGTTAAAGAAGGATATGTAGAGTTTGATGCCATTTACACAAAGACTAAAACCACACTTATTTATTTGCTTTTGTCAGCTTCCTCACTGGAATGTTAGCTAATGAGGATACTGTCTTGTCCATCATTGTGCATCTAGTTTCTAACCTTGGGCCCAGCGTGCAGAAGACACTCAATAAATATTTGCTGGAAGAATGAATACATGTAAAAAGTTCAAATTCAGGACAGTGGTTACCCTTTGTGGAAGGAAGGAAATGAAACTGGTGAAGGATATACAGAGAACTTAGATTAGTCCTGAGTGTTTTTTTTTTTACACTGTTACTTATGCAGCTCCTACACCAAAGACATCATATTCAAGGGCTGCAAAGTACTTAGTTTACGCCTTTCTTGACAACACATTCACTAGTTTCCAAAAGTGAACGGGCAACACAAAGGCAACTGTTTTGTTATTTTAAAAAATTTTAACTAAAGAGAGAAAAATACCAATTTGTGATAAAGTTATGGTGTGTTTAATGGTTTTATCATATTATTCCCTATAACTTTCCATATCTTGTAACATTTCTTCATAAAAAAGAAAGTCACTAGGCAAATAAATGGAAGATACCAATTCCATGCTTGATTTTGCAGTGAACAGTCTGAAATAGTGTCATTATGACTGACTTCTTCCCATGGCACAAGGTTAAGTCCTGGCTGCCCAATCCACAGTCTATTCCACCCTTGGAGGAGCTCTCATCAGGTCCTCTGCAGCCCTGCTCCTCTCTCAGAGTCAAGGGCTTCGAGGAGGCAGGAAATATCCTGAGGCCTTTTGCAATTAGTGGGTCACTGCTGTGCCACTAGGAAATCTCTCAAGTCTTGTATAGTTTCAAAGTGTAGTTTCCCTGACCAGAGGCACTGCCATCACCCTGAGCGCGTTAGAAAGGCAGAATCACAGGTCCACCCAGATTTACTGCAATAGAATCTGCATTTTAACAAGCTTCCCGTTTGAGGATTTGCTTGAAAAGCGTGGCTCCAGATCTTCCAGGAATCACTGCTTGAGGCCTTGAATGGTGTAGGTGCCTTCTAGAGAACACTCTTTCCTTCTCTTCTAATCTGGATGACACTTTCTCCGGTGGTTTAAGAACAGCCTCGTGATTTCCAGGACCTTTCACCACGTTCTTTGTGCAACTGAACCAAGATTTAAATCAGACAGAATCTCATAAATCACTAGTATGAAAATATACAGTGCCGTTTTAAAGTGGGCAGGCACCTGGAAGTAGGCAATAATTACAAAAGTGACAATCTGTCCTAGCTTGGAATGTACAAGCATCTGTTAGGTGTTGTTATTTTTTTAAAAATATATTATTTATTTATTTTTAGGGAGAGGAGGAAGGGAGAAAAAAAGGGAGAGAAACATCTATTGGTTGCCTCTCCCAGGCCCCCAACTGGGGACCTGACCTGCAGCCCAGGCTTGTGCCCTCACCGGGAATCGAACCATTGACCTTTTGACTTGCAGGTCAGTGTTCACCCCACTGAGCCACCCCAGCCATGACTGCTAGCTTATTTTTAAGTACAAAAATTCTCTTTTATTTGGCAGGACATTCATTTCGTTTTACCCACAACATATTTAATACTTGAAGAATTTAACAGCTTCCATATGTTGCTTTTCTTATTTTATCTTATTTTGTCACATTTACTCTGAACTAACATTTGAGAAAAAATTAAAATATAAAAATATGTATATAAAGCACAAGCCTGCTCCACAGATTCACTCTTGCCCAACCCACTACACGAGCCCTACTTTTCCCTAAGCTGATTTACTTGCCTTCCATGATTTTGAAGGGGCCCAGGATCACAGATGCACTGTGTTGCATGCCAGCTAAGGCAGAAGAGAGGCAGAGGGGCGGCACGGCTTGTTACCTGACATCCGCTGCTCCTCCACGTGCTGTTGTGGCTGTCCCAGAAATAGCACTGAGTGACGGCAGTTACGACGGAGAACAGGGTGGGTGCCTGCTGAGCACCCTCCTTGCTTCTATTCAACGCAGCTGTTATGTGGTAGACGCCGACCCCATACTGCAAACTCTCTGGAGTCAGCACCCATGTATATTCCTCATCTGAGAACAAAGCAGAGTGCTTACTTGCATTGCACATGGGAGAAAAATACCATTAGACCCTTTCTTCTGAGGGGGCTATCTATTATTATTTTATTTTACAAAGTAACAACCCTAGAGTCACAAATGTTTTTTTTTTTAAAAAAAATGACCAGTGATACAATTCAGGGCTCTGGATTATTCCCGTTGCAGTAAAAGGTCATATTCTTCTGATAAATGAAAATTTAGGTCTAATTAATTAGAATGTATTATGAGTTTTAGAAAAAGGAAATCATCACACACCAAAATTAGTAGATAGAAGACCTGGGTGACAAAAGAAACCCCAGGACAAAGCAAGGATAGGAACAATGGTTCCAGGAAGAAGCCCTGGACTGCACACAGAGGCCTGATTTCAGGCCCAGCTCTGTCAGTAGGTGGCTGTTAAGGGGAGGTCACCCAGTCTCTCTAGTTTTCTTATCTTTCAAACAAGGAATTTGTAAGGATCTCAAAGATTTCTTTCAGCCCCAAATGATGTGATATTATTGCCAAAATCAGCAAGAAGAACAGAGTGCATGTTCTGACTTGGTAAAGAGCCTGTTGGTAATGTCGACAGAACTTTGTAGCTTGCAACCCAGTAGTGACAGTTGCTGCCTCAGGTGCCTCGTCTAAAGGGAGAGTCACTTGTAAAGTGCTTGTTCCTGTGTTAGTGAGGCCTATGTGAGGGCCATAAAAAGTTTGGCCAGCCCTGGCTGGTGTGGCTCAGTGCATTGAATGCCAGCCTGTGAACCAAAGGGTCCCTGGTTCAATTCCCGGTTAGGGTACATGCCTGGGTTGCAGGCCAGGTTGCCAGTAGGGGGCACATGAGAGGCAGCCACACATTGATGTTTCTCTCCCTCTTTTTCTCCCTCCCTTCCCCTCTCTAAATATATAAAAAAAAAAAATTACTCAAAAAAAAAGTTTGGCCAATGTGGGAAGACTGTCAGGAAGGGGAATATAACATACTTTATCCATTCTGATTATTTTTCCCAATAAAGGTAAAAGGTAGCTCTTAAGACTTTTCAGTACTACATTTAAAATTTTTTGATCAAGTATATTCCAGGCACTATTTATATATCTCAGAAATTTTTGACTATTAATATATGTCTCAGAAATTCTTAACTTTTCTAAACTACAATGTAGTCATTCTGATCTTATATCAAACTTACTGAGATATCTCCAGGCATTATTATTAGAAATAAAGTTGAAATATAAATGATATATTACATATATATATTCATCTATAATATATAAAGTTTGAAATATTTATGACCCATTATGCTGGAACTTTACTTCTGCAGGAGTCTCAACATTTTATTATGAAAATTTCTAACCACATAGAAAAGTTGAGAGAATTTTATAGTGAACACCCATATAATCACTAACCAGACTCAACATCTTAATAAATTTGCTTTATAACATATATACCCTTCTATTCATCCCACAATCCATCTTTTTAAAAATGCATTTCATGCTCACATATATCTACATGTGTGATAAAATTACATAGGACTAAATGCACACACACAGGAGTGCTTGGAAAGTAGTGGAATCTGAGTAAGATTAATGCATTGTATCGATGCTATTTTCTGGTTGTGATATTGCCCTATGGTTAGGCAAGATGTCATCATTAGGAGAAACTGGGTGGAAAGAACATGAGCCCTGGCTGGTGTGGCTCATTTGGTTGGAGCATCGTCCCGTACACTAAAAGGTTGTGGGTTCGATTCCTGATCAGGGCACATGGCTGGGTGGCGGGTATGATTCTCAGCCTGGGTGTGTACGAGAGGCAACCAATCAATGTTTCTGTCTTCCATCAGTATTTTTCCCTCTCTCTTCCTCTCTCTCTAAAAGCAATGAAAAAGTATCCTTGGCCAAGACCTAAAAAATAATTAAATTAAATCTAAAAAAGAGTAGATGACATCTGTTTTATTTCTTATACTTGCATGTGAATATACAATTATCTCAAAATAAAAAGCTAAGCTAAAAAGGAAAAAGAAAAATGCATTGCAAAGTAGTAAACTGCTGACATCTGAGAGGGGTTTTACCTTTCTGTTGCGCACGAGCCTTTGGAAGGGTGATGTTCAGGTGGAAGGAGGTGTGGTTGGGCTGATACTGGAACCCCAGGTACAGTGTCATTGAAACGGGACTTTCAGGCTCTATGCACAGGATCAGGGATTTCTCCAGGGAAGTGATGTTCACCGTGATAGTAAAATGGTCTGTGCTCAGGTTGACACTGGTGGCATGGGTTTCCATGCTTGCATTTCTCCAGAGAACGATCTAGAGTAAGAAGCAGTGAATCAGTCTTGACATTTAGGATGGCCCATCCACTGAATCTTTCAGCCTCCTTCATAATGAAAATGGGATGAAACGTCCTATGTCTTCCTCTTTGAATTTTAGTGGGTAACACAGTGTCAGGGGTTAAGGAAGAGTAAATGAGGTGGGACCCCTAAAAAACCAGAGTTATCTTCTGGAGGGAGGGCCCCTTGTAGTCAGGCTTCTCCCACTAGGTGAGTATTCTAGGAACCTATCTGTATCAGTGTACCAGCTGGTAATGTTGTGAGAGGCTGCGTTCGGCTTTGGTGAATCTGTTTTCTTTTTTTTTGAAGACTCAACGCATTTGCCCATTTCATGATGGGTGATGTATGAATGCACCAGCCCACACTGCATGAGTGGTCAGTAGTTTTTGACCAAAAATAGCATGATCCCCATGCTCCAACCCCCCCATTCACCTGATCAACATGTCCGATCTTACCCTGAAAAACATTTTTTTTGTTTCCCCAGATTCAAAAAGTCCTCAAAGGGAAATGTTTTGCTGATGTGGAAGAGGTGAAACAAAAAAATGGCAGAAGCACTATAGGGCATCAAAATCGACAAGTCTAAAAACTGTTTAGAGCAGTGGAAAAAGCATCTTGATAGATGTATTGCATCAAATGGAGAGTACTTTGAAGGTGACCAAAGTTTAAACATGTAAGAATAAATGCACAATTTTTTATAAGTAAATTCAGGGTTTTTTGGGGTCCCCTATCATATAGTCTAAGACTTAAAACAACTTCTCAGAAGTTTATAAACGTTCCTAAGTAAAGATGTTAATAACAAAACGACAACACTGCCATAAATCTCAAACGACTTCCTTCAAGGTGCTGCATCCTTCTATGCTATTCTCAGGAATTCCTGTTCCCTTCTATAATATTTTATTCTCTAATAATTAAGTCATACCTCAATATCTTCCATTAAATCACGGACTTTGAGCAAATTACGATTAGAGCTTAGTAACACACTTCCGATGCTTCCAACAATGTTCTTGTCATCAAAATCCTTGAAGGGATTGAAAGCCAGTCCTGTTACCTAGAAACAAGAAAACTCCAGTTTCATCAATTACTGAAATATTTATAAATAATGCCCCAATAAGTAATAAGGTAATCTGATACCATAAAGTACCGTATTTTTCAGACTATAAGATGCACTCCCCCTTCCAATTTGGGAGGAAAGGGGGTGAGTCTTATAGTCTGAATGTAGCCTACCTGGCTCACTGTTGGGGGCAGGGCGGGGGGTGGCGGTGGAGCGGGGTCACATGTTATTAAATATTTTACCACATTTTTTGCTTCAAAATTTTTTTTCCTATTTTCCTCCTCTAAAACCTAGGTGTGTCTTATGGTCTGGTGCATTTTATAGTCCTAAAAATATGGTAAATGTTGGGATTTTCCCCTTGCTAGTACCTCAAATGAGATATTTCTCATTATAAGAGCATATGAGAAAGAATTAATTAAAGTCATTTACTTGTGACCCTCAGAATTATTATTTTTTTATATCTTTATACCTAGAGGACTCATTTTACTAGGAAGTATGTATTCTGTCCTCCAGGATAAGGCAACTATCCTACTTCTGTTAGGTAATTATTGAAAAAGATACAATATATTGATATAACCAGGTTGCTATACTGAGTCAATAATTATTCAAATAGTCCCAGCTTTGCAGAGATCAGTTCACATCATAACACAGAAACTTAGTTCAATCCAGAAGTCTGTTTCATACTCCCAGCCTTTATGCTGGACCATTTTCAAGAGGGCTTCAACACTGTCAGTGTGAAACAGAAATTATGGCACACAGCCTTCTCTGGTTTGGTCTGATTAGCTTGCATTTCACGGTGCATTCTTGTCACCCAAATGCCTACAGCCATCAGATCCCATTTTCATTCTGATCAGAATCAATTTCACACTCACTTGAACATTAACTCCTGGGTGTTTATTCAAGAGTTCCCTCAAAGCCAAAGCCGATGGGAAGCCTAACCTCACAGGTGCTGGGTATCCGAGAGTGTAAGAGCTCAGAGGCAAAGTTGATATGTTTTGCCTAATGAAAAAGAAGTTAAATGGAAATCAATTTATGTATGTATGTTTTCTAAAGATCAAAAACCTAAACCAAATCTCTCCCCCTTCCTTCCTCCTATGTTACCTGCTCAAAATCAGGGAAGCAACGGGAGAGGTCAAAGTCACCGAGGACTCAGAATGCTGATTCTGCTGTAGAAATGTTTCCTGGATCTCTCCAAGGGCCAGCAAGGACATTTTCAGAATATTTTCTACCTGTATTTAGAGGGAAATATCATGTGACTTGTGTGATCTCAGTGTACTGCGCTAGTGAAATAATGATTTTGAGGGGGTTGGCAGGTGAACCGGGATCTTGACAATGATGTAATGAAAGGTGACATTCATTGAAGAGAATCCATTAGAAAATACTAGTAGTTTGGCTAACGACTCATCATTCTTTATATCACTAAGAGGGCCACCCAAGGAAATATGTATTTCTTTGACCCATGATATAAGCTGCCCTAGATCTACTTTAATGGGTTTTTATATTTTATTTTATAAAAGCTTTATTGCAATGAAATTCACACCTACAATTCACCCATTTAGAGTGTATAATTCAATATTTTTTGCTATATTCCTGGGGCTGTGCAACTAGCACCATGATCTAATTTTACTGTATTTTTCTCTCTCCTATAATAAACCCAGGACTCAATAGCAGCTGCTGCCCATGCTCCTGTCCTCATTGCCTCTAACCCTAAGTGGCCACTCTTCTATATTCTATGTCTACAGATTCACCTCTCTGGGACATTTCATAGAAAGGGAATCAGGATATATGGTCTTCTGTGATTGGTTTCTTTCACATAGCATAATATTTTCAAGGTTCATCATGTTGCAGCATGTATCAGTACTTCATTCTTTTTTGTTGCTAAACAATATTCCATCTTAGGACATACCACATTTTATTTATCCATTCCTGAGATCATAGACACCTAGGTTGTTTCCTCTTTTCGGCTATTTGAATAACACTGCTATGGACATGATTGTACAAATTTCAGTGTGGACACATGTGGGTATATTCCAAGGAGTGGAATTGGTAGGTCACATGGTAATTCTATTTTTAACATTTTTGAGGAACTGTCACAATACTTTGCAAAGTAGCGATATCATCTTATAATCTAACAATACGTGAGAGTTCCAATTTCCCTGCCTCTTTGCCAATACTTGTTATTAGATGTGAAGTAGAATCTCACTGTGGTTTGATCTGCATTTTCCTAAAGATTAACAATGCTGGACATCTCATATGCATGACGAATATGATTTACTGAGTGTCCACTGTGTGCCAAGCATTTACTAAGTTCTTTTCACCAGATTGACAGCATTAGGCAGTCTTGGCTCACTGGTCAGGTAGACAGGAGGACCCAGAGCAGGCTCAACAGAGCAGTCTCTTCAGTGGTGCTGACTTAGCTGGGTTCTATTTTAGAGTCCAGGGAGAGGCTGTGTGATACCTGGACCCATCAAGATTAAAACGTTTTCAAAGAGAGTTGGCCACTGGCATATAGCACACCTACCTGCGCAATGTCATGCATGGAGCTTGGCCTGCTTGCTTGATCAGCTTTTGCTACATTGCTGAGGGAGTGAAAGAGGCAGACAGTCACAGGAATTCTGAATCCCAGAATGCTGTTATTCTCAAAAGTGTTTTTCATTAATTGCTCACTCAGGTAAATAAGGGAGTCGACAACATCAACCTGGGAATTTTAAAAAGCAAACACACATTCCTGAATGCTTTAAATATATGTGTTCTTCTGATAAGGAGTTCAGGGTTCTTTACACTTTGCAAATACTTTTTATAAGAAGCAATATTATAACATGTCAGGGAAGGAAAATACACTATTACTTATCACCTAGGGGGAGGATTTGTATTTCAGGTTACTCTAAGCAACTGACATAACCCTTTTTGAGTGGTAAGTGGATCAAATACCCAATTTAAAAAACTAAGCTTAAAAAAGAAATGCTGAAGAAAAGAACAGTACTGACTGAAGTACTGAGTAGACTATCCCTTTGTATCGAGGACCTCAAAAGCATTCAAAAGCATAGACAAGAGATCAAGAAGTTCTATATGAGACAAAAAATACCAGTTCTCCTTTCTGTAGGTTGTTCTCATGTAAAACAAATCAAATAAACCAACTGACAGATATTTACTGAATATTCACTTTAAGTACTATTTGTGTTTTAAAATGTTGTTTATTTTCGAAGTTACATTTATTAAAAACTACAAAGTAAAAGATATAAAAAATTAAATATAAAATAACAGCCCTGGCTGGGTAGCTCAGTGGGTTAGAGCATCATCCTGGTACTTCATGGTCAGGGCACATACAAGAATCAACCAATGAGTGCATCAATAAGTAGGACAACAAATCGATGTTTCTGTCTCTCTTTCTCTCTTCCCCTCTCTAAATCAATAAATAAAAATAAGCCCTGGCTGGTGTGGCTCAGTGGATTGAGTGCTGGATAGTGAAGCAAAGGATCACTGGTTCAATTCCCAGTCAGGGCACATGCCTGGGTTTCGGGCCAGGGCCCCAGTAAGGGGTGTGAGAAAGGCAATCCCACATTGATGTTTCTCTCTCTCTCTTTCTCCTTCCCTTCCCCTGTCTCTAAAAATAAATAAATAAAATCTTAAAAATAAATAAAAAATAAAAAAATAAAATATAAAATAACAAAATAAGACATGGGCACAAAATATTTGCAATTCATCTAACAGAAGGTTAATATCAATAATAAACAAAGCTCTCTGACAAACAACTAGAGAGTCAAGCCACCCAGTGGGGAAATGGATGAAGGATATGAAGAAGGAATTCAGAGGAGAAATAAAAATGGTCAATAAACATAAAAAAATGATGTTCGACCTCCTTAGTAATCAACAAAATGCTTTTCCTTTTTTTTCTTTCCTTGCCTTTAAAATTGGAAAAAATGAAAGTGTGGGGAAAAGGTAGGTCAGATTGTAAAATAGTTCCCTGTAGGAGGGAAGGGCCATTTAGTCATCTATTGAAAATTTAGAAGTCCGTCAATTCTATGTCTAGCGTCTATCCCACAGAAATGTCGCAGAAGTACTCAAAGGTGTAGGTACAGGGATGTCCATGGATATACTATTTGCAAGGGTAAACAAATGGAAACTATCCAAGCAAACATTAAGAATAAGGAGTTCATTTTATGTGTATTGACATGAAAAGACATCCATGACACAGTATTAAGTAAGAACATCAAGGGGCAGAAATACTTGTAAACTTTAATCCCATTTTTATTAAAATAAAAATAAACCAACAAACTTGTGTATGCATCAAAATGTTTGGAAGGTTATGCACAGCAAATCAAGACTAAACTAGCAACAGTGATTACATCTAGAAAATACCTTTTATTTTATGTGCTTCTGTTCTAGTTTTTTAAATAACAGGCACATATTATTTCTGTAATTAAAAAGTCCAAATAAACCAATACAGATTGCATTTATATACTTATTGCAGAATATTTAAAAATACAGGAAATGGAAAGCAGAAAATTAAAGTGCTCACTAATCCTACCACCTTAGTTTTACTACGTGTAGGGAGTAGAAGGAGGCATGAATAATTATGAGGAAGTAACACTGGCAAACATGGTCACCACAAATGCAAATATCACGGGGTACTGATTCCTGATGCCTGTTTCCAGGCTGCACTATTCTATGGCAAGGCGTGGACCTGTTTTTGTCTCCCATGATTTCTCCTAACACGTGTTTCAGAAAGGCAGTAAGGTGATAAATGAGAAGGTCATTACTGATCACATTTTTTCACGCTCTTCAGATTCAAAGTTACAAATATACTTGCTACTATTTCAATTGAGTCTCTGCAAAAAGTTTTATAATGATGAATTCTGTACAGAGCACAATATCCAGATTCTGTGTTTCCTATTTTATTGCACTTTTTTCTTTCTGTTTTTCACTTTCCCCTTTCTCACATCCTGTTCCTTCCAAATCAGCCTTTGCTTACCTGAACTGGCTGAGAAAATCCCGGGATAAAGGCTGTCAGTTTCTGCAGCACCTCACAAGCTTTCTGTAGTTTGTTGTGAGCTTGTAAACCATGAATTGCTGTGCTGAAGTTCCATGCTATCTCATTTATGACCTATTGGGAACAAAGGATTTTGTCAAAATTACTTATATATAATTATTGTACTTTAGTGGTTTGGGATGTTTTGATGAAAGTTGACCTTTGATGACATTATAAGTTCAATGAATCACAGGCTGTCTGTAACAGTTATTACTTTCAGAAGCTTTTCTGCAAATAGATAGAATTTAACTTTCACTTCTCCCACACAGTAGAGAAAATGGACAACAAGGTTATACAATGATTGATCCAAGGACAAATGAGTCTGGAAATAAGATTTATAGGAGTAAGTTTAAATCTATGGCCATGATCAAAAGTGTGGGAACCTAGAATTTAAAACAACAAAAACTTTTCTATTCAGAAGTATGTCTATCCCCTCAGGTTTCCCACTGTATTTCTCTCAGTTCATGAGTTCATGTTCAAGAGGGAAGTCCTTGAAATACCACGAAGCAGGAGATAGGAGACAGAGTACCTCCCTGAGAAAACAAACCAACCCAGAACACTGGACACACTCCCAAAGCTTAAGAGGCTACTTCTTTTGAACTGGACATCCAAGACAATCCTGAGACAATCTGTTATACCAACTACTTGGTCCGATTTCTAGAGAACAATCCACTTATAGCTTAATTCAATTGTGTATTTAGTAAGTCCTTATTAAATGCCTACTGCCTATTGCCTTGCCAGGCTCAGGAGTTGTAGCAGCGAAGGTCAGTTAGGATCCTGCCCTCCTGGACCATGCAATTGAATAGGGTCATGCCTGGTGTATAGGGTGCGTAGGAGGTTGGATCAGTTAGAGAGAGATCTCAGAGCTGAGGACCACCCAATTTTGGTTTTAAACTTTGGGACCCAGATGTAAACAAGAAGGAATGACAATGTAAGTGAGACACAGTTACTCCCTGACTGCCCGTTTGCCAGTGAAGGTCAGACCTTATTCAATGCCATTCTAGCTCTAGCCAGGCAGGTCGCTGAGGATGCTGCACTTGATGTTTCACAGCAGAACGTAGAGCATGGGCTGAATCACTGTAGATCTCACCATTTACTTAGCGTTTCTTGAATATCTTCTAATCAAGCCTTTTGGTTGTTTCCATAGAAGTTTTGTACATCTTTAGTTAGATTTATTCCTAAGTGCTTGCTATTATACCTTTTTAAAAAGAAACCTAATTTTTCTCACCAGTTGTTACTGATATGTAATGACACAATTAACTTAAGTATACTGATCTGGCATTCAGTAGCATCTCTAAATTCTCTTAATGTTTCTAATAGTTTATCTGTAGACTTTCTAGGTATTCTATACTTTAGGTTTCTACTTAAGGCAAACCAACACTCTTGTTTAGGCTACTGTAGATCAGTTTTTTCCCAGCAAAACACAATGCTCACCAGGACAGTAACAGTGAACGTCTAGCTCCCATTAACACTGAAAGCAGATACAGAGTAAACAGGATTCTTTTCTAACGGGGAAACATTACAGTGCATATAAGTAGGGCTTGTGTTTAAAAAAAAAAACAAAGAGAGAAGCAGGATGATTTTCTTAATCGACGCTGTTAAAGTAGCTTTCCCCTTTTTTCCCAGTTTGTGTGAAAAAGAGAACAGAAGTGAAAGCAGATTTGGGATAGTGAGTGGGGAGGGGTTGTTTAAGGGGGTTGCAGCTGCTAAAAATGTGGGGTGGGTGAACGAAGGTCCCTCCCCACCTGAAGCACTACATATAATAGCATTAACTACTAATGAGACACTAAATACCTAAATGGGTATAAAACCCACTGTGGAATATTTTCATGGCCTTGTCTGGGTTTGGCTTTTCAGAGGGATATACGTGTGTCTGTCAGGCACTCTCAGGTTCAGTGCTGCTCCTGAAACATCAGCACAACACAAGGAGAGGACAGAAGTGCCTTTTTGGTGTACCTTTTCAGAGGCACCCAGTGTGGACTGCCAGGCTCCACATTTACCTGGTCAGATGCACTCTGACTTGAGGCCTGTAGATGAGTGGTGGAGACATCTCCACTCGAGTCCTCATCGGGGCCTGAAGTGATTTCTACCGGAGCTTTTGCCGCGTGAGTGGCAGGTACAGGCCTGGTGGGCTCTGCCACCGCAGGGAGAAGCTGGCTGGTGGGCACAGGCGTGACTGGCATTCCCTGCTGTGTGACTCTGGGTACAGCTGAAGGAAAGAGGCTGATAGAATGGCACAGGGTCTTGGACTAAAAGACAAAAATATGTAAAGGAAAAGGCTAAATCTGATTTTAGCCAAATAATGAAAAGTAGGCAGTGTTTCCAAAACTGCTCTGGAACTCCCAGGCCCTGTGAGAGATTAATAAGCATTTTTCTCAAAAAGATCTTGTGTCCAAACAGTTTGAAGAAAGTGGCATATAATATTACCCTCTTTAAGATTCACAATGTCCCTTAGTTTACTTATTGTCAACCATTCAGTAATTATGATTAAACATCTACCATGAGCTAAGCAGTGATCTGGGGAAGTGAACATACAGTGAAGAGCCAAGTTCTTGCCCTCACTGAGCATCCAGTTTAGGGGTGGAGACAGAGAGACAAATTACATCATGTACTCCATTAGTGCCATGAAGAAAAAAAATAAGAGTAAGCAGATGAAGATGAAGAGAAAGGGTACATTTCAGAGATGGTGCTTGGATATCAGGGAAGGGCATTTTTGCTGAGCATTAAATTAAGCAAAAAGGAAAGCTCCGTCATATACTGGAGAAGGGTAGTGGAGAACGGCAAAAGCCCTGAGTCTACAGACTGCTGGTTTTGTTTGAGGAAGAACAAAAAAGCTAGATGAGCAAAAGTGAGAGGACAAGAGATAAAAAAGATCCGGGGGTGGGGGTGGGGGTGGGAGATGAGGGAAGGGTGTTGGAGAGCAAGCCCTGCAGCAGGAAATTGGGAAGAGTGCGGTTTTACTTTGAATGAGATGGGAAGATGTGGGTGGGGGGTGCCGGGGTCGGGGGCAGGGGGGGAGGGCTTGGGGCAGCAGCAGCCTGATCTGACTTGGGTTGTGAAGGCTCCCCTGACTGCTCTGCTGGGAGCTGGCAGAAGGCGGCCAAGGGCAGAAGCAGGGAGTTCAGGAGGAAAAAGATGCAAAGTTCAGAGGGGAGTGAAGGTGCTTGGACTGGGGGGACTGGGGCGAGATGGTGGGCAGTGGTTAGGTTTGGGGATATAAAAGGCTCTGAGAAGTCCCACAGTCAAAAACCTTTGTTTTCTTTCCTTCTGGCAATGCTTTAAGCAATGTTGGTTGTTATTCTGCAGAACACTGCTTGAGAAATACTGACTTAAGGGATTTTAATTTCATCCTCCTTCTCTTTTATGCTGCTGAAAACACTTTTGTTTTTGCAGTGGACCAAATAAATGCAAATCTATATGCAGACACCTACTAAAAGGTTTCTATGGAGGTCTCAAGGCATGAAAGCTAAGAAATTTCTTAAAGGTGAAATTTTATGGATTATGCAGGTTTTCCATGTTTATTTTCCTCTCACAGTTTTCTTTTTTAAAAATTTTAACAATTTTATTGAATTGTATATTTGTGTAAAATGCCATAATCCTTTCTGGAATGAAGCAGGGAATTAAACAAACAACCAAGAAAAGATAAAAATACCAACATGAAAGCCAAAGATAGGCTTTAAAATCTTCTTTAATAAATAATCCATTAAACATGATTCTTTCCTGCACTTAAGTACTTTCCTTTCCTTATTAGAAAATTATTTCAGAGCAGCTTATGACACAGAGTACGGAGTTCTAGCAGGACCCACCAGGAAAGGAAAAGATAATAATATTCCCGGATGTGCACTGTGAAGGCAAGTACTTACAGGGTTAGCATGAGCAGGTTGGTGACATGTGGTTGAAAGACGAGTGGCTTCTGTAGAAAAAAGAAAGTAGATTAAGTTCAAGTAAAAGCCCAGGATAGAAACAGTTCTTCCTATTTCATTTGTTATTCTTGGCTAAAAATACAAACCATATAGAAAACCAGAGTGATCGTTTCCCACTGTTGATAATCCATAGGACAAGCTAGAATTCTGAATTCAGATTACCATTATTGCTTTGATTCTCTTTCCACATTTTCCAGTAAGAAAACCATGCTCTGAAGGTAATATCAGGGTGTTCATATGCCCATTTGCTATTAACTTAGGGTGATATCTTCCAAAGCAGGAGTGTCTGGAAAGACCATTTAATATGTCTGGCTATTGCAAGTCTACTGTGCCCGCTATCTTTTCTTGTAACATTCCTTCAGTTGTTCACAGGACTGACATGCATATTCAGTAGCAGAATCATTGCAGCTACTCCTGCTAGGCAAGGACAGTTCTGAGATGTTCTTCTGATCAGATGCCATGTCTTTCTATCAAGGCAAACAGATGGAGGACAGAACAAAGAAACTGGATTCAAACGACCTGGGGTCCAGACCTGATTTGCCTTTTACTGTAACTATAAAGCCTTGAGCAAATGATTTAACCTCTTCATTTTTTCATCAGGAGAAAGGGTATAAAGTAATACTTTCTAACAGTGTGAAAATTAAAGCCATGGAGGTAAAGTTGAGTGAAATGTCCCCTCAGATCAGGGTTATCAGCTTGCTGGGATAACCCTGGGAACAGGGAGCTGACCTTGCACTTCGGCAGCAGATCTGAAAGGGGGTCATGGTCACTAGATAAGCCAACAGGTTGCTGAGCTAAGGGTGACCCGATTTCTTGGTCTCCTGACAACCATGGAATTTGAACAGAGCTTGCCCTCAAAGATAAGGAAAAAATCAAAACCAAAAGAGAGCCAGTGAATATCACAGAATCTGGAAACTGAATCCAGAGGGCTCAAAGGAAAGTACACCTATGAAAATTATCAACAGCAAAATTAAAAAAAAATTTTCAGAAAGCTAATTAATATCCATAATAGAAACAGAAAGTCTTAAAGGCAAATCAACTAAAGCTAAAATACACAAGAATGAAATATATTAAGAGTGAAATAAATGATATTAGAGGATTTCAAAAGAAATACAATTGCTGTAGAAATTCAAAATCTACATTGAAGGTCCACAGAACCTATGTGGAAAAATCAAAGCAATTATCTGGAGGATAAATGTGAGGCATTTCTCCAGAATGCAACAGAAAAGGTGACAAGTAGGAAATGAATATTTTCATTTGAAAGAATAGCAGGAAAGATATGGAGAATATTCAGCCATTGACCCTATGTTTTAACTTGTACATCTGCTAACCTATGGCTCATTGGTGTTAAAGTAACCAGGTTAGGCCCAAGATGGAGTTACTCATGCTAAGCCTCTTGTCAGCAAACCAAAACTTAGCGAAGTGTCTATGCTTGTCTCTCCCAGAAAAGGCAGGCCTAGGTCAACCAGTTAACACTGCCTGCTCAGCACCTGTTATGTAACCTGGCCCCAAGACTTCCCTTTGTTCCAAATAAGGAAAGTAACCCTGCTCACATAGGCCTATAAAAATCTCTCCCCTTGCCCAGCTCTTCATAGCTCCTTTCTATTTGCTAGATTGAATGATGCCCAATTCATAAATCACTGAATAGAAAAGCCTACTAAATCGGTAACCAGAGGAGAGTTTTCTTTTAACATTGGGATGGGACAAGAAAGGCCCCTTTTGACTATTCACAAGTTCCGAAAATATTTCCACCAGTCAATCTTTCTTGGAAAAACAATTGTAGAAATGAGGCAAAATTAAGAACTCAAGAGAAAAGTAAAGTTATGATATAAGATGATTGCTGATAAATATAAAAACAGTTACATAGAAATAAGTTCTAAATTATTGTTGGAAATCTGGCTTTGACCAAAGTCTGAAAAATATATTCTTAAGAAAAGTTGTATAATATAAAAATAGTAATTTGATGTAACAATAACCTGAATAAAACCCACAGAATATACTAACAAGATCTAGAAAGTGAGGGTGGGGAGGACAAAAACTAGTATAAACTATATTCTTCTAACAAGATGATGCGGTTTCAAAAGAGACTTTCATTCCTGAGCTTGACAATTAGAAAAACATAGGTATGAGAATGTGTTTTTAAAAAGAACAACTTCTTAAAGATAAATAATTAAAACAAAAATATTGAAGAGCAAAATTTCAACAAAAGACAAACGAAAGTAGCAAGGAAGTACTAGAACAAGAAAGCATAGAACATGGCAAACAAGGATATCTGTTAAAACAAATTTAAATGTGATAACTACTATAAAAATATTCTCAGGATGAGTAAAATAATTAGGTGCATTTGTGTGAAATTTAATAGGGACACACTTAAAGCAAAGAGACACAAAAATTGTTAAAGGACCGTACATGTATTTGAGTAAATGTAAGGCAACCCCCCAAATAGGGCAATCTCCTCTTTTCTCAATGAGAAGGCTTTTTAAGTTATTTTTGGGCAAACTTGACTACATAAACTTAAAGGATGTAAGTGGAACATCACATGTCTACTTATTTTGTTTTATAAAGGCATATTTAAAATCACATGTTATACAGATGTATAGTAGTTTACAAAAATTGCTCTCATGAAACTCACATTTCATGACATAAGATGTATTCAGACTTTTCAAATGCATCTTCATCATCATTGCTTTAATTATAATCAGAAGAACTTTTGGAGTTATTTAACAATTTTCCAAAAATATCACCTTCAATTCCATCTAAGGCTATATCACTAAACACTTACCCTAACTCACAAATACCTGTTTCCAAAGCATTCAGAAAAGTTGACTTTTACATCTGTTCTTTTTTAAAAAAAATCATGTTGTATTTTCAAGTACAGTTGACATACATTATTCTATTAGTTTCAGGTACACACCCCGTAATCAGACATTACCTAACTTCCCAAGTGGTTGTCCTGATGAAGTTCACACTCATCTGACAGCACACAGTTACCAGGCTACTACTGACTATATTTCCATGCTGTGCATGCCCATGACTATTCTGTAGCAACCAATTTGTACTTCTTAATTTGTTCCTTAGACTTATATACAAATGGCACTTTCTAAATTGCTCTCTTAAGGGATACTTAAAGGGCTTGTTGACAAGGACATCTAACACTGATGTTATGAGGTCATAAGAATAATCACTAGATCCACTTTAAATTTGTCTCTTTTTTTACCCATTCTGTCAGGTGATTTCTATAACCATCCAACACTGATATTGATTGAGGTCATTTCAGGCTAATGCATCTTCCCCAAATAGATTTTGTTTTTCAAATTAAAAATAAGTTGAGAGAGAATACCACAACTTGACAGACATTTCAAGGACTTCAAGAAGCCTCTATTTTTTTTAAAAGACAGATAACTGTACTTGAACAACAATAAAATAAAAAAAATGGAAAAAAAAGAAGCCTCTATTTTTTGATAGAATATTTTGTGGGAAATCCTTTGTCTTTTATTTAGGCATGTGTGAAAAGAGGATGGCCAAAGGAATATCATGAGAATAAGAATTTATAAAATGAAAGCAAAGACTGTGATATTAAGATCAGACAAAATAGAACACAATAAATATTTATTTGGTTCCTGTTATGATGATACATTTCAGCATTAACTGTCTGTGCACCCTTTAAGACAGGAATTGATTTCCCTACACATTACCTGAGGTTGTTTTGTTTCGTGGTGTTGTGACTTCTCTTTCTGTCTTCATGGGATGCCAATGAGAATTATTTCCATTTCTTTCATAACTTCCATCTTGGTCTGAAAAGGCATCTACTTGGAGTTAATTTATAGGATACAGTTAAGTGTAAGTCTATAAAATAAGGATTTTAAGCACATATGTGATAATCGAGAAAACACAAATTAAAGATTAACATCTGTTTTTTAAAAAGAACAATAATGTGCCCTGGCTGGCGTAGCTCAATGGATTGAGCACGGGCTGCAAACCAAAGTGTCGCAGGTTCGATTCCCAGTCAGGGTACATGCCTGGGTTGCAGGAAATAACCCCCAGCAACCGCACATTGATGTTTCTCTCTCTATCTATCTCCCTCCCTTCCCTCTCTAAAAATAAATAAATAAAATCTTAAAAAAAATAAAAATAAAATAAAAAGAACAATAATGTAAGGATTCTGAAGTAGCTCTTTTGCTCTAGAGTACCGTCACCACCTTATATGACCCAGCATCTCAAAATTAGGTCCACTGATTGGGTCAACACTGACAAGACAGAATTAAGGCCATTTAAAGAAGTTACATTCTAAGCATAATATTCTCCTTTGTAGTCTATACTTCGTATTGGTAGAGATGAAAGAGTTCAGAAGCTTGGTGATGACATTCTTGAACGTGCCTTGTGTGCATCTGCTGCTTCTCCTCATGCTGCTGAAAGTGGCTAGAGAAAACCATACAACCCCACTGACTCTGTCTCAGCTTAAACTCGGATCAGGAACCCCAGGGGCCTGCCTCTGCGCTGCCTGACAGCCATACTACATTCCCCTAGTCTATTCCTGCTTCCACTCTCCTAGATAACCCTCTCCCATTTCATATTCTACTCGAATCTCCAACATCTAGGCATTTCCCTGATTCTCATTCTCAGGTCAAGTGATAACCTTACTTTCTGTCTCAAGGAGAAAATGGAAGCAATTAAGAGTCCCTTTCACAGACCCCTACCACCAAATTATCCACCCACCAGCATCTGGACCCACAGACACCGTCCTCTCTCCCATCACTACACACTGTCCGGGCTCCTACACGAAGTGCACCCCTGTAGTTGCACACTAGTTTGGATCAGGAACATTGTCCTAGTACACTATTTTTCTTGTCTTAAAAACCCCACCAATTTACACTGCCTCAGGAATTATATACATATAGCTTCATTCCTGCTCTTGAGCAAAATTCCCTTAAAAGTATCTAAACTGTACACTTAATTCCTCTCCTGCTCTCTTTTATTTTTAGGGATTGCTTTTTCCTTTTAAATTTGTTTTCTAATTACATAAAACATGTATAGAGTTCCAATGGCAAAACTATGAAACGAGGTACATTCAGAAAGGTCTGACTTCCATCTTTGTCTTTGCTGTCCTACTCCCTCCCTCCCCCGTAGGTGATCACACCCACTAGCTTGTGTTTTTTCTGTTATGTTTACATATGTGGGTGTATGTATATTCATATCTAGTCTTATTACCCCTTTTCCTAAAGTAGCACACTGTATATGACTGTTCTGCAGTCTGCTTTTCTCCACTAAAAAGAAAAAACCCCATTGCAGTACATAGAGATCTTTCTTATTTCTTTTTACAACCATTCCCCTCTTGAAGGGTATGTGGATTGTTTCTTTTCTTTGCTATTACAAACAGAACTACAGTAAATAGCCTACACCTATGCCTTTTTGTATTTTTGCCCATGTAATTTTGGGGTAGATTTCTAGCAGCAGGATTGCTGGGTCAGAGACTAAATATGTATGTAATTTTGCTAGAAATTGCCAAATTCTCCTCCATATAGGTTGCATCTTATTATACTCCCACTAACAATTTATGAGCATGCCTACTTCCCTATAATCTTACCAACAGAATATGTTAAGTTTGTAAATTTATGCCGATCTCAGAAGTGGGAAGTGGTATTTAGTTTATATTTAATTTGCATTTCTCTATTTTTTGGCAAGAATATTTTTTGGTACTTCATAAGTGATGTGCATACTTACATTGGTACATTTTTTTTCTTCTTTTAAAATTAAACTTATTATTTTGAGATAAATTGTAGATAATTGTAAAAAATAATGGAGAGATGCTATTTTCCCTTTATTCCACTCCCCTCAAGGGTAACATCTTGCAAAACTACAGCATAACCAGGAAATTGACACTGATACTGTCAAGATAAAAATTTTCCATCATCATAAGAATCCCTCATGTGGCCCTTCAGTAGCCATGCCTACTTCCCTCTCACCCTCCCTCCCATCTTAGCCCCTGATGACCACTAATTTGTTCTCTGTTCCTATAATTGGTCATTTCATTTCAAGAATATTAAATAAATGGAATCATACAGTGTGTAACTTTGGGACTGGCTTTTTTCAGCATAATTCTCTGGTGATTCATTCAAGTTGTTGTATGTATCAACAGTTTGTTTCTCTTTATTGCTGACTGGTATTTCATAACGTGGACATACCTGTTTATGTCCATGGTACCACAGCTGTTCACCCATGCACCTGTTGAAGGACGTGTGGGCTGTTTCCAGTTTGGGGCTATTACGCATAAACCTGTCAATAGTATTCATGTGCATGGTTGGCTAGAGGCTCGCTCAGATTCAAGTTCTACTTTTTTGTAAAAATACTTAGTAGGTGGTGTCAAATATTCCATCAGGAGTCACATATATCTGTCCCTTTATGATGTTAACAGTCATTCGTTATTATTTCCTAGATCCATTTTTTTTTCACTAGTGGTGTGGAAACTTATATTTAATGTAAATTTTATTGCCAACTACTGAATTTATAAATATCAAAACATCACACATTTACTACTTACACAAGAACAAAGCCAAAGCTAAATTATTTAGAAAGTAGCCACAAACATACATGTATAACTGGAGGATAATGATAAACGATGACTCTCCTAAAGCACAGGGTGTTTCAAAGGATGTGCAACAATGCGGCCTTATCCAAAAGTGCTACAAACATTTTTCAGATGTTGACAGGACAGAACTACATTTATTAACGGCTGTCAGGTCACCCTGTGATAATTAGTTTGAAGTAGCTTATACTATTATTTTACTTTACCAATGCATGGAAGTTTTTACAGTTTTCACAACCAGTACAACTGCCTTGATACATACAGCTGAATACCAACTTTATTATAATACCACTTTAAAAAAAACAAAACAAAAATAAACTTCACCTGAGGATACATTAATTGATTAGAGGGAGAGGGAGAGAGGGAGAGGGAGAGGGAGAGAGAGAGAGAGAGAGAGAGAGAGAGAGAGAGAGAGAGAGAGAGAGAGGTGAAAGAGAAACATCAATTGGTTGCTTTCCATAAGCACCCTAACTGGGGATTGAACCCACAACCTATGTATGTGTGCCCTGACGGGGAATCAAACCGACAACCTTTTGGTGTATGGGATGATGCTCCACCCAACTGAGCCACTTGGCCAGGGCTATGATACCACTTTTAATACAAACTATTACTTCTTATTCTGACACTCTGAAAATAAAAATCTCTTAGGAAGGAACAATTTTATATGTGAGCTTAATCTTTAAGTGTCTTTTTTAAATAAAGAAAAATCCTGAGTTCAATGATTAGAGTGTGCAAAAGTCAATCTGTAACCTCAGGTAATACTGTATGATAATACAAAGCATTAGTCTTCTTTTTTGAGTTTTAAGGAACAAATTTAAAATACTTCTCTCACCAACATGTTATCTTGGAAGAGGCATTTCTTAAGTTCAAAAATGTATAAACACTGTGACAACAACAGTTATTTGAAAATACTTCTAAGCAATTACATTGTGCCGATACTTTAGTTTTAAAGGTAACTAGCAATGTTGGCTCTCCAAAAGCGTTTTCACCTTTGACATGAATGTGAAGTTCTCTAGAAGCAGAAAATAAACTCTGAATAAAAAATAGAAACTGCACAATAATATAATATTAACAGCAATAATTACAATATTGTGCCAGGCATTGTTCTAATATTTCACTGTATTATCTTAATTCTGGTAACAAACCTTTGAAGAAAACTGGGTTGCATAGAGTATCCCAGTTAAGTTGCTTGCCCAGGGTGTCACAACTGGAAAGTCATAGAAACCAGACATGAGCTCAGGACTCTGACTCATGAACTTGTGAGACTGAGTTCTTAGCTGCAGTAACATACTTCCTCTCATGATGGGAATGCAGGTTCAGAATTTGCAGAATTGGCTTAGATTAATTAAATTGAGTTATTTTATTGTCCGAGATTATCTTCTGCACAAACACTCTATATTCCATAGCAGTAATCTCTTGCAAGTACATGAATGATGATATCAGAAAATACATTTTCACTCCAAAATCAAGAGTTGCTGAGAATGTCTGAAAACCCAACTCTTGGAGAGTGAAATATGGATACAATAGTCATCATCATTTAGGCTATTGAGGAGTTGCTTTTCCAATCCTGGAGATGATGAAAAATAGTTCACAACTGTAAGATGGCCAATACGAGGGACACAATTTGTGAGAATGAAACACAGGACCACTAGACTCATGCAGAGATTAGGCTCACAACCTTGGCCTCAATACCAATAGCATGCTATAATGGCAAAATAGGACAAAAATATCACAAAGAGCTTAAAAGGGTAAGAATGAGAAATTGGAAACTAGAAGTTAATTATACTGAAATATCAGGTCCTCTCAACCAATACCCAGTATTTGAAGAATACTGTAATTGAGAAATATTTCTTGTGATAAATATCACCATGTATTCTGTTTCAGAAGCACCCACATATCCTTTCTATTTTCATAAGAATGTATTTGTGACTTTAAAAGTGAAACAAAATTTTTACCTAGAAAATCCGAGACATCACAAAGTCTCCGAGAATTCACCGAGCAAAGGGGTAAAGGCTTTATGTAACCACCATGAAAAACATTGCTTAATTACAAAAACAAAAACCATCCAACCCCTCCCACACACCTTAACTCTGATCTACTTCTGAACATGTAAACCTCTGATGAAAATCTCCTCACCCTTCATATTCTTGTTTTTCTTCACCATATTCTCTTTTCCTCCTTTGCTTCCTAGTCATGTCTCTAAAGCCCACACACTGAATGGATTAGGGGTTTGCATGTGGAAAACTGGGCTTACCAATAATACATTTTCTCCCACACTCCACCCACATCAAGCAATGAAGGGAACGTCAAGGCACAGCTCTTCCCAACTACCAGAGTGGGATGCACAAGGAAGTCACCCCAAATGAAGTTTCTGACACTAATCAGCATCATGAAAATCAAGATCCTTGTACCCCTCCTCTGGTCTCTCACTCATGGACTTGCTACCTAATGCTCTCACAAACTCTCCTTATTGAGAATCAGTTCCTAAAGTTAGGTCTTTGGTAGCATGTGGCTTAATCACTTACCAGCCTGGCAAATGAAATAATGTCTTAGTGAGCACAAGTCTACTTTTGATGAGACCCCATTGGACTTTCTGGATATGTAAGTGCATCTGGCGTGCTTTGTGGTCCTGTGGGCCGTGACATCTGCAGAAGAAAGACCAGATCCAGATAAGCTTCATAATCAAAAGTTGAACATCTAAATAAATTTTTATTGACTTTATTGGGGTGATATTGGTTAATAAAAAGTCAAACATTAAAAAAAATAAACATGAAAACCAAATCTGGTAGCTTTCAATAGATGAAAATTTAGGGACCCCATATTAGATTATTTTTTTTATATTATGTGTTTTTTTTATCACAAGTCTTAGCATTAATTCACTTAGACTTCAGTGAAGGTAATTATGACATAAATGCCTTGGAGGTTTCTCTAAGATCACAAGATTATGGTGCATAATCTTCAAAATATCTAAGAAAGACAAGAGGCAAACAATTTCTCTCCTAGTTTCTGCATTAGAAAACTCAGACCCAGGAATAATGAAGAGATATTTACAAGGAAAGAAGTGAGCATAGAATGTTTCCCATTTCAGAATCCTGCACAATACTTTCAGTGACATATTAGTTAACTTCTGATAGGCTCTGAGAAAACCACACCATTTCTGCTACACAGACAAATCAAAGGCTGCAGCACAAAAGTGGAAATATCTAAGAGGAATAATAGTAATGAAGTAAAGTGACTGGTTTTTCTGTATAGGAAGATAGAAAGATTTAAATTTCTGCTGTTCCAGAATATAAGTAAGTTTCTTTCATAAACACCAAATCTCACAGCCTTACTTGGGTGATTTTTTCCTTGATATTTTCCCAGCAGCATTAAATTTTGCCCAATCCACCACTTCTTCCCTTCTTCCAGAAAGTCCCAGATGAGATTTTGAATCTCGTGGTTCCAAGTGTAAGCAAGGTGTCCTCCCTGAGCATGACAGTAATTTTCTGCTTCCTCAAAGCTGCAGTGAAACCTATTAAGCTGATAACAGTTATTTTTACCGTGATGCTCTGGACTATTTAACTCACTCCCTAGGATGATACTTGTTTTGATGTATAACCAAAGCCAGGTTCTTCTTTTGAAGAACATTTTCTCTGTGAACTACGAGCACAAAAAAGAGTGGAGGCTCAGAAGCTGCCGGACCCTTTACATATACTCTCTGTGGGTCTGTCTTATTTATTATTATTATTGTTCTTTTAGGAATTGGCAATAAGCTGTCAAAGAGACAAAAGGTTTTATTTTAAGGACCCAGGTGGAGTTCCCATAAGCAGAAAACAAACAAAGATCAATAAAGCCTTTACAGCTGGGGCACCATCTGTGTCTACATAACCGGATATGCCTTCAGCTGTATAATACATCTTTATTTGCTAAGTCTAAGCTGTAAGGGAACAGAGGATGATGAATATCTAAGTCAGTGTTACTAAAAATGGAGTAATATATTGTGCTTTTTTAAAAAGAAAACCATGAATTCAAATAATTGTATTGCTTCTCAAATACATACACTCTATCCTAAATCTTATATAACCATACAAGCCAAAGAATAAATATTTAATGAAAGAATGAATACAAATTACATATAAACAAAACTAAAAAACGTGAAATTCAAATTTGCTGAACCGAATAGTCATTGGTCAGATACACATGGTTCTGGCCTACAACCATGTAGGTTCTTTTGACTATGTCACGCAGTAGGAAGAATAAATTCTCTCATCACTTAAATTTGCTGAGAAACCTCTGTTCATACATGTCATTTGATCTCCACCTGTGGCTCATCTAGCATTTATGTTTTTAGCCAGTTTTCTTTCTTGGGGCCAAAATGGACCATAAATACAAATAAAGGTGGGCACTGAAATCACTTGGCAGGTTCCAGGGTTCAGTTGGTTATTCTAACAATGCTTGCACTCGTTAAAATCATTCATTATGAACGTGGGCACCAAAATTAAAAATTGTCTGAAATGTAGATCCCAGTACATTCCTGTTTTAAGAATAATGCAGTAATTAAATGAAAGATTAACATGGATGGTCCATAAAGTCAAAAATTTATGGTCTAATCAGAGAATAAAGACACAGTTGTATTTTATAAAGACATGTGTAGTTAACAAAGTGCTGCTAGAGAGGTACAGTTTAAATCTATGAAGGCTCAACTGAGGAAATTATTTCCAGCACTTGAACATGTAAGGATGGCCGTATTTAGATGAAATGGGCATGCTGGCAGAGGCGTCGAAGTGAGTAAACACGCAGAAGTAAGAAAGTGGAAGGTATTTATAAAAAGAAGTAATTCTGTGTGTGTTGGGGGGAACGGAGCGTACTTGGGAGGCAGTGAGAACAGAAACTACAAAACTGTAATGTTTCAAATTCTAGGAAAAAGACCTTGCCATTTACTTAGGTTTCTGAGCAGAGAAGTCCATCAAGTCGGTGCTGCAACGAAGTAGTTGGGGTGCAGGATACTTTCAACTACAAAGTCTTACTTTTCATAAGTACATACATACATTTCAGGCATTTTTAAGAGAAACCTGAAGTTGATAGAATCTTCTTTTAAGTCTACAGTGCTTCATTTCAATCCTTTTTCCAGTGCCTGACATATACTTTATCAATACACGCTTCATCTAGGGCACATCAATAAAATGATCAGAAAATTGCTGACTGTGTTGCTTAGAATTGAAAAACCAACATGTCAGCAACCTTTTGCCCAGGTTGCAGCACCGCGGACGAGAAACGCACGCTTCTCAACTTCAGTGCAGCCGCACCCCAGCGACGCTCACAACAGGCGCCGGAAGCGGTGCGCGGGAGGGACGGAAAAGGCGTGGTCGTCACCACTGCGCGCCCGCGCGCTTACTGCCAACTAGACCCTCGGGGCGGAGAGCGGCCTTCCCCGCTTAAAGGCGCCGGCCCCACCCTACTCCCTGGCTATTGGTCAGTTTGCAGCCCTGGGGGCGGGCATTAGAGGTCTCCTCTACATCTCCTCCAATGGAAATGAGACAGAGGCGGGCCCAGTGGAGGAGAGACCATGGCGTGGAGACAGCTGAAAGTGAGTTTGGAAACCCGGGCTCTCCCGTCGGCAAGGAAGAGTCCTAGAAAGAGCAGGGCCCGGGGAGGATGTAGGGGTAACCGGGGCGAAGTGTGGACGAGAGGCCGCTCCGAGAGCGTCGGCCTGTCTGGCACGTTTGTGTGTCTCCGCAAAGGCTCGTGCTTGCGCTTTTGTACACTTGGTCAGTGTGTAAAAAGCACGTGTGTGCATGAGTAGATGCCAGGCTGTCAGCGCAGTGCACGAGCTCAGTGCAGTGGGCCAAACCTACTGAACCTGGCACAGGGGCGCTCAGTGAATACATGACCGCCGAGCATTGTGTGCAGCACCCAGCATGTAAGGAAATTGCAAGAAGACATGGTCCCAACCCTACTATATAAAATTTTAGGGCGGGCCCCCTTTGCTGGTATTTGTTGATTGACATTGAGGGGCGTTCCTACCTGGAGACTAGAAGTAAGACAACGAATACTTGATGTAGATTAATAGCTAGGAGTGATCCTTAAAGGCAAATATCATTTCTTGTGTAGGGAACAAAACCAAAATCTTTATTCTGGTCAAGATCTGTGCCTCTTCCCAGCTTCTTTATAAGCCATCCTTTCACTCCTCGGTTCCTAACATACCTTCCCTCTTCCCACATTCCTTGGGCGCATCTCATCCTCTGCCGCGGGAAGAGGCTTTCCACTTTTTTCCTTCCGTCACTGCCTCCTACTTAACTCCTATTTATCCTTTGAGTGTTAGTATCACTTCTTCAAGGAATCCTCTCTCTACCTCTGAGATTAGGTTACGTTCTTTCATTACCCTATACTTTTTTTTTTCATCACAGCAATTGTATGGCTGTATGTCTGCATGATCATTGATTTCTGTCTCCTCATTAAATTGTACTCCCTATGAAGGCAGGGACTCAGACTAATTAGCCTATCTCTGAGAGGTCAATCACTATTTGGTGAATGATTGAATGAATGAATGAATGACTTAGCAGCGGGCAATGATAGAGAAAAGTATTGTGAACTATGTTGGAGCTAGGAGACTGGTTCTTGACTCAATAAGACCTGATGCTTCTTTAAAAAAACAAAACCATTTTGCAACTCCCTTTATTAACCTGAAATGGAATTTACATATAATATAATCTTTCTGTGTATAATTTTTAAAAGTCAACATAATGTCCTAATGGGACTATAAAAGAGAAGTGAAAGTAATTTAAAATAAGATGTATTTCAATGTGTAACTATTAGGTCATGACTTACCTAGATAGTGAGATAGTGAAGTGTTTCTAAGCCTCTACTTAGAAATTCTAGTGCCACAGGTATGTTTGTCAGACACCCCAAGCAATGCACCATACTATTCCTGATGGGTTTTCTGAAATAGGGAACAATTCTTGGTAATGTTCTGTGCAAAATAGTACAGTCCCTTAACTTACAAGGTAATTGTATTCCAGGAAAAGTCAATGCGTATGAAAGCTGTGTGGGAGATAGTTTGTGTTTGTTTGGTGAAATAGAGTTTGGTTCTAGGCTCAGATAGTGAGTAGATATTTTTTACCTACTGAATGTCACTAGGGCATTTGACAGCTGTACAGGGCCGGGACAATTCATCTGTTAGTCTAAAACAATGCAGGATGTCTGACTCTGCTGATCCCTGCACACTAAATCTATTAGCATTCCCCTGAATGTCCACCAGATGTCTCTTAGGGGGCAGTAATACCCCTCTTGAAACCTCTGGCCTGGAGTGCTTCAGGGCCAGATGAGTGTGTGTCAGCAGAAGTGTAGATACAGCTTCTGACTACAGAGGCCAGCATGTGGGCAAGACTAGAAATGAAGGAGACCAGTGTCAGCAGAAGGCTAGGGGCATTGCTTCATGTGGCATGTCATTATGTCCTCTGTGTGTGGGTTTAAAGAAGGTGCTGCAGCTTGGCTTTGATGAGCAGTGGGCTCTTTCTTTTCAGAAGCGGGTCCAGGATGCACTAGTCATCCTGGGGAGTGGAGGACTTCTCTTTGCCTCCTACCTGACGGCCACCGGGGATGAGCGTTTCTACGCTGAACACTTGATGCCGACTCTGCAGGGGCTGCTGGACCCTGAGTCAGCCCACAGGCTGGCTGTTCGTGTCACCTCCCTGGGGCTCCTTCCTCGTGCCACATTTCAGGACTCTGACATGCTGGTAGGTGCTCTTGGAACACCTTATATGATACAAAGTAAAGGTCAGTGTCCCCTAATTTTCATAGCTGGAGCTGAGCCTTTGAAAAGCCGAATCCCAAGTTAGCCCCATCTATACAGATCAGGAAACTGAGGTGCAGAGGAGTTAAGTGATTTACCTGAAGTCACACATCTGGGAAGTGGATGAGCCAGGACTCAAACCCATGGAGTCTGACTTGGGCAATGGTCCCCTCAGCCACTGGCCTGCCTTGCTAAGATCAGGTAGCTCAGTCTTCACCTCTGCAAAATATGGAAACATGTCAGTCATTAAACATCTAATGTGACATAGGCATGTCTAGCCAGGACCTTTGAGGAAGGCATACAGACACCTATCCCAGGGTTATTCAGTCCCACGTTAACCCAGGAGCCCCCCATGTGCCTGTTACTGTTCTGGGTGCTGGGGTTACTGCAGCGAACAAAACAGAAGAATCCACATCCTTCCAGAATCTGTATCCTCATGTAAGCCCTACCAGTTTCATCTAAGGGACTCTTACCAAATGGGGGACCTTAGAATGATGAGATCATGAAGACAACAAACGTGAAGTGTTCTCTGGGGAAGGACCACTGTTATAAATCAAAGCTGCCTTTCTTTGCATGTTCCCTTTTTGTCTTAGCATCCCTTTCACTTCCCCATCCTGCAGTTTTGAGCAGATGTAGATTTTTACCTTACCATACTTAAAGGCCCTGGAAATCACTGCAGCATCAGAGCATTGTTTCCTTTAAGCCTTCCTCCTCCCCAGCTGCCAGTTTGAGAGTCTTGGAACCCAGTGTCGTGACAGTGAATGAAGAGCGGGGTGCAGAGATGGGGTAGGTTAGGAAGGAAGTCAGTTTGTGGCTGGGGATGGTACAAAGCTATGTCCTCTAAATACCACCCATATGGAGAGCAAGTGTAGTCTTTGAGCTATGGTCCCCACCTGTATCAACTCATTATTTAGTGGTCCAGACTTCTTAACCAACAACCAGCACTCCTGATAATCTCACCCCCACTTAATGTTCTAGTGTTAGCTCTCTACCATTTCCCTGATTCTGTGGTTCTCAGCCCTGGCTGTGTGTTGGAATCATCTGAGGTGCTTTTGGAAAATACAGATGCTCTGGCCTCATGCTAGAGCCATTTAACCATAATCTCCGGGAGTGAGGGCTGACAGCTTCCTGTCATGCAGCTAGGGTTGTCAGCCACTGTCCTCTAGGAAGCCCTGCTGGTCCAGCCCCACACATTCTGTTTCACAGTCCCTGAGGTGCTGTGTGCACTCTTCCACCTTCATTTGTTTGTTGTTCTTTCTTCTTGGAGCAGCCTTTCTACCTCCTGCATACAGGACGAGATGGTAGCCACCCTGGGAGACCCTTGTTACTTTTGGCAAAGGATTTCCTGGCCACATCAGTTATCAGTGATATATTCTATTGGTAATTGCCAGCTTTTTGATAGCTCTTGATTTCTTTCACGCCTGTTTTTTGTTTTTATCCTCACCTGAAGATGTTTTTTTTTTCATTGAGAGAGGGAAGGGGAGAGAGAAAGAGACAGACAGAGACTGAGACATTGATATGAGAGAGAAACATCGATCTGTTTCCTTCTTATAAGTGCCCCGACTGGGGATTGAACCTGTAACCTGGGTATGTGTCCCAACCAAGAATTGAAACCATGACCTTTTGGTGTATGGAATGGCGCTCCAACCAACTGAGCCACACCAGCCAGGGCTCTTTCATGCCTTTTAAAGTATTTGTCTTGCTACTGGATTTGTTGGCTCCATCAGGGCAGCAATCCTGAATTACTGAGGAGTTGGGCTAGAGCTGACAGTAATTAGGCTGTGGTCACTCTCATTCCAGAGAACAATTTGGAAGCTCCCCAGTGTCTGACGGGGAGGAACCTATCTGCAACCACAGCCTGGTTCTGGAGCCCAGTGATCATTTCTGCCCAGCCGAGCACTTTTCTCCCTCTAGTGCCTCACAGGGGCCTTGGGGTCCTCGCTGGGGCTTGGGATCAGCCTGGCAGAGGTGGAGCACAGCTGGGACTGACTTTCTAAGCTGACTCAAGGATTTTCCTGCTTGACACTATTTCAGACTAGCACTAGCTAGAGGCTGGCACCAACCAGCCACTCTCCCACCGAGGATAAGAAGGGATGACTGTTAACCATAACTAGAAAAGACGTGCCCATATCCTCAACCCACGGTGGAAACATTGTTTTCTCCTCGCTCTTGGTGATAGAGGATAAAGCCTAATGGTTCTTGAACTCCCAAAAGCATCAGAATCACCTGGAGAGCACTGTTAAAAATAGATTTGCTCAGCCGTGACTGGCGTGGCTCAGTGAGGCGGGCATTGTCCTGTAGACTAAAAGGTCACTGGTTCAGTTCCTGGTCAGGACACATGCCTAAGGCCAGGCCAGGTCAGGCCAGGTCCCTGGTTGGGAGCATGTGAAAGGCAAACCAGTCGATGTTTCTCTCCTCTTTGTCCCTACCTTTTCCTCTCTCTAAAAATAAATAAAATCTTAAGAAAGAAAGAGGTTTGCTCGGAGCCCCATTCTGCCCCACCATCCCCAAAGGTTCTGACTCCTTGGTCTGGAGAAGGGATGTCTAAGAAGCTCACGTGAAACTCTGACAAAGGTGCACGGGCACCACACCTTGAGAAACACTGGGATAGTCTGTGTACCTCTGACTTTGTCTCCCTCTCTCTAGGAAGTGAGAGTCCTGGGCCGAAAGTTCCGAAATCCAGTAGGAATTGCTGCAGGATTTGACAAGCATGGGGAGGCTGTGGATGGACTTTACAAGATGGGCTTTGGTTTTGTTGAGATAGGCAGTGTTACCCCAAAACCTCAGGAAGGAAACCCCAGGCCCAGAGTCTTCCGCCTGCCCGAGGACCAAGCTGTCATTAACAGGTAGGTGAGTGGCACAGAGGTAACAGGGATGCCTTCTCCTAGCAGGGCACTCGGGATGTTTTCTTCTGTCATGTGATGTGACATTTTTCTGTCATTGGGTATGTACAGGAACCGTGTGGAGCATCTACTATGCACCAGGCACAGGAGCAGGTTTTAAGATTTCAGTTTAATGTGTATACATACATACTGAGGCTCAGAGAACGACCTAACTTAGCTACAACCACGAGATCATAAGCAGGAGAGCCTGGGTACGGATGTAGGCTTATTTGGCTTTCAAAGAGTTTGTGCTTTTTCTACATTGTTACTCCATTGCCCTTGCCCAGCATTGTCTAGTAGAAATATAATGTAAGCCCCATATGTACGTAATTTAAAATACTCTAGTAGCTGTGTTAAAATAGTAAGAAGAAATAGATGAAGTAAATTTCAGTAATATATTCTATTTAGTTTTTTGTAATTTATTATTACATTATTTAAATACTTAATATATTCTAAGTATCATTTTAACATCCCATAAACATAAAAATGCCAATTTGCTATTTGCCTACTTTTCCTTGGACCAAGTCTTCCAAATCCAGCGTGTGCTCTTCTGCACGTTTCCGGTGCCCAGTAACACGCGGAGCCAAGGCTCTTGGGTTGAACAGCACAGCCCTCGAGGCTTTAGTAAACTGGAAAATGTAATAATCAACATATACATGCTTTTGGTAGGAGAGATCCTTCTAGAATGTGTATGGTCCTCTTTATAATCCTGGGCAATTTTCACCACAGCAAACCCAGAGAAGGAAGAAGGTGCCACTTTTTGGTAACACAGTTTGGAAGAACCTCCTTAGGGAGATTTGGAGAGGCATCTTTGGGGCCACGAATGGCCTTCTGGAAGACTGACCTATGGGAAGCTGACTAGGCTGCCACTTCCCGCTTTACTTAGTGCTTATTTCAGGGAAATTTTTCAGCATTAGAGATCAAGCATCGATCTTCCTGTTGCACTGCAGGCTGGGGGTGGTATTGTCAGTGTCCAGTCCCTGCAGGTGCCAGGATGACCGAGTCCTGGCAGAGTCCTGGGGACGAGGAGTGACTGAGAGAGGAGCACTTGTGCTCTGGAGCACTGTGTGTCCAGCCTTCTTGCTCTGCGAGGCACATAGTGGGTGCTCAGTAAAGTCTTGCTGAATGAATGGATGAATTTACTCATTTAGTCAACCAGTGCATGTGCCACTGTATGTTAGGTGTTTTTGGCCACAAGTAACAAAGCAGATTAAACAATAGGTGCTTGTTATTATTTTCCTCTCATACCAGGTGTAGCAGGCAGTTCTAGGGGGCGTCGAGCAGCAGGGCAAAGTCAGGACTCTGGCCCAACCTCTCTGGGCCTTCCCTTGTTTGTAAGACGGCTGCCCCAGCTATAAGCAGCATGTCCTCCCATGTGGACATCCGAGAGCAGAAAGGGAAGAAGAAGCCTAGGAGCTCCCCAGTGGACATCACTTTATGTCTTGGTGACCACACCCAGTCATATGTTCCTGCTTCAGTTGCAAGTGGTCTGGGAAAAGAGTCATTTCCATTTTTACTCAGTATCAGGGGAGGTAGGGAGAGAGGATGCCCTTTAGGTCAACATTCTGCAGTGGGGCTGGGGAGACAGATATACACGAGAGAGATGAGGTCACTGCCTTTGTAGAATGTGTAGTGGCAGGGTGATGGATAGGTAAGACATGTCCCTTGTCCTCAAGAAGATTATAACCTGGTAGGGGAACTTAAGCATACATATACATCCCAAGCCAGGAGAAAGACCAGTACAAAGCCCTCAGTGAATGCCAAGAGGTGAGGAATCATCTGTGGCTGGGAGCTTTATTCAAAGAGGAAGGGAGCATTTGATCTGGGCCAGGAAGAGGGGATGACTTTAAGAGGGGAAATGGAATGGGAGGATGGGTTGCAGGAGGTGCATTCACGGAGCACAGGCAGACGGTGGAAAGACAGGGTTCTCAGAGTGGTGACGGCTTCCAGCACAGGTAAGGAGGAGTCGGGGCTGGACCCAGACAGTTTGGGGCAGCTATGCAGCCAAGTCTGGGCTGTATTCAATGTTAGCTGGCTGATGGCTTGTATGCAAAGTTTAATCTTTCCCTTTGTGTTTGATAGTGGTTTGACAAGTTCTCTAGGAGGTCCAGGGGTGTGACCTTGGAAGTCTTAAGAACTAACTCATCTTTTTTCCTTTTCTGTTTTTTAAAGTCATACATAGGGCCATGGAGCCATGGCCCAAAGTCTTTGCCTTCTGGCTGAGGGCCCTGACCTTGTCCGTTCCCCATTTGCTTGTGTGTTACAGATACGGATTTAACAGTCACGGGCTGTCGGTGGTGGAACACAGGTTACGGGCCAGACAGCAGATGCAGGCCAGGCTCACAGAAGGTAAAGTGGGGCTGCGTTAGAGAGGCTTTCTTCACTTCTTGGAAGGACACATGTGGGAGAAACATCAGGAACTCTCCCCAGGACATCAACATGATTGAGCAACAGGAAAAAAACCCACTACAGAACTCAGGGCACCTTTCCTAGAGGAATTTCCTGGCTCCACCACAGTTTCTGAGATTTTATCAGAATTTCACAATTTAGCAAAGATGTACTTAGTTCCTGCCTTGTTACGTAACCTGTGTTATATCTGAACTGGGCAGCCTGGCGGTGAGCAAAGCAGAGTGGCTTGTCTGTGGTCGCACAGGCAGCTAAGATGTGGGCAGGGCTCAAGCATCATCTTCCTCGTCCCGCTCTGTGTCCCTTTGCCCGTTACATAAATAATGCATGTTAACTTTAGAAGTGTTAGTAACCACATAGAAGCATAAAGAAGAAAATTAAGATTGCTCACATTCTTCCCCACTCAGGGATAACTACTCCTGGCACCTGGAAGTTCAGAAACACTGTGATTTTTGAAGGCCACCTTTGGAGATGCTGCTTATTCCCCGGGGCTCTCCGCTTTGCCATCCCTCGGGAGGCACCTAGTGGTCATGCTCCTGCGTTGTCCTCACCATACCTTCCCAGGCGCTCTCTGGGGCTATTTGTGGCCACAGCCTTTCTCCTTGTTGGATCACTCTGTAAATCCCTCCAGGAGGTTTTAGTCTTACTAGATACCTTGGTGGTGAGTTGAGATGAATCTGGTTATCGAAGTGAGTTCAGCAAGCGAGGTTGAAGGGCTGAGGCTGTCAGGAATCTCTGATTGGGGAAGCAGGAAGTGACCTTGTTTGGAAATCCCTGGTTTTGGTAGACCGCACCCTGCTATACTACAGACCTTGCCATATAAGGAATTTTGAAGATAATAACATGACTTTTATGGTTTGTGATATTTTCCTGCCTCTTACCTCCCTTTCCTTTTAATTGTTCACAGTCCTCTGTATGCTAGCGCCCCCCCCCCCCCGCCCCCATTCTCCCTTGCCCATCCCCTCACCCTTACTCTGGTGCTAATATTCACTGGAGTGAAGCAAAATTCTATAGCCGAGCTCTGCACATAGTGTTTACCAGGAGCTAGAAGCCTTGAAGACAGCTTATTGCTAGCACCATGGCAAGGAACATGAGCTGGCAAAGGCTGTGGTGCCCTTTGGGGATACCGTAATTCAGCAATTTCTGTCTGACTTCAAAATCTTGTCAGTGTGGGCAGATGATTAGTAATGAAAGATCCATTAGGCTACGTGAAAGTGATACTCTCTTGCAAGCCAGTTTACTTGTGTGGAAAAGAATGAGCGCTTACAAATGCCCTTGTCTTGATGGGTGCTACACTTGGAAAGCTGGGAAACGATGTTATGTAACCTTCGTCTAATGGGTTCTAACCATGTCCACTTCCCAACACAAAAAATTAGCTATATAAATCTCATTTACTTTCAAGCTGATGATAAAAGGGTGACAAGATTTAGGGTGTGAGAAAGTAGTTAGCAGGACTAGATGTTCTTTGATTCCCCTTGACCTAGCACAAGTTTTCTGAGCTAACTTGATGTTTCATGTCTTTTCCCAACCATCAGATAGAAAAACAGCTGGTACCATCAACATACCATTGACCTTTGCAGATAAGATGGCATTTTAGAAGAAAATGCCTTGCTTTCATAGAAAGCCTGTAATTGAAATATATTTTTCTGCAAGTTTAAAATGCAAGTCAAGTGATAATCCAATGGATTTTTAAATAAGGTGGCTGTACTACTTACTGTGCAAACTGAAGCACTTTTGAGAGTGAAAGGTGGGCAGGCGTCAGTACAATAATATGCCCAGGCTGAAGAGTAATCAGGGCTGTGCTGGGAACACTGGGATGTGCGGTCACCCTAGTTGTAAGGGGGAGGCCCTTCTCAGAAAACTGAAAGTATAAAACAGTTATACCTCTACATTTTAGGCATGATAATTGAAAATATTTCTGAGTATTTTATATGTAGCCTTTAATTTTGTTTTTTTCTGCACAACTGCACACCCAGTCATTTGACCCAAGTCCAGCGAGCAGCACTTGAAAGTAACCAGCTGCCCCTTCTGACATGCCTGTTGATTTCTGTCTGTTCTCATTTTTAGTACATTTACCTCTAGTAAATGTAATAAAATACTGGAATTATCTCTTGGAGGGTGGGTACCTTGTAGTACAGGCTTCCCCCACTAGGTGAGTGTTCTAGGAACCCATCTGTATCACTCTACCAGCTGGTATTGTTGGTGCTCAGCTTCAGTGAACTCTTTTTAAAGACTCAGCATGTTTGCCCCTTTCAGGATGGGTGATTTACAAGCACATCTGCCCACACCATGCTGAGTATTCAGCAGTTTTTGACCAAAAATGGCATGACCCCTGTGTCCCACCCTCCCAATTCACCTAATCTCACCCCAGCAACTTCTGTAAGATTTTACTTATTTATTTTTAGAGAGGGAAGGGAGGGAGAAAGAGAGCAAGAGAGAGAAACATCAATGTGTGGTTGCTGGGGGCCATGGCCTGCAACCCAGGCATGTGCCCTAACTGGGAATCGAACCTGCGAAGCTTTGGTTCGCAGTCCACGCTCAATCCATTGAGCTACGCCAGCCAGGGCTCCCCAGCGACTTCTTTTTCTTTCCCTGGATGGAAAAAGTCCTCAAAGGGAAATGTTTTGCCTGTGTGGAAGGAGTGAAACAAAAAACAGCAGAAGTACTAAAAGGCATCAAAGTTGACGAGTTCAAAAACTGTTCTGAGCAGTTTTTGAAAAACATCTTGATAGGTGTATTGCATCAAATGTCTAGTACTTTAAAAGTGAATGAAGTTTAAACATGTCAGCATAAATACACAATCTTTTATAAATAAATTCCGGTTTTGGGGGGGGTCTCTCCTTGTACAAGTCTTGCCTTTTTTTAATCACTAGTGTTTGCATTCTGAATTTTTCCATTTTCCATTAAATGTTTAAAAAGCACAAGGGCACAGTGCAGTAAAACATCCTAGTAGTTGCCCGAACTGATACGCAGACCAAGATGGTGAGCTGTTTCCTGGTCATCCGGCAGCGGCACCATGCAGTATTTCATAGTATTTGTCAGCTGGTGCCGGAAGTTCTCATCGGAGGTGGAAGGCCTATAAGGTTGTTCATGGGCTGCTCATGTCAAGGAAATGATGTGTGGGGACAAAATCTTGATCAGCGATATTTGCAGGTGGGCTGCCACTGGGAATAAACCTGGGGAAGAATAAGACCTCGGTGGACGCTGCCTCGGACTACGCTGAGGGAGTTCGAGTCCTGGGCCCCTTGGCTGACTACCTTGTAGTGAACGTGTCCAGTCCCAACACCCCAGGGCTGCGGAGCCTTCAGGGAAAGGCTGAGCTGCGCCACCTGCTGACCAAGGTGGGAAATTACGTCTCCAGGCCCAGCTTCTCCAGTATGTCCTGTGCATTCTCTAGGGCCAAGCTTCACTATCTAGGAACTGCCCTTAACACCTGAACCTGTTAAGGCCCCTCATTGTACCTCGAAGCCCCTATCATATTACTGATTTTGCTCAGTAGTAATTAACTTCTCAGTTACCTGTCCCTTATGTCAAACAATAAATGTCTGCAAGAGGGACTATATCGCTCATCTACCATGAGTGAATGAATGAATGAATGAAATGACTTTTAATCACACAGGCTTACTATTTCTTTTGCGAACAAAAGTCTAACTAAGCCATAATATATTAGCCGATGCCAGTGGTCACATTAGGGACTCAATCTTGGGGACATCTTGGTTCAAGAGAATGGAATCAGGTTCACCTTGATGGGGTGAATCTGTGTTTTCCAAAAAGCAGAAATTGCTCATGCTTTAGTTTGACTGCAGATGTGAAAACACACTGATCTGCAGCTGCAGTCACAGCTGCACCCTCGGGCTGTGGTCTCAGGGGTCCCCATCTCTGGCTCCATGTTGCTGCAGGTGCTGCAGGAGAGGGATGCCCTGAAGGGACCGCAAAAGCCGGCCCTGCTGGTGAAGATCGCACCTGACCTCACAGCGCAGGACAAGGAGGATATTGCCAGTGTGGTGAGGGAGGTGAGCGTGGGGCCGGGAGCGTCTGTCTGCCCCTCATTGCTGGCAGCGACCATTTGGCCAGCTAGACTAGCCCAGATGGCAGCCTCTGCTTTCCTTTCTGTGATACTGAGGGCTGGTTTGGTATCTGTCATGACTTAATTCATCCTCTGCTACAAAGTGAAGGCTTGAATAAATATTTGAATGAGTCTTCTTATGCTTTTTCCCTACTCTCTTTCCTTTTCTCCATCCAGCAAGGGCTTTCAGGCATGTGCTCGCATTGCTGGCCAGTCTTGGTCAGGGTGGAGCACAGCATACCTTGCTTTGTTGTGCTTCATGGGTGTTGTGTTTTTTTATAAACTGCATACTTGCTTGTTTGTGGTGGTCTGGGACTGAACCCGTAATGTCTCTGAGGTACGCCTACATTCTCTGTCTTCAGTCCAACACCAGGTTTTGTCACAGGATAATAGTGGAGACAGACTAAGCCCAACAGTCCTGGGTTCAAATCCTGGTTCTACCACTTATTACCTGGATTTTGGACAGGATACTCTAGAGTGGGTTGTTACAAGGATTATAACCCTGTTCTAGTGAAACTTTATGGGTGGTCACTATATAATGGCAGCTGTTGTCATGTTGAGGCTCATTCTGACACTTCTTCAAGAAGTATAGTGAAGTCTGGGGTAGTTCTTGATTCCAGGGGCTGTAGGTATGGGTATCTGTCCTGGCTGCTGTCTCACACCCCCATGGAAGCTTCTCCAAGTCCAAGAGTACCATGACTGGGTATCTCTTTCTCTGTCTCACACTGCAGTTGGGCATTGATGGACTGATTGTCACGAACACCACAGTGAGTCGCCCCACCGGCCTCCAGGGTGCCCTGCGCTCTGAAACAGGAGGGCTGAGTGGGAAGCCCCTCCGGGACTTATCGACGCAAACCATCCGGGAGATGTATGCACTCACCCAAGGCAAGGATTCGGTGTGCATGTCTTCAGATCTGTGTGTGGTTTGGGCTCTGGGGTTGTGATCAGAATTGGTGTTCCCTGAACTGTTGCATTCAGCAGGTGGGCTGAGGGCTGAAGCCAAACCGAGCCCCTGGTTCTCACATCATCTGCCCTTTTTCATGGTGTTGTCCTGTGTTTCTCTGCAGGCAGAGTTCCCATCATCGGGGTTGGCGGTGTCAGCAGCGGGCAGGACGCACTGGAGAAGATCCGGGCTGGGGCCTGCCTGGTGCAGCTGTACACGGCCCTCACCTACTGGGGGCCACCCGTGGTGGGCAGAGTGAAGCGGGAGCTGGAGACCCTTTTGAAGTGAGTGGGACCACGTGTGGCTTAAAACCGAAGTTAAAGTGGTATCAGTTCAGAATGACTCAAATCAAGGGGATCCTATTGTTCTGTATTTACTCTTCATGCGAAAAGGATTTGAGGGGTATACTCTGAATGCAGGGGGAAATTACTCTGTTGCTTCTTTGACAAGGACAATGTCAAAGAATTCAAGGTTAACTTCCAAGGCAATGGTGTGTATAAGCCTGAGGAGTTCTCATAAATTCAGTACATCGGCTTGATGTCACGGAGCTGTCAATACTTAAAATCGACTGCCTTCCTGATCTGAAGACCTGGGCATTCGTGCCTCTGGATTCCTGGGTAGAAGTTGGTGTATGGGGCATGAGGTGTGTGTTTGGGATCAAGAGAGAGAAGGAGGTACAATTATGGAGCAGATAGAGCCCAGAAGAATGTGGGCTTCTGGTAAGAACAAGGCCCATTCTTCATTACTTGCTGAAATTGCATTGTTTTCTTTTTGTCCAGGGAGCAAGGTTTCACCAGAGTCACGGATGCCATTGGTGCAGATCATCGGAGGTGAGGACGTTGTCAGTGGGAAGCCTCATCTGGAACCTTCCCACCGAATCAGGCGAGCCTTTGTGGCTGGATCAAGAGAGGGAGGACTCTGGCTCGAGCCACATCCTACAAATGATAAGAGCCCTTTCTCTGAGGCCAGCCCCGACTGGAAAAGTTACTTGTGAGGGTCACCAGAATGAACACAAGTCTTTCTTCAAGGACTTTTCAGACCATGAACTGTATTTGGGATTTTTTTCAGACGTAAATCCCAGGATTCTTTGACATTGCAAGGACATTAGTTATTTGAGGGGGGTGGGGAATCATGGAAACAAAATAAAGCCATTTAAAATCCAGATAAACCTCAGCCCTTTCTGGAAGGTCCACTGGCTTCAGACACCATAGGTCCTTCCAGGCCGCTGCTACCTGGGTTCTGCAGCGGGCTTCTCAGGAGCTTGAATCTCTTACATTCTATCTCTATTTTTATTTATTTTAAGTTTTAACTATTTTGAAAACATTTCAAACATAGGCAGAGTTGTAATCAGAGGGCTTGGGCATGACTGTCCTCTCCCTGTGTCCTCACATCATCTTCCCTCTCTGTGCCTACGTCCTGATCTCCGCCTGTAAGCACACCGGTCATTTAGGTTAGGGCCCACCCCCGTGACCTCATTTCAACCTGATTACCTCTGTAAAGACCCTGTTGCTAAATAAGGTCACACTTTGAAGTATTGGGGAGTTAGTACTTCAACGTATCAATTTTTGGGGGACACAGTCCAACCCATCACAAGAAATGGACTTGCTGCTTCCCTGCTTTAAAGTCACATGTCATGTGACTTGGGGTGCCATCGGGCAGACAGGTACTCAAGGTGCATGAAGATGCTAGACAAGAGGCTAAAGAGTTATAGTCATTAACTAAAGAAATAGAGAAACACTAATCTTTTCAACATGGAAAAGCACACAGTGAATGGAAGTTGCAAACCTTGTCTGGGAAGTGCTGTTGATGTCTGGCACGCCTTCACAGCCAACCGAAAATCACCTTTGTTCCCACCCCCGTAGTACAGATTGTATTGTAAGTCTGATTTCTCCGTGGCGCTGGAGAGGCACTTGGCTGCTACAGTGATAATGTGTCCAGTTGCCTTATCTTTTCATCTTGGCCTCAGCCTGGCCCTCCCTCTACCCATTCACTCTTTGCCAAGAAACCGGCAGACAGCCTCCTGATTTTTTAAAAGATTTTTTTAAAAAAGACTTATTTTATTAGGAAAGTAACACCTACTCATAAATAAATTTAAACAGTACAGTCCCCCAAATAAAAGCTGTCTACCTCTTTCCCCCCTTCAAATAGTTCCACTTCCCAGAGGTAATCACAGTCAACTCTTGTATCTCTCTAGGTTTTGCCAGATATTTTTCTTTGTATATATGAACATATGTATCCATAGCTATCTATATTTTTAGTCTACCTGCATACACATATATAGACATGTTTCAAGAATAGTACAACTTTTTAAATACTGAATCATATGAGAGTGAATTGCTGATTTGATGCCCCCTCCTCCTGAATGTTTCAGTGTGGATTTCTTGCAAACAAGTACCTCCTGCTACACAACCACAGTACAACCATCAGACTCAGGAGACCAGCACTGACACAGTTACTTCCACCTACTCTCAGGCCCTGTGGGAGGCAGAATTTCTAAAACGCCTCCTCTCCCCAGATGCCCCGCTCTAATCCCTGGAACCTATGAATATGATGAAACACCATTCCCAGGTCTAAGCTGTGTTAAATGGTTTAAGGTAGGAACCCCCTCGAAGATAAGACGTTATTTGGGTGGGTCTAATCTAATCACATGGACCCCCTTAAAAGCAGAGTTTTCTCTGGCTGGGAAAGAAGAGAGATACAGAGCATGATAAAGAACAAAAGCACTGTTGCTGCCCTGGCCAAGTGGCTCAGTTGGAGCATTGTCCTGTACACCAAAAGCTTGTGGGTTCAATTCCTGGATCAGGGCACATACCTAGGTTGTGGGTTCGATCCCTGGTGTGTAACTGATCGATGTGTTTCTGTTTCTCTCCTTCTTCCTCTCTCTAAAATCAATAAAAACATTCTTGGATGAGGAGATACATGCATATACTACATATGTGTATATATAAATGCATAGGTAATATATGTGTGTATTATGTGTACCATATTTTGGGGACTATAAGACACATTCCCACCCCAAATTTGGGAGGAATAATGGTTGTTAATGCTGCTGTTGAGTTCTGTTTACATTTACATTGGTGAAATATTATGTTATTTATGTTATTAAATATTTTACCACATTGTTTGCTTAAAATTTTTTTTTTATTTTCCTCCTCTGAAACCTAGGTGCATCTTATGGTCTGAAAAATATGGTATACACACACATATGCATGTGTATAATGTAATATATACATGTGCATATATAACATTGTATATACATACATGTATACACATATAGACCCATATGCACACACATACACACATATGTATACACATGTACACATATAAGTGTGTATGTGTGTGATCTCAGTGTCCATTCTGGCAGAAAAATTGAGTGTGCAGGGCACTGGGGGTTCATTTGGCTCTGCTCTCAGTGCAGATGGGGGCCTGGGATCCATCTGGGAGAGGACTCTGCTCTTCAGTGGTGGCTTGCCTCTCAGGAGGGCCAGCCAGTGTCTCATTTGATTACAGAAGGCAAAATCTGCAAAGGTTCTATGGTGGTGATTGGTAACTCCCTAACTTCCTTGAGCCAGGCGTACCAGCAGGGGGAAGGCTGTGGGGTGGAGAGATGATAATATCAGGAGAATGACCATCTCAGCCAAGGATAAGCTGGTGACTGCAGATTCACCGAGGGTCGGGGGAGAGCACAGACTTGGAGTCGGCCTTGAGAGTTACCAAACCCCACTGAGGCCCCATTTTCTCACCTAGAAAAACAGTAGTTGGGAGAGTTGACAGATACCTTAACAGAAACTTTCACAAAGATGCATACTATGTGCCAGGCACATTATGTACTTATTAGCAGTGGGCGGTCATGTACATGTTGTGTGCCCCAGTTTCCTAATGTGTAAAATGAGAAGAAAGAATAGTATAATTAATATCTATACCCCTTCCACCCACTTTATTATCAGTAATCCTTACTATCTTTCCCCTGTTTTCTTTATCAATTTCTTTACCTATTCATACACTATATATTTTAAAAAGATTTTTAGTTACTTTTAGAGAGAGGGGAAGGGAGGGAGAAAGAGATACATCCATCCGTTGCCTCTTGCATGCCCCCAACTGGGGACCTGCCTGCCACCCAGATATGTACCCTGACTGGGAGTCGAACCAGTGACCTTCCAGTCCCCAGGCCAGCACTTCATCCACTGAGCCACACCAGCCAGGGCAATACTGTATTTTGATAAGGCATTTTGAAGGAAGTGGTAGATGTCAGGATACCTCACTCTTAGCCTGCACCTCAGTTCAGAGCCTGCATTTTCCAAAAATAAGAACATAATCCTACAAAAACATAATTGTATGATTATACCTAAGAAAATTGACCATGATTCTCTAATTCCGTCTAACATTCAGTCCATATTCTAATTTTCCCTATTGTCCTTAAAATATCTTCTATAGTCACTTAAGGCTCACCTATATGTTTCTTTAGTCTTTTAAAATCTAGAACAGCCATCTCTGAACAGATCAGACCAGTTGTCTTGTAAATGGTCCTACATTCTGGATTCCCAGGATAAAGGCTGTGTTTCCTGAACTCCACTGTAGCTGGATGTGGATATATGATTAAAGTCTGCTCCATGAGATACATGTGAAAGTACTATGTGCAACTTCTGGAAAGTCTGCTGCCTAGAACATGAGTATGATGGGTGGAGCTCCGGCCCCCATATTAGACCTAAGGATCAGGGTCACCCCAAAAGCGGAAGCTGGAAAGAGCTTCATAAAACTGACCATACCAGGTCTGTTTGCTAACTTTCCCACCTCTTTAATTTGAGAAAATAAAATCTTATGTAATTTGGGATTTTCTCTCATATTTAGCCAAATGTAACTCTGGCTAATAAAAAAGCCAAATTGAGGTAATTCTATATTTGCCTGCGAGATATGTTATCTACTTTCTACTTGGCTAAGACACACTTCAGGACTTCTCTTTCCTCCAGGTGTAGATTTCTGGTGCCAGCGCACTGTGAGAATGTACATAGACTATCATGTTACCTACCGTCCAGTGTTGAGTGGATCTTGACAGTCAGCAGAAATTTCTTAAGAACCTTGTGGTTGTAAACATGGGAAATAAAGTCAGCGTGGCTTACCACACGAAAGAACACCAGGGGACAGGGCTGAGAGGTGTGTGTACAGGAGCAGGGTGGGAACGGCTTGGACTTGGCACCCATGGGGTTTGTGAAACACCTGGACAGCAACACAGGAGTGAGGCTCCAAAGGGCAGGGCATTTAGGGAAAGAAATGCAATAAACATGCAAAATCCTTGAACCCTTGCCAGCCAGCGAGGGGTTTCCTGCGTGTTGAAAACGCCATTGGGAATGTGTTCCACAGGAAGCAAAAGGAGTTAACAGCATGTGAAGGCGAACTGGCTGCACCACCTGACACCTGCTAGTCACCAGGGTTTCCTGGGTGGGTCTAGGAACAAAGCTGTGCCTGGAGGGTCAGAACATTTCCTGGGTCAACACGACCCGAGCATGTGGAAGACTTGTAACCTTGGTGCCACTATTTCGATGCTGGTTATCTGAGAAATGGGTCAGTGTTTTGGGCTGTGACCATTCTCTTGGATGTTAAATTTTTAGTTCTTAATGGATCTAGTGACATCTTCCTGTACCTCAACAGAGCAAAAAAGTGTGGTTGGGTCCGTATTTCAACTGTATTTGAGACTCTGATGTTACCATTAAAATACAAACACACACACAAACATGTTTACATGTACACACATACATGTAGACATGAGCTAGAGAGAGAGAGAATAGGGCTGACCCATATTCATTTATTCTTTCACTCACTCATCCTTCCAACAATCATTTGTGAGATTGGAATTCCTCCCAGTGGCTGTGCTGTGTGTGGAGATGAAGATAACTGACTCTTCACCACTGTTGTCTCAGAAGAGACAAAGACAAACACAATCGGCGGGACTCTACTGGGTCACATTCTACCAACAGTGGACAGAGTTCAGTGCTTCCCTAGCAAGAGAGGGGTCACTGGGGGCTCAGCCAGGCAGAGGGACACTGATCTGATTTTTCTGTGTGGCCATGACTAATTTCATACAATTTTCTGGAACCATAATTATATAAATCCCTGATTTCTTGCACTGATAGCTCAAAAGCAGAGACCCACTTTAACACCATTTCTTCTAGAGAGATCTGTCATGGGCATAAGTAGGTGGCTCAGCAGCTCCCAGGAACTGGCTGGCTCCCAGGGTACACTGTTCCCAAATGCTTTATTAGGCAGTTTCCTTGGTCTATTTCCTAATGAATTTCCCGGCCATGGCCACGTGGTCTTTGCCGGCTTCCTGGCTGTGGCGCCCTCCAGGGCCTGGATGGGGGTGGGGTGGGGCTGTGTGGGAGTGTGGCAGGGTGGTGGGGTGGCTCATGCTCAGAAGGAGCCTCCACTTTGCAGCATCAGGTTTCTCCAGCTTGGTGCCAGAACTTTAGGGG